AGAGCTCATTTGTTAAGTACGTTGGTGTTGATTTATACTTGTGATTTGACGATGTGAGAGCAGATCAATCGTCGAGACAGACTCGTTCGAAAAAGCTCGTGTTAAGTATGTCTGCGTTGATTTATACTTGTGACGTTTGGACGATGTAAGAGCAGATCAATCGTCGAGACGGACTCGTTCAAAAAAACTCGTGTTAAGTATGTCGGCGTTGATTTATACTTGTGACTTTTTTTTTTTTTTTTTTTTTGTTATAGCTGTGCCCGGGAAGGGCTGCCTACGTACCGGTTTTTTTTTTTTTTTTTTTTTTTTTTTTTTTTTTTTTTTTTTTTTTTTTTGCGAGGGAGGCGCTAGTAGTAGTAGCGTTTGAGATTTGCGGAATTCCATGAACGAGGAATAGGAGTGCCGTCCATCGTTAAGAGTTCGTAGATGCCAGGTTTGACGACTTTGGAGACTAAGTAGGGGCCTTCCCAATGAGCGCCTAACTTTCCAGCATTTATTTTTCGACGGTATTTTCGAAAACCTTGCGGAGTACGAGATCACCTTCGGTAAAGTATCGAGATTTTACCTTCTTGTTGTAAAATTTTGCCGCGGCCTACTGGTAGTTCTGAATGCAAAGGAGGGCTTGGTCGCGCTGTTCTTCTATGGTGTCGAGGTTATCGAAGAGAATTTTGTCGTTGAGTGAAGGATCCTGGACGAGCATGGATCGTCTAATCGTGGAAAGGCCGACTTCAGATGGTGCCATAGCTTCCAGCCCATAAGCAAGCGAGAAAGGCGTTTGGCTAGTCCCTCGGCGTGGAGAGGTGCGGTGCGACCACAATACACCATCAAGTTCGTCGGCCCATGGACCTTTTTTTTTCTCGAGACACTTCTTGAGGCCATCAATGATGGTTTTGTTCGTCGCCTTAGCCTGGCCGTTTCCTTGGGGGTAACGAGGTGGGGGCTTCCTTAGACGGATACGCCAGTTTGCGCAGAATCCTTTGAACTTTGACTGAATACGAGCATATGACTCCGCCTCGGCCCATTTAGTGAAATAATCCATCATGATCAGAAGGTACTTCTTTTGACGGGATGCAGGAAAGGGTCCGACGATGTCCATTGTCCACCGCATGAATGGGTATGGAGGTGTTGCGGTTTGTAAGAGCTCTGTTGGTGCATGAATGATGGGAGCGTGACGCTGACATTTTTCACAACGAGCGACAAACTTCTTGTAGTCCGAAATCATGGTGGGCCAATAGTGGCCATGTTTGCGGATTCTGAGTGCTAGCGCTCGACCTCCGGAATGATTGCCACCGGCGCCTTCATGGATCTCACGCATGACTTGGAGAGTCGCGTCACCGGAGATGCAGGAGAGGAGTACTCCGGCAGCGTTCCAACGACAAAGATTACCGTCAAACAGTGTGTACTGCGTGTTGCATGCTCGTAGACGTCGAGCTGCCCATTTGTCCGCTGGCACGATACCGTCGGTAATATAGTTGCGGATTTCTGTTTGCCAGTCAGAGTCGGTCGTGTCAGCTTGTGGAGTGTTTGTAGATACATTATTTGGTAGAAGAAGTTGAGTGATTGCGGAACAAGTTGAAGCCGTTAGTTTGTTGAGCGAGTAGATGATCGGATGTACGTTAGGGCCGATAGTTGGCGCAGGCGGTACGGATGCTACAATAATTAGATCGATGCTAGGCTGATCGATGCTTTCGACAAGGATGATGCAACGAAGGTCGGGATGAGACGTAAATGCAAGTACAGTAGCGCATCGGCAGGCGCATTATCGCTTCACAGAATCTTGTTGAGTTCAAAGAGTTCAAAGTTGCGGGATAGGTCACGGACGACTTTGAGGTAAGCGTCCATTCGGTCATTTTTGGCTTCATAATCGCCACTGAATTGATTGGCAACAAGTTGTGAGTCACAATAATCTTGGATCGGTAGGTCGGAACCGATACTAACGCATCGAATAGGATCACGTGTATCGATATTGACTTGGATCATAGATTCGGTTGGTGGGATAGATTGCGCGTTGTATTGCTGAGCAGGTTTGGCAATCACGAAAGCCCTTATGTTCTGTAGCTGGCGCTCGATTATGAAGCAGGTACGTGCTACCAGCGGATCACCCCTCAACGTGTAGATTCCATGTACGGTCGGAAATTTGACGCATTGATGGTAAGTAGATGCGACGGCCTTCATTTTGTACAACTATGGGGTACCGAGGATGACATTATAAACGATTGGTTTATCGACGACAGCAAAATTGAAGCAGTGCATCATTCCACCGACGTAAATTGGCAGCATGATAGTGCCGACAGTCATGACCGTGTCTCTGTCAAAGCCAAGTAATGGTTGGACGTTATGTTCGGTCGATCGAAAATCTACTCCCATTTGAATGAGAACATCCTTGAAAATGACATTAATCAAGCTGCCAGTGCCAATGAGGACTTTGGTGACGGCACTTTCGTCGATTATTAATTCGGCTTCCGTGAACGTGATTGGTTCGGTATTATCGAGAACTGGTGCGCTATTGGCGATCTAATCACGGTGAACTTCGGCTTGGCGACGATAATTTTTGATTGATCGGACAGAATCTCGACATGTCGTCAAACCGCCCATTATCATGTGAATGCGATTCCGCGGAATAGGTGGATTATCGTCATGCCATGGTCCGTCACGGTTTCGCTTAGGGGGTTCGGGTCGTCGATCATTATCACGAGCACGCTCGTTCAGGCGAGGCTCTTCTGTTTGCTGTCGGTCATCCTTTTGAACTGGATGATATAAATTATCCTTGTGAGCGGCTACTTGGCATCGTTAATATTCGACATCGAGGTCGCCTTTTTTGAATTTTGAGAGAAGTAATAGTTGGAGTTATCGGCATTCATCGGTTGAGTGACCAAAGACTTTATGGAACTCGGAGTACGCTTGATTACGTTTTGGATCTGTTTCACGATAATATTTGTTCCATGGTTTCGAAGGTTGTGAGTCTGAACCATCAATGGCATACGTCGCTGCTTTCTTAGCTTTATCACTTTTAGCATAATCCTTATCGTAGTGTTGATGAGGTTCATAGTGATCGTCATGGGACTTATCTTTCGAACTCGATGCTTTGGGTTGTCGTTTTGCCATCGCGGCCTTCTCTTCTTCGACTTCGATGAATCGATTAGCGCGATGCAGAGCATCCTCCAATGTTGCTGGTTGAGTAATTACGAGATCTTCTCTGAATCGGGACTCAGACGAGCATGCGTTACGTAGAGCGGCGATCGCGGCATCGTCAGTTATGGCAATGCTGGAAACGACCTTCTTGAATCGTTCGATGAATTCTCTCAACGGCTCTTTATCCTTTTGAGACATGGTCCATAAGTCGGCATTCGAAGCACCCTTAACCATAAATATTGAGTGATGTTGCAAGAAAACGGAGGTAAGCTGGTGATAGCTGTCGATCGTATTGGCCTCGAGTCGTGAGAACCAGCTTAGCGCGTCTTCGATCAGGTTTTCCACGAATAACTGGCCGCTACCAGCGTCACGCTCCACAGCGGAGAAATTGGCGCGGTTGATCGCAAAGACTTCAGGAAAGGCTTCGGGTCAGTGAGACCGTTGTAGGGAATAAGCTTGACCTTGTTTTTGACATGGTGGACGCGTACTTCTGAGATGCGTGTTGTGAAGGGCGATCGTTGCGTCTCCTCCAATACCTTCTCCAGTTCGGGCGCGGAGCTGGTGGCTCGGTGCATTTTGGATGACATTTCCTTCAGTATTGTGTCCATACGTTCCAGCTCCAGATCGCGCGTTGGGTCGCTACTCTCAGCAGGTTGGTTTTGGAGACTTCGGCTGCTTGGCAAGGTATGGCCGTGCGGCAAGCCTTCGCGAGGATGCTCGTCGACAGATCCTATGATAATCGACGCCGGCCGGCGGCGTTGGTTCTCTGAGCGTTCGGCAGCAGGGGTGCGTGGAGACGGCAGTCCTTCCTGGTCGTCGCGATGTTGAGAGTCACGCCTACGTCGTCGGAGTCGTTCAATTTGAGCTTGGGCGGCAACTTGCGCAGCTACGAGAGCGTCCATCCGTTCGGTCGTCCGCGCGTCTTGACCATCAAGTCGGTCCAAGATGGTTTGCACAAGGTCATCCAGGTTGGTGCCTCGGTTGGCTGCTACGGCATGTCCGAGGGCGGCGTTGTCGGCAGCGTCTGCTACTTCGGCTGCTGCTACTGCTGCTACGGTGGCAGGTGCGGCTGGATGTCGTTCGGTACGCATAGGATGTGATTCGGCTCGAGCGGCCGCTGGGTTCTCCGGAGGTAGCACCATCGCGTCGGGCGTCGGTTGTACGCTCGTGTCTGTTCCTTGATCGCTTGAGGTGTCCGTCATGTCGTCTTGATCTTCTTGGGACATCAACGTCGTTCGTCCAAAGAAAAGCTTCGAACTTGCCCCACGGTGGGCGCCAATTGTTTGTACCGAGGTTGTAACAACAAATAACTATAGGATTTTCGGGGAGAACGAAGTGACTTCTTTATTAACGACGAACGAGATCGGTTAGTTACAAGGAGCAAATGACGAATGTACAGACTATGAGCTACGAACAACCAACGACCGTATACGCAAAGAACTATGACTAACGAACGAAGGTTTACGCAAAGAACTACGAACAACCAACGACCGTATACGCAAAGAACTATGACTAACGAACGAAGGTTTACGCAAAGAACTACGAACAACCAACGACCGTATACGCAAAGGACTATGAACGAAAGTATACGCTATGAGCTATGAGTAACGAACGCACGTATACGTTATGAGCTATGAGCAACGAACGCACATATACGAATAATTCTCTGATTCTCTCCCCCTTTTCTCTTCTCATCATTAGTCCTCTATTTATAGGACAAGGTTTATGACTTGTCCTTTGTGCTTCTCCCGTAAATTACCATTTTACCCTCCCGAGCTTGACGGGCTGGTTTGGAGAAACAACAGGCCCAATAAATGATTGGGTCTCTGTTTGGGCCAAATGGCATTTAATGGGTGAAGCCCATATCCAACAAGTGGGAACGTGGGGAAGAGGAAGAAGAATGGTTCAAAGCAACAAGCAAATCAAAACAAAAAACTATCTGCACATTGGGCTGTGAGGTTGATGAGATGGTGTCCTCGGGCAATCCGAAGGATGACGATAACTCATCACTTCCTCACTCGTGGCATTGAATTTGCACTCCTGAGTGCTCAGGTACGCATCGCTCTTGTTGTCCTCCATTATCTTCAAAATGCTCTCGAACATGGCAACTTCACAAGGAATCCTCAAGATACCAGCTTGCTCAAACCCAAACTCTTCTTCTGCTTCACGCAACAGCACATGGAAAGCTTGGTGGCTAAGGTACTCTGTTGGTATCTTGTATCTTTTCTCCTCCTTCCCCACCGAGACAGCTAAGTAGCCTTTAGGAACAGCTGTTGTGTCTGTGAAGGATAGTGTCCTCTTCAGAAACTTGATGCTCTTGCTTCCACTTCCACTTCCACTTCCACTGTTGTTCATGTTGATGTTGTTGTTGTTGTCATCTACGCTGTCGATCTTGTTGTTGTTGGCTTGTTTTGATGCGTGTGCAACTTTTCGCCATTTCTTGAGGATCTGTTGAAGCTTAACTATCTCTCTGATTTTGTTTGACTTCTTGGCTTCCATGGCGGAAACTCTATAAGAAGAAATGGCTCTGTTCTTGGTGTTTGTCTATCTATCTCTGTTAGTTGTGTAATGGAGACATGGTGGCTTTTGGAGATTAGGGAGATATATAGAGGTGTTGATGACATTTGGGAATCTTGTTTTAATTAATTTATAGATTAGTTTTGAAATTAAATGTTTAAAATATTCGGCTAATCATATGCTTTTGATTTTCTAATTAACCAACTTGGAAACCTCTAGTTAATGGTATTACATCTTGTTTGACCTTCTCTTAACTTAAGTCGTTATTAAGGCCATGTTTGTTTATGCTTTTGGGATTGCTTTTCAAATTTCGCAATTAGTAAACACTTTTGTTATTGATAACACCACAATTATTTTATAAAATTTAGATTTAGATTTAGTTTACTCTTTCAGCCATTTATCTTCATAAAAATTGTAAAATAAATATTGAATGCAAAATATGATTTTAAATTTTCCATTAATGAATTGATCTTACGGTAGATGTTTTCATATTTTTATACAGAATCCTAACATTTTCATTTGAGATGATGACTCTTTCCGTTCATTCATTTCGAACAAGTTCCTACTTTGGACTGTAATAATTATTAGTAGCTTTTAACTTAGAATATTAATTGGTACTGAGTGATTAATTAATGTTGCTACCTAACACTTTTCATATTATACACTTGAATTATTACATCCGTGTTTCAAAATACAGATCGTATCGACATTTTCCACATGAATAAACAAAGGTTAAAGTTTCTATTTATACATATATCTTTGAAACAAACAACCTAGTAGACTTAGGTTCTTTCTTTACAATATTTAGTTTCAAATAGAGTTGAACTACTTATATAGTTTAGTTACAATATTTAGAGTTGAACTTCAAATATTTAGTTTCAAATAGAGTTGAACTACTTATGGTCTAGCTACAATATACATTGAATCTTGAAACGATAACTGTTTACTTTTATAGTAGAAAGAGTATCTTCAAATATTCTTACCGTCATACGTAATGTATGAATAGAAGCTAAATGAAATAACTTCGAATGTAAGAAAGAAAGAAAGAAAGTGAAGTGGTAGTGTTGTGGTCAGAGAAAACAAAAGGAACACGAAACATGGGGAAGGCTTCAGTTTCCAAAGCAAACAAACGGCTTCACACAGTTTCAGTTCACATGAATCTAAGCATTTGGATCTCCCATACTCTTTTCCTTTTCCAAAGATATACAGTACTACTATAAATAAATTTAGATATGCCTTTTTCCTAATTTTAGTATTAACGACAAAAAAAAAGAGAATTTAATACTAGTATTATTGGTAATTTACTTTTAACGACGCATCTCAATTCGAACATGGAGGACCGTGCCGGTAAAAGAGCTTCAGTTTCCACGTCACTGTTAGTGCGGTTTCGGGTTTTAATTGAACCACCCCATGAGAACTTTTTTACTTCTCAGATTTTAATTTTTATATAGAGTGATCTTTATTTCTCCAGATCCGATCATTTTATTTTCCAATAAAAACAGCTTTGCTTTAATCAATCGGTATTAATGAATATATAAATCAGTGATTATAAGACATATAATAAAACTAGAGGTTTAAGAAAGATAGTTTTCAAAGAAAATTAGATAATACTCCGACTAAATCATGATCGGTTACAACGACTAAATCATATGTTTTGAATTATATTCGAATTGGTTTAATTTTCTTATGATATCAACAATTAAGTCGGCTTATTATTACATGAAATGCATAATAAAAAAAAGTTGACGCCGATTTTATAAATTAAGAAAACTTATTTTTAATGCATACACCTATATTCAGTATTATAGCATTGAAGTTTTCAGACTGGCGATCGTTGCATGTGCTGTTGATGAACTAGCGGGGAAGCACTGAATATATCAGCAAAGATTACGCATAAAGCATAGATTATTTTATATAGATTACGCAAAAATAATAATATTATTTTATCAGAATATATTAGTTATAGTTTTTGTAACGAGTTTAAATTGGGCTATATTATATAACTGGAACTGTAAATAAAGAATCATTAAACTCCAAATTATAACTCTAAATTTGTGATTCGGCGAACGTTATAATGCACCAAAAATGACATTATTGAAATATCTTACTATTAATCAGTAGTTTGGTTATTGTCAATCTGGTCTTATGTTGTTGTTAATTATTTGATTGTCATTAGAAAACAATACAAGTCGTAGCACATAAGACTACGTATATTATAATATTTGTGCTGTAAAAGATGTAGTTGAATTAATATGATGGGTGTAGCAACAACTATTTTAAAAGTAAACATATTCGGGTTTTAACTTGGATTAAAAGTACGTAGTAGACACATTTTGTTCAAAAATAAAACAACAACACACTTTGCCCAAAAAAAATGAGACAACAACACATAATATATTTCATATTATGAGATTTAATTTCTTTTTAAATGATTGAGTAAGTTTAATCAATACCGGTGGGTCAACATATTCGGGTTTTAACTTGGATTAAAAGTACGTACGTACTAGACACATTTGTCCAAAACTAAAACAACAATACATTTTGTCCAAAAAAAAATTTGAGAAACAACAGAATACATTTCATATTATGAGATTTAAATTTTTAAAAATGAATGAATAAAGTTTAATCAATACCGGTGGGTCAACTGCTAGAGAAAGCATCGTCCACCGATTTTTGTCTACCCCGTCGTCGTAACTGCTATCCACGAGACCATTAGGCCACCAATCCACCATATACTTTAACATTAAACAATTCAATCTCCAAATGATTCATACGTAGTAGTGGCCCGTACAACATGGCCTATATCACAATACACGTTCTTCCTTTTTTTGTACGCATTAGTAAATTAGTTTTTAATTACTTATGCTACGAGTTTAGTTGCTCCAAATTCAAATGATTAGTTACTTACTTCGTCATTCGAGAAAAACAATCACTGTTATATATTTTGAGGGGGTTAGTAGGTTTATATTCCGTACATACTTCATGATATTAAAAATGTAAATATATATAATTTAATGAAAATTTGAGTTTATGTTGTAAAGTGGTACTAACCACCATGAAGAAACAAAAATAAATGATTGAGCACCTATGAATAATTGAGAAAATGTACCTTAATTAAAATCGGAAAAACTAGCTGGCTTTTATTCTCTGATCTTTCTACGTGCCATAAATCAATAATGATTTTCATGATTGTTATTGGTTTAAGATGATTGATTATTTGTAAATAGTAGTATATAAAATCTCTTTATTATATGATACACATTCCAATTTGCCGTTTTATTTTAACATGATCCTGTATGCATTTGCCTTTGCTTATCTGATTTCCAATGTCTTCGAGATTTGATTTGCTGCTATACAAAAAGGATAAATGTATAATAACATCTTATCGGCATATATCGTTATTGCATATGCTTTTTTGGATATCTGTATTGCAAATGAATTGAAAGGCTTTTTAAAACGTTGCAATTAAAAAAAAACAAGTTTTTTTCATCCAATACTATTCGCAGATATTTTTTGAAAATATCAAACGTTGCATTATATAAACAAAACAAGTTTTTTTAGATGATAATATTAATTTAGTTTTACGTACTAACACTTTTTTTTTTACGAACTAACTTAATTCGATTAATTCTGTTACTGGAGTTTTTACCCACAATAATAGAGAAAATAAAGAAAACATTGATTGAGTATACGGTATACTACCAACTATCCTCTCAATTTTGTTGCCGAACAATTTTTTTAGCTTTTATCATACTATTTCTTTAGCTACCTCAACAAAGACATTGTTGATCAAAGAAAAAAAAAAGCTACCTCAATAAAGAAACTAGGCCTTCAAGGAGGAAAACAAGCAAATCCTTTTTTCTTCATAAATTTTGAAAACGCTAATTTGACAACTCCGAAGCCCAAATCATTTTATAATTTATACTGGGCTGTAATATACGGATATCATCAACACACGTTTCTCACATAATTTTTTGAACGTGCATGGATAGCTCAAATTAATGGTACCCAATGAAATAGTCTGCAGCTGCAAGTATGTAGACCGTGTTAAGCTTCCAAAAGAAATGATTAAATACGTTACTATGAGTCTATATATGATAACACCAAAAGTATGGACCGAGCAATATAAAATAGATGACCTTGAGACCATAACCGAATTACCATTTATTAGAAAACTGTCTATATCCTCAGTGAGGTTTATCTCCAAGTTTCCATCTCTTTCATCTTTCTTAAATACGGTGACATTTTTTGTCTTTGCATATGACCATTTTTTTTTTCTTTTGTTAAAAGCATATGACCAAAGTTTCTAACTATACTATCCTACTATTGCTCTTGCATGATCTTATATAGTTTGGTGTCTTGTGATTCAAAATATGAAGTTTTATGCAGAACTATTTGTTTTCTTTTTCCTTTTATACCATTTATTCTATGATATTCCGCTGATACTTGACTCGATTTGAGGTTTTTTTTTTTTTTGCCATACATTTTTCAAAAAAAAAATGGTCCACATGAGTTTCAGAATTTAAGGTAAAGTTATAAAAAAAATATCCTGTTTACTTTCACTTTTAATAAATTAAGTTACCCAATACAGTGTATTATTACTGAATCAGCAGCATTACTTTTTTAATTGGGTTCCACAAATGAGAGCATATAATTCCTTATGTGGGAAACAGGATTCGAACATCAACGCCTAATATACATGTTGTCGGATCTGTGGCGAATGACTAAGCCAAAAACAATGACATGGACACATTATCATTAAATTGATCTCAAAGCTAGTAACGATGCATACCGTCTATGCAAGAATGTTTATGTTACTTGTCAGATGAGCAATCGACGCTAAAACAATTTTTTGAATAAACTTGTTTTAATTTTGTTCTTTTTTTTTACTGCTGGAATGTATAATATTTGATGATCTCACACTCAAAAAAAAAAAAAAAAAAAAAAGTCCTCTCAGAATAGATATGAACCGGACGATGTATAAACCAATCACTTCGTTGGTATATAGAGATACTTAGGAGCACATTGCTTATGGGACGAGGCAGCAAAGGAATTGGTCTAGTGAGGGACAAGTATCTAAAAAAAGTATACAACGACACATATTTTTTAGCTCAGTAAGCAAATCTTCAGATTTATTCATTCACGATTTTATGCTGCATATATTTATATCTGACACGCATTAAAGAAAAAAAACATCTTATGCTATAAATTAATTAGACATGTGCTATAATTAATCCTTGTGGTCTAAATATGTGTCTCTTTAACAAAAAAAACATACTTGTATATATCACATAAGTGGTGAAATTGTCTATAATACATTTATATTTGCTAGAATATTTTACTTTAACTTTCTTTTTTTGTATTGTTTTTTACCGCTTTTAACTATTACGATATCGTTTATCACTTTTTATATTCGTTAAAAAAATAATATAGTTTTGTCTCACCAATCGTATCATATATATAATAGTTTTTATTGTTCATTGTGTGATGCATAAAATTCAGGTCACACAATTTGACAGTAAGAAACAGATCTAGTGAAAAAACTTTTTCTAATAATTATGTCAAACATCCTAAACGTGTTCAGTCACAAACATTGATATGAACAAACTACGTCCAATTAATAACTACAGAACAAGAACGCAGCCAACTTGCCTATTCAAGAAACTATAATGCTCTTTATTTAATACGTTTTGAAATTATTAAAGAACCCAATATATTACTCGATGATTGATCTAGCTTTTTTAAGTTTCCTTTAGTTCTAACTAATGAGGATATAAAGAAGGAGCACTATCAAGTTTGCATTACAAAAGACTCAAATTACGAACCAAGCCGCATTTCCCGTCCAAGAACGTCACAACCAAATTAAGCTTGACACTCTTAAACAATTATTGCATCTCTAAAAAAAAAAAATTAATAATTGCATCTCTATTTTTACTTTATTCTCATTTTGATTCGTCAAATATAGCAATGACAGATTAAAAAAATCGGTCCATCTTCTACAGCAGAAATACTTGGAAGGTAATTAGAATCATAACCACAAGCATGGATAAAACAGAACCATAGTTAAACCGAGTCATCAAATTGACTAACCTGGCCTCTTTTTCATTGAAACCCGAACAATTCTTGTTATTCATTTAAGATTTAACTGGTGGTTTTTGTAAGAACAGTAATTTATTAGATGAATAATGTCATTCGTTTTAATAGAATTTTCATTGCAATATATTCTATCAGAAATGAAATAAATATTCCCATTCATTTTTCTGCGTTTGGAAAGTGGAATAATTTTTCAAGAGGATCGGTTATTCATGTAATGGAATAAGAATAACCAAACATTCGATCGAAAGTACTTAAATACCTAAATGCTTGTCTTAAAATATATCTAAGATATAGGATCCAAGATATCCGAATATCATATATGAAAAATTCAACATACATTGAATATTCGAATTTTTAATGAAGAGACGGACTATGCATAAACTTTGGAAAGGTCTTTTGGGATAGTCCGATTGGAAAAGTACCATAGTCTGAGTAAGTTTTTAAATGTTTGTCCGAATCTAAAGACATGTATATGTTTTGGCTTATAACCTTTTAGTTACAATAGAAAGGAAGTTATTGTGTACTGAATTTTTCATCTGATATCGGTGATTTGCTACATCTGATCTAGATAGAAAAAAAAAGTTATACTTTGAGATGAATCCAAAACCCTATGCTATGGGGGTTATATTAGTCTATAAATGTTATTAGTTACCGTCTCTCTGTAGCTCTTCCTCCATAAAGAGTTGTAATATTAAAAAAAAATAAGAGAGAGATAAGTTAGTGTGAATTGTGGAAGTAATTAACAGCTAGAATTCCAACGTGTAGGAAGATAGTGAATGAAACACACATAAAACCAATTAAACTTAGTCATGATGAGAGGGAAGCATGAAACTAATCGGCGATGGTTAAAGGTCGGCCTCATCTCATGTCTGTGTCTTATCTCATATAATAATCACCCACAATATCTGTACATGGTCCTCGTCAGATTTCACTCATTTTGTATCATCGAGAAATTATGCAGTACTAGTTATTGGCAAGTTTTTTATTGCTCCATATTTCCATACTATATTATAATTTAATAATTTACTTTGTAAAGATATATTTGTCAGATTCACCAGGTATTAGGAAAAAAATCCGACTATTGGTTTCGAAACTTTATTGTATGTAATATGAATACGTGTCAACGTGATGCATGTATTAATGTATAGATACATACATCATATCGATATCCTTTCAAGAATATATAGATCATAAATTAAAATAATGTTTTTACAACTAATGCAACGTGTATTTGAAAAAATAAATAACCATGTGATAAAATATAAACACACAACATCTATTTTAATAAGTTGAAATTTGTAAACATCCATCTACTAAAACATAAACACACAACATCTACTTTGTGGAATAACATAAACTTTACTTGACGGCTACATATACACGAAACATGCATGATTAACATAGCTCCTTTAACAAAAAGAAGTATATATGACTAGAAGAAGAAAGAAAAAGAAATGATAGAAGATAGAAATCAAAAGCGTGCAAGAATTATATATACTATGATATGGGCTCCAACTAGAGATCACTTGTTGACAAAGAAGGAAGAAAAAAGAGAGAGAGATCACTTTGGAAACAACAATGGCGAACAAAAGGACAAATATATGCCACGTCATCCCCTCCATCCACCCCACGTACCTTTATGTCATTTCTCAAAGAAAAAATCAGGTTCATTATGAATTTTTCTTTTTATTAATTAATTATCAACTATTTTAAATTATTTGGTTATCGTTTCATTATCGTTTTTCTTATAAATAGGGTCTTTAAACCTTCCAATAAGTCACATATAAAACGGCGTCACAAAAAGAAGATAGAAACTTCGATAAGTTTTGAAGAAGAAATGGAATGGAGAGAATGTTATTTAGATGTGATCTTGGTGCCGCTAGGGCTAATGGTGTATGCATCTTACCATGTTTACTTGTGGCATAAGTTACGTACACAGCCTCTCACCACTATCATCGGCACTAACGCTAGAGCTCGCCGTTTCTGGGTCGCTTCCATCATCAAGGTAACTTCAATTTTCTTATATAAACATCTTCACACACATAAATATATGATCCTATATGTATTTGATTAAATAGGACAACGAGAAGAAGAACATCTTGGCCGTTCAGACGCTTAGAAACTGCATAATGGGGTCGACTTTAATGGCAACAACATCGATCCTCCTCTGCGCGGGTCTAGCTGCGGTTTTAAGCAGCACATACGCAGTGAAGAAGCCTCTAAACGACGCCGTTTTTGGAGCTCGCGGAGAGTTCATGGTGGCTCTCAAGTACGTCACGATCCTCACCATCTTCCTCTTCTCCTTCTTCTCCCACTCTCTCTCAATTCGTTTCATCAACCAAGTCAACATCCTCATCAACACTCCTTTTCCTCCTGAGGAGTTGGAGGATGAGATGATGATGACGGCGGAGGAGTACGTGGCGGAGTTGCTAGAGAGAGGGTTTGTTTTGAATACTGTAGGGAATCGGTTGTTCTACGCGGCGTTGCCTTTGATGCTTTGGATATTTGGACCGGTGCTTGTGTTTTTGTGCTCAGTCGTGATGGTTCCTCTTCTTTATAACCTCGATTTCTTCTTCTTCGGTAAAGAAAGAAAAAAACTCGATCAAAAGTCTAGTTTTGGATCTGTGTAGAATCGAGTTTTCGTCAGTAGAACAAGTGCTTGTAATTAAGTGATATTATCGTCCTATTGGTTACGGCCAGGACAACTGAACGCATGAAGAATTTACATGGAAGTTGAAAATTTCGAAGATTATAGTTTAGCTTTCAATTTTAGATCTTTCGATTAAGAAAAGAAAAAAAAAATCTTACTATTATGCGTTATAATTATCATAGATTAGGGTTTTTCGGCCGTATGTATTTTGTGTGGTGTAATATATGTCACGTTTTGGTTTATTGAGCGTTATTATTGGCATTTCCATGTGGGTGACTTTATAACGTATCAGCATATCGCACAGCTCTCTTGGTATGTACGTTTTTTATTCTGTTATAGCTAGTGTTTATAATGCATGTGGCTTACGTTGGGCAAGAAACGGGACAAAAAATGTGATGTTCACATTTATTCCGTGCATTAGTATCTGTCTTAGTTAGTTTAGTTTTTTTATTTATTTTTAGTTAGTTTAGTTGTTATGTTATGTGTTAGGAACCAGTCGTCACGAGCCTATATATATAAATCCTCCCTAGGACAATGTAGAAACATACCTACACGGCTACACGATTATTTTCTCTGCGTAGTATGAAATCAAAATGTTTAGAACTCGTTTAGAGATGTCAATTCATATTATGATGCTATATAGCTAATTATATCCGAATCTAGTTCTGAAGCCTATGTTCGCCTAAATTAAAATTATTTGTTAACTAACTCTTATTTTCATAGATATTTTCAATTTTTGTTAGATTAGGTATAGAAAAAGCTACTTCATGCTACAAATAATTACAATTTTACCGATGGAAATTTTCGTAGTTAAAACTTTATGGATCCGTTGCAAACTAGCTTTGGATTGGTAATAATAGCCACTAATTTGTAGTTACTGACCATTTAACCACGAGATAGCCAATTATTAATGCTGGCAAAAATACTATGGGCTGTCCTTAAATGGGCCTAAATTCTCTTTTTCTTCATTTTAATTGAAAGCCTTTTATCAAAAAAAAAAAAACAAAAAAAAAAATGTCGAGAGAATATGACGAAGGCATTTGAAGAATTGAAGTAGAAGCTCAAGCCAAGGATAAGATGATAGATTACCTCGAAAAGCAACTAAGGAAGCAGACTGTCTCTGTAATGATTTAACAAAACGTAACCACGTACAACATAAAGTTTGGAAGGTCACTGCACTGTTTTGTGTTTGATCAGCATCATACCTTACTCACTTGGAAATTTGTTTTACTAATTTATAAGTTAAAAGAAATCATAAAACTATAGTTCTTTTTTGTTTTAATGTGAATCATATATAGACTATAATCTTCTTCCCAGTTTTATTTTTTTGGGAAACTTAGAGAAGAACAAAGAATTGTGAGGCACTGAGGCTGATGAGTGATGATTCGATGAGACCGCAACTTTGGAGTATATTACCAATAGTTCGATTCATTTCAATTAGGCTTTGCTTCATATACGGGAGATTATAACTAGTTATTAATGAAAGGATAAATTACGTTAATGTCATTGCTTCTGGTCTGAGTTGGCATACTCCACGTACCACGTATATATTATTTAGTAGTTGCTAATTAATTATTCTTTGTTTTGTTAAAACTATTATAATTTGGTTAATGTCAAAAAGCAAATGATAGACCAGACACATCTCTGATAATCCAGCGGTACTTATTGTCATGATTATGTGATCCTAATCAATCGTATAGATTTAGCTATCGCGAATCGTGATTCCAACCTTTACATAAATTCTTTTAAAATTAGGGTAAACTGTGTTGGATCAAGCAAAATAATAAGATATACTTATAAAATTGTTAACGTGCCGGTGTTGCTTGGAGAGAAAAACAAAGATTCTTAAGCTCTCAGGCAATGTTATACATTGCAAATTTCGTTGAATAAATAAACAAACGAGTATCGAAAAATTTAGAATAGAAGTTTGCTTAATTTAACGAGAAATTAAATGGCACTCGCACTGCTGGACCATACATATCCCACAAAGTATGGTGTGCATTGATGATAGATGATAAATACACATTTCCTACATACATATATACTTGTATACATATATACTTGTATACATATATATATATAAGAAAATCTTGAAAATATAGAGCACATCTTCATTTTTCATACAGTATAAGAATATGTATTGAAAGTTTGTAACACATTCGGATTAATTTTTTGTTTGTTTTTCTGAAGTTAAGCCGGACGTAGTAAAATTATTACTCCACTCATTAGCAGGCAAGTAGATGAATATCATAAATTTGAGATCTGATTGAATTGCTTTCGAAAAAGGACAATAATATCGACTGGTAAATGGTTGTCATATTTTACCGAAAAATATATAAAATTGATCAACCATTGGATTTACGCCACGTCATTAATGTGAAAATCCGATGGATGCCGCGTGTCATCGTCGGTCACGACAAACCCACGAAGCCATTAACCTCACGTTGTCAACACAAACAAGTACTTTTCTCTCGTCTTTGCACGCTTTTTTTCTCTGTCTAACACAAGAAAACAAAGTTAAGAAATTTCTACGGTCCATGGTCAAAAAAACACCTTCATAAATATATATAGAGAGATCGTGAGAGAGCAGAGAGGAAACGTTTCTCTTGTTTGTTGGAATCTCCGTCCCTTTTCGTTGATCGACGGTGGTGAATCTAGACATGGCGGCTGCGAAGCTCGTCGCTTTGTTACTTCTTGCCTTGCTTTTCACCACCAGCGTCTTCGCCGATGCTGATGAGCCGGAGATTTCTGAGGCTGCCGGATCCGATGGCTCTTCCAAGGTCCAACTGGATCAGCTTAATGCCAAGATCCGTGTCCTAGGTTAGTTAGCGACTTGCATTGTTCAGACTCTTCCCTCTGATCGATTGATTGCAAAGTTTTGATTTTTATTTTACTTTAATTCGTATTGAAATCGGAATCTGCATAGTTCGCATGTTTTTAGTTGGACGCTGATAGAATTACTGTTTCAGCTACTTGATGTGTTTCTTTTCTTATAGCATTGACTTAAATTAGTATCTTTTGGATCGATTTCAGATGTGAATCGTGTTAACTTGTCCCCAATCTCGAATTGCTTGCTATGGTTTTGTGGCATTTGCATAATCCGTCCTGTTTCGAGCTTGTTATAGCCTTTTTTTATTTGGTGAATGCAAATTATGGTTTTTGAGCTTTATGTTTTCTTTTTGTTTCGTTTTGAAGAATCCCAAATCGATGAGAAAACCCGGGAAATTCAGGGCAAAGATGAGGTAGTAGCAGAGAAGGAGAAACTTCTCAAAGAAAAGGAAGACAAGATTTCTTCCTTGCAGACTGAAGTCTCATCACTACAAGTATGGATCTTATATAGTTTCAGTTTCATCTACTTGTTTGGAACGTGTCGTAAATTGTTTTCATGTTTGGTTTACACCTGATCTGTGTGCTTTCACTCCTCTCCAGAAAAAGGGATCATCAGATTCTGCAAAACAGTTGGGAAAGGCTCAAGCGCGAGCTGCTGAATTAGAGAAGCAGGTGGGACTTTAAGTTCAAGAATTCAATCTATTTATATGGCTAGAATTTGCAAACGGATATCTGATTTTTTTGTGATGCTACTTCTGCCATTCAGGTAGAGGTACTCAAAAACTTCTTGGAGCAAAAAAACAAGGAGAAAGATTCCACTGAAGCTCGGACTAATGAAGCTGAGAAAAAACTAACTGAACTAAACTCAAGCCTTGACAAAGTATGTTTCTTTACATCTCTCGTTTCACTTTTGCATTACACTGTTTCATTTGTTTTTTTCTCTAAGGGGCATGGTAAATGCTTAGTTACTTTTTTAATCTCAGCTTTAGCTAGTCTTTGTTTAAGGTTGATGTCAAAATATCTTCATGTTCTAAGCCTCGTCATTTATGCTATGTTATTACCATTGCAGTTTCCATTCTCAGCTATATTATATCTCATTAGGACAGCTCCTTGCATGATTTGATACTCGTGTTTGATCTAAATTCGGGCTTGAGTTGTATGGGAATTCTTTTGAACAGGTTTCATTATGCAATCTGATTAGACCATCAGAACTTTTTTACTTCCCTCCTTTGAACTATACCGTCGACAATGCTTCTTTGGATATGTACTTTTGGTTGAGCCAATTCTTATAGTAATGTCCTGAAGATTTTAATTATAGTATCTGATGTCTTGCAGCTTCAGAAGACAAATGAAGAGCAGAAGAACAAAATAGGAAAACTTGAACGTGCTATTAAGATAGCTGAGGTACAGTAACCTCTTATTAAATTAGATTTCTATGCCTTTGGTTTCTGCCTCACATATAGCTTTTTTCCAAATTTTAAATTTCAGGAAGAAATGTTGAGGACAAAGCTTGAGGCAACCACAAAGGCTAAGGAACTGCTGGAGGTATTGGTTTGACACAGTTTTACATTTGGCTGTCTCTGAAGCTATTATAGCAGTAGATATTTCACTGTGTGGGAAATTAGCAGAGCCTGGAATCTGGAATTCAGCAGAAAGCTAATATCAATTGTTTTATTTACTCAGGCTCATGGTTCGTGGCTTCCCCCTTGGCTTGCTGTTCACTGGTTTAAATTTCAGGCAAGTTTTATGCTGGCCTTTTTACAGTTTTGTAATATAGCAGTTTTTTCCCCAATTAACATAGGGAATTTCATGTACCCGTAGACTTATACCGAGACACATTGGGAGGCCCATGGGAAACCTGCTGTGGAGACAGTAATTCTAAAGGTACTGTTTAAATTCTGTCCTATACTCCTATTGAGATTTATGCCTCTAAACAGTATGAGAGCGTCTGGCTAATGAAGTTTACTTATTATTGAGTAGGTGACGGAAGCAAAAGCTCAAGCTGAAAAGTGGGCTGAACCACATGTTGAAAACGTTAAAACTGTTAGCATCTTATTGGCAATTTTTTTTTTGTAGTAAATATCTTTGACATTAATCGAATGCCTGCATTTTTGATGAGTCACCAATTTTTAGAGTTATAATTCGCTATGTTTTATGACACTACTTGCAGAAATATATTCCAGCCATCAAGGAAACCGTTACTACACATGTTGAGCCACACGTCCGAACACTATCCATCAAAGCTAAAGAGGCTTACCATGCATCAAAGAGTGCTGTTTCCCCTCACATTGTCACGGTTCAAGAATTTGTAGACCCCTATTATCAGGTATAGTGTCTTTATCAGTTTATTCTTCCACTGATAGGTTTGGTACACAATAATCAGCTAATATTTACGGATGTAAACTTAATGCTTGTTACAATTTCCAGGAGGCCAAAAAGTTCAGCAAGCCATATGTCGACCAAGTGGCCACGACCACGAAACCACATGTTGATAAAATGAAGGTTGCCATGAAACCTTACACAACCAAGGTGATCATCGTCTATACAGAGTTCCTTGAATCCGCCACAACTTATCACCATCAGGTCTGAAACCAAAACCATTCTGATGTATACTAAAAATAAATCTGAGTTATTCCACTTCTTGGACTCATCAAAAAGTATGCTCGACTTTTAAAGCTAAAATCTGTGTTCATCTGTGAAGGTCCAAGCCCATATCGAACGAAAACTGAAAGACCATGAGCTGACGGAGCCTTTTGCTACCAATGAGTTTGTTTGGTTTGCGGTATTTGCCTAACTTTCTTATAGAACGTACTCTGAGACTGCATCCTTTATGTGTTTCCTCTCTAACTTCAAATCTAATATCTATCCACTGTAGGCCTCTGCATTGTTGGTATTTCCCATCTTCGTTGCTTACAAAGTGCTCTGTTCTCTCTTCTGGCAAGTCTTTTAATTAATCCATTTAGTCATTTTATGTAATATTCTTAATCATAGAAATATCTCATATGATTTTTTATCGCAGCACAAAGACAAAGAAACCTGTTAAACACCCTCATCACCATGGTCGTCGTAAGGCCAAAAGGGGTCACACTGACAAGTGATATTCATTGTTCCACGCTCTCGAAATAGTCGAGGTACACTCTGACGTTTAACTTTGCTTGACATTAGCGACATTGAGTAGGTTATCTGAGGAACATCTTCTCCCTTAAAAGTATTCTAGTTATGAGTTTTCTAGCTTCCATCCTCAGAGGAAATCATGTAGTCTAGTTAGTGTGAAATTAAACAAATATGTAGTGTTAGTAACAGCCAAACTCAGATTATCGATTGTCGCTTATCTGGCTGGAATGTGGTTTTGAGTATCTGATGCCACATAACACTAGGTGATTATGTGTCGCTTCCATGCTCATCGTTGTATCTTATTCCGTTGCTTCTTAATCGCTCCAGGTCACGAGGTTAAAACGCCATTGTCGTTGGACTGTTCTAAGGTCAGGTCACCGGACAGGTTGCTTGTTGAATGAAGGGAAAGTCTCGAGTTGGTGTCTGATGGGTGTTTAGAGGCTCTTTGTGCACAAGTATTGACTTCTTTCCTTTACTATATTGTATTGTTTTGGACAATTTATTTCAGTATTTTTACACAGAAGATTAGACATTACTAGAGAAATTCTAGCAACTTGGTTGTATTTTAGTGTATTTTTCTATTTCACGTGGATATATATTGCGATATCTTTAATTTCATTCGCAGTCTTTTCTTTCTCAACTTAACTTTATGCTTATTTCATTCATATTCCATTAAACTCTAGCATGGTTCTCTCTCTTCCTCAAATTATTTTCTTACAAAATGAACTCTTGGTCCCTTCATAAATTCATCAAAAAGTTTTAGCCAACCTTGAAAAACGCAAAACGTGGAAGAGATAATGAAGAGAAATATTGGAACTAACAATTCATCATAACTAGAGTATCGAGAGGCCAACAACAAGTCTTGGGACCCGATTTGAGTCAAGAAAGAAGCATGTATCTATCTTAAAGGCACTTTACCGTTTCCACTTCCACTCGATTTTCTTGTTTATAAACATCGCCACTTCCACTTCCTCTAACACCCCAAAGTCACAGTAACTTGGTACAAAAAAAATGTCGAATACCAACGAGCAAGAAAACGCCACCAGGACAAATGTGAAAAGGAAGAGATTCACTGAGATGGAAGTAGATATGATCATGCCTGATCCATCTCCAAAAGGTAACAACTATTACTCAGCCTTCGAGATGAATCTTGAGTGTGCAAAGAAAGTGCCATCCACCAATAGAGACCAAAGGGCAACCTTTTACCTCGGAGGGATCTGTTGCTTATTTCCGGGAATCGCAGAAGAGCTTCAAGCCGCTGTTCGTTCGATGGGTAGGAGATTGACAATCATAAAGATTCCTTCAGATGCCGCAAGAAATGGTTTAACTGTCCCACCAAAGATTATGGATGGCCCAAAGGCAAGAGCTATCTTTGGTTACTTAGTGATCATGCTTTACAAGAATGTCAACGAATCAAACTTTAGAGAATTTTCTAACAAGCGTTTGAAAGCACTTCGTGCTGTCGCTAGCTGTATTGAAAAAGGATATATCTCAGTGTTCAATGATGTGGAAGATGCTATCTGCTATCGAAACTCGTATGGTCAGAATCATCAGATCCGTAAAGCTGTTCTGAGTACTGTCCTTGATACCGTCAATGGCGACCGTCATTTCTCTAGTGTTAGTCTTTATGTTGCTAATTTCCTCTCTTGGACAGACATGGCAGGATATCATGTTGTCGAAGAATGTCTTGTTTATCCTGATTCCCCTGTTCTCAAAGCTCCTGAGCTAGCAACTGAAGTAAGCAATTGGAAAAAAGCAGATCAAGCAATCATGGAAACTGACTCGCCTCAGTATTACAGGATCTTGCATGAGGACCCTGCGAGCTGCTCTATACTTAGAAGAGCAAACTTTCCTACTCTCATCGCTGTTGCAGAGAAGTTGAAGAATAGAGTGCTTGGTGGCAGCAACAAGGTTGTGAATGCAGAGAGATCTGATCAAGTAGACTACTATTATGATATGCATGTCAAGTACTACGCCTCTGGCGGAGTGTGTGAAGCCACCAAGCGTATTCTCGACTACTTTGAAGCAAATTCTGAGTCAATAGCGAAGCATCTGTTTGGTTGGGGATAATGTTTCATAAATGGGTTTCTACGTACTCTTTGTCCCACATTCCATAGTTTTCTGTCTCTTTCCTTATGGCTTTTAGGGTCTGATTTCATTCTACATGGCGTCCTGTTGTAATCAGATATTTTAATATGTTGCTTCTTTTGAGTTTCTACTGTTATATTTACAATGATACTCATTAAAAAATTGAAGGAGGAGTTTCAAAAACAGAAAAACAGAGCATGACAGCTCAAAACAAACACAATTGCTCCTAACATGTACTAAAACATAGCTGAGAGCCTGAGACAAAGAAAGAGTTAGCCCAAAGATTTCTTCTACGCTTGTCTTCTTCAATACGCGTTTTGTTTATGAATTCTAAAAACTGATAAACCTAAACAAACCGTTCTTGGGGTAAAAAATAGTAGATCCTTTGTGGATTGGTTTTGATGGTACATCATACTTTTTTAAAGATTCCTTAGAACACTATGGTAATTGAAATCAATAATTTACAATTGTGTAGAATTATAATTGGCTGACTTGTCTTCCCAGTTTCCCATTATTGCTGACTTGTCTTCCCAGTTTCCCTTCTACTGAAAACGTCTTGCCGTTTATCGATTCGGCGGGGTTAATGAAAACGGAGTGCTGTGTGTGTGGTTCTTAGAATACGACATCGTTCTGTCACTAGTTTTAAAACTTTTGCATGTAATTAAATTGGAAATAAATCTCCATAATTTATTTCTTTAAATTTTCTGATTTACAAATCTACTAACTCATCAAAGTAAATTCTAATTGCAATAATCTCTCTTTTCTTTCCCAAAGAGCTCCATTTCTCAATACTTTGCTCTTTATTTTTCCTTGGAAGTAACTATGAATTAGTTGTTCAAATAAAAAAATATGAGTTGTTCAAAGGTTTTTTCCACCAAATAAATATAGTTGGATTAATTACCAAAAGAAACAAAAATTAATAATATGGATTAAGGATTATGATATTAGTTAAAAAATAATTAGTTGAAAATTGAAAAAGAGAAGTCCGTTCGTTCCTCATTTGGAGCTACAGTGACCGTTTCTAGTGCTCAGAGAGAGAGAGAAAAAGAGAGAGAGGCCCTTTGGATTTGTGGGGGATTAGGGACATCAGAGGATTCTTCGATCTCCAGATTCTTACTTGAGGGATTCTTATTCGTTCACCTGCAGTTGTTCTTATCCTCCGCTTATTCCGCCGAGTGCCGTGGCGGCTGCTCTGCGCCACTGGTGATTTTGATGGTTCGATCGATCTTTTGATGTTCGTCTTCTTCCTTACGCTCTGAATCCATTTTCTGTCTTCTTTCCTTTCTCTTTTATTTAAATACCTGTTTCATTGAGCTCGATTATGATTATATCAACGCTTTACCAGTTTCTATCTTCTCTACGGTAATTTCGACGACAACGACACTGATGATCTTTGCCACGCGCATCGAAAATTTGAATTACATTTCCCGATTATAGGAATTGAGTCTTTTGGATGTGGTTCAAATGATATTTGGTGGTTTTGTTCTTCAATCTCATATTTTCATTGCTTGATGTTCTGTTTTGACAAATTGAATCTGGATTCAATTTTCAATTTGCACATTGCAAGCTCTCAGTGATTAATGGCTCTCTTATGTTCAGGGATTCTGAAGAGTGAGACTGTTAAAGAAGACTATAAGCTGGATATGATACTTCAAACAGTAGCTTAAGAGATATTGCGGTTATGTCAGAGTCTCGTCAAAGGCCTCCTTTTAAGGGCCCGAGATGGATTATCACTTTGGTTGTTCTGGTTACGGTCGTTGTCATCACCGCATTCATATATCCTCCGCGGAATTCTGTGGCATGCTATATGTTTTCTGGTCCTGGGTGTCCTTTATACCAACAGTTTTTGTTTGTACCTTCAAGGGAATTGACTGACTCTGAAGCTGCAGCTCAAGTTGTCATGAATGAAATCATGAACCTACCTCAATCTAAGACAGTAAATCCCAAGATAGCCTTCATGTTCTTAACACCAGGGACGCTGCCTTTTGAGCCTCTGTGGGAAATGTTCTTCCGTGTAAGAATTTCTTATTAAAATGTCCTTTAATCAGTTGGAGTTTCTTAGAGATGTAACTTTTTTGCCAAACGTATTTCTTATCCTACTTGACGAAATGGTGGTGGTTTTTTTTGTTGATTCAGGGTCATGAGAACAAATTTTCAGTATATGTGCACGCTTCAAAGAAAAGTCCTGTACATACAAGCAGCTATTTTGTTGGTCGAGATATTCACAGTCACAAGGTAAATGAGTTTGGTTACACCATTCAGTCGGTTTTATGCAGAAAATTTGATTAGTAGTGATTCCTATAGGTAGCTTTATTATGTTAATCTTGTGCAGGTTGCTTGGGGTCAGATATCCATGGTTGATGCAGAAAGAAGGCTATTAGCTCATGCTCTTGTTGATCCTGATAATCAACACTTTGTGTTGCTTTCAGATAGGTGATTGAATCATTGTTTCTTTCATATCAAATATACTAAGGTCTTGATGTAATGCTTTACTAATCCTACCCTTACCATCTTCTCCTTGTTCTTTGGCAGTTGTGTACCGCTATTCGACTTTAACTATATCTATAATCATTTGATCTTCGCGAATCTCAGCTTCATTGATTGGTAAGTTGTAATATTATGCCTACAGTTTACTCATGCGGTTGAACCTCTTTTATGTCTCGCTGTCATCCTGTCTTCTCTGGTATTAAGTATCTTCATCTTGCATTTTTCCAGTTTTGAGGATCCTGGACCACATGGATCTGGTCGGTATTCACAACATATGCTGCCTGAGGTTGAAAAGAAGGATTTTCGGAAGGGGTCACAGGTATGCGTTAATGTGTTATGTGATTAGATATCATATTTTCCCCTTTCTTCTTCCTGTAAAATGTTTATATTAGAAGTTTGTAGGAGGGATTTACAGTTCAGACAAAAACAATGGTCATGTTCTTATTGTAGTCATTGATGTTACCTTTCGTCTCTCCCTGCTATCTTAATCATCCCTCACTTTGCTTCTCATTCCTGATAATGATGGCTGAATTTCTTTTCCAGTTAGTTCTATATAAGCTTGACATTTTCCTGTGCGTCTTTATAATCATCTTTTTCAGTGGTTTTCAATGAAGAGGAGACATGCTATAGTCGTCATGGCGGACAGCCTTTACTACACCAAATTCAAGCTTTACTGTAGGGTAAGCAAGCCTTAAATTTCATGTGTTCTCATATTCACATATATTTGTTTATAACCAGCCAGCCATTTCTTGTAGTATGTCCTAATATTCTATCTCGTGACACTTTTTTCTGCAAATCTCCCATAATATTTGTGTTCTGCATATTTGGTGATCAACTAAGTCATCTAGTCAAGTTAGCAAGTGATCCCCCCTCATTGAGATTGTACCTTATTACAAAGTGGTTATGCTGTGTGATGTTCAAACAGAACTCATGTGTTTTCCTTTCTTTATAGCATAGAGACGATATGTTGGAATACTGAGACATGTTTTGTTGTCATGGAATTTCACTATTGATCTCTAATTGTTAGCATTTGTATACTTAAGCAGAATTTTCCTTGACGGCTTATACTAATTTTTCCACAGCCGAATATGGAAGGACGCAACTGCTATGCGGACGAGCATTATTTCCCAACTCTTTTCAATGTCAGTGTACTGCTTGCTTGTGTCTTCCTCTTATTACTCATTTTCCTCTAACTTCATCATAATCTCTCCGCTCATGATCTCTTTCTTTCAGATGATTGATCCAGATGGAATAGCAAACTGGTCAGTGACACATGTTGATTGGTCAGAAGGCAAATGGCATCCGAAACTGTACAATGCAAGAGACATCACTCCTTACCTCATCAGGAAAATCAAGGTTCCTCTTGTTCTTCTCTTTCTCAAAGCTCAGTTAGATTTATCTTTTCTGCTATCTTAGTTTGTGGTTTTAATCTGATATGCAGTCTATCCAACTTGCTTACCATGTCACAAGCGATTTAAAGGTAAAACACCGGAGCCTTCTTCTTATTACCATGATTCTTGGAATTTCTGTGACTGATCCATAACATCCTCTATGCAGAAAGTGACGACAGTAAAGCCGTGTCTATGGAAAGGAGAGCAACGTCCATGTTACCTATTTGCTCGGAAGTTTAATCCTGAAACTCTGGACCGATTGATGTATCTCTTCCCTAACTACACCTCGCTGGTTTGAAAGGCTTATCAGATTCTGGATTGTCCGGTTTGGTCTGTGTTAAGCTCTTACCAAAGCATACACCTTGTGTGATAAATATTAGGACCATTCATATTGCTGTTATTCAAAGTTGGGTTTGAGCCTGGCACTGACAAGAACAAGAACTGCTCTGGTGTTTTTTTTGGTTTATGGTTAACAAACATTAGCGTGCTAGCATGCGAGGTCCATGACAATTGTTATAGGTGGTTTGCTAGAGTCCTTTACCTCGTGGTATCGAATAACCATGTGGCTATGCCTTTTCTTCTGTTAGAAGGTGAGACCCAAATCGCTTTAATCCCACAAACATCTGGTTTAGCTTCTTCTTCACATATAATTGCGTTGTTATCTAATCTATCTGATGCTCGACATCTTTTCAATACTTCTCTTTGTCACACTGTCTCCAAACTGAATGGAAGTTGAAGGCGAGGAGGAGCTCTCTTTTTTTAACTGTCTTTCATCATCAGGAGAAGCTATGAGCTTAAATGCTTCCTTAATTGGTTCTGCAACTAGACATCCTGAACCAATTAGACATCCTGAACCAACATTGTGTTTTGTATTTGATCATCTAAGTTTTGTATTTGACTTTTTCTAATGGATTGATATAATTCCCAAAAAACAAACAAAAGCTGAATAAAAACGATCGCCAAACTATGGCCCGGATAACAAACCCATTAATTTAAATTGGACTAACATAAGGCCCACGTTTAATAAATGGAAACTAGAAAAAAAGTAAAGTTATGTTAACTAAAAAAAGGAAATTAGGCGTTATAAAAAAGGAAATCAGCCAGCTGGCACCGCCGTGAGTAGTGTCTATAAAGAAAGGAAAGCTTATGAGAGAGCGTCAGAGACTCAGAATTTTGTTTTGCCATCTTCTTTCTCTGTTTGGCGTATTTCTCTTGATCGCTATCTCATGACGAAAGACGATTTGTTTATCACTGTAAGAATTCTTCCAATTCTCTTGATTTTTAGGGTTTATTAATTTAACTATTATCAGTTCTTTCTCTGTTTCGCATGTTTCTCTCGATCGAATCGTTCATGCCCGAAGAAGTTTTGTAGCAATAATCACTGTAAGAATTCTTCCAATTCTCTTGATTTCTAGGGTTTCTAAATTTCACTATTATCATGTTTTTTGTTTTGTTCTTTTGGTTTTCTTTTCGTGGCTTTGATATTTGCAAAACCAAACGAATCGCGACTCTGCGTTTCAAAGTTTTCTGAGAATTATTACAAGTTCGTTCTTCTTCTTTTTTGTGTTACTTGATTTTGTTTAAGAGGGTTTGGTTTCCGTTTTTTGTTTTGCTTTTGTAGCGCTTTCGATACTTAGATAAAGCGTGAAATTGTTGCGATCAATTGTGGTTTATTGCTCTGTTTTTTGCTGTTTTGTTTATTTTTTTCAAAACCCAAGAGAGATCATAGGCAGACACTCAACTATTAGTGTTCTGTCAGATTCTTTCTTGGGGACATTGTCCCGTCGAGTTGGCTTATGAGGGATTTTGACCTGAGACTGAAAACCGATCCTTTACCCACGGCTTATTATTTAGACAAATATACTTTGGATTGGTTTCAGTTTTCGGGTTAAAGATCAAGTTACCCACGGCTTAAAACTTTAGTCTTTAGACTGAGACTTGAGACTGAACATTGATCCTTCTTGGTACACACGGCTTTAAAATCTCTAGACATATGGATCATGTTCAGTTTCTTGTTTCAGTCTTTAGACAACAGTTATTCACGGCTTAAAAAATGACAAGTCTTTAGACATAGACTTGAGGGACAAAACACTGGATTGGGTTATGTTTGGTGCAAGGAAATGGTACCATACGGCTTAAAATTGTAGTCTTTGGACTGAGACTTGAGACTGAATATTGATCCTTCTTGGTACCCACGGCTTGAAAATCTCTAGACATATGGATCATGTTCGGTTTCTTGTTTCAGTCTTTAGACAACAGTTACACACGGCTTAAAAAATGACAAGTCTTTAGACAGAGACTTGAGGGACAAAACACTGGATTGGGTTATGTTTGGTGCAAGGAAAATGGCACCATACGGCTTAAAATTGTAGTCTTTGGACTGAGACTTGAGACTGAATATTGATCCTTCTTGGTACCCACGGCTTGAAAATCTCTAGACATATGGATCATGTTCGGTTTCTTGTTTCAGTCTTTAGACAACAATTACACACGGCTTAAAAAATGACAAGTCTTTAGACAGAGACTTGAGGGACAAAACACTGGATTGGGTTATGTTTGGTGCAAGAAAAATGGTACCATACGGCTTAAAACTGTAGTCTTTGGACTGAGAGTTGAGACTGAATATTGATCCTTCTTGGTACCCACGGCTTGAAAATCTCTAGACATATGGATCATGTTCGGTTTCTTGTTCCAGTCTTTAGACAACAGTTACACACGGCTTAAAAAATGACAAGTCTTTAGACAGAGACTTGAGGGACAAAACACTGGATTGGGTTATGTTTGGTGCAAGGAAAATGGTACCATATGGCTTAAAACTTTAGTCTTTAGGCTGAGACTTGAGACTGAACATTGATCCTTCTTGGTACCCACGGCTTTAAAATCTCTAGACATATGGATCATGTTCGGTTTCTTGTTTCAGTCTTTAGACAATAGTTACTCATGGCTTAAAAATAACAAGTCTTTAGACAGAGACTTGAGGGACAAAACACTGGATTGGGTTATGTTTGGTGCAAGGAAAATGGTACCATATGGCTTAAAACTTTAGTCTTTAGGCTGAGACTTGAGACTGAACATTGATCCTTCTTGGTACCCACGGCTTTAAAATCTCTAGACATATGGATCATGTTCGGTTTCTTGTTTCAGTCTTTAGACAATAGTTACTCATGGCTTAAAAATGACAAGTCTTTAGACAGAGACTTGAGGGACAAAACACTGGATTGGGTTATGTTTGGTGCAAGGAAAATGGTACCATACGGCTCAAAACTTTAGTCTTTAGACTGAAACTTGAGACTGAACATTGATCCTTCTTGGTACCCACGGCTTTAAAATCTCTAGACATATGGATCATGTTCGGTTTCTTGTTTCAGTCTTTAGACAAAGCTCCTTTTGGTACCCACGACTTAAAAAATGACAAGTCTTTAGACAGAGACTTGAGATTCATAAACCAATCCTTAAGACAAAAGATTGGATTGGGTTATGTTTGGTGCAAGGAAAATGGTACCCACGGCTGAAAACTTTAGTCTTTAGACTGAGACTTGAGATTCGAACATTGATCCTTTTGGTACCCACGGCTTGAATATCTCTAGACATATAGATCATGTTCGGTTTCTTGTTTCAGTCTTTAGATAACAGTTACACACGGCTTTAAAAATAAAAAGTCTTTAGACAGATACTTGAGGGACAAAACATTGGATTGGGTTTTGTTTGGTGCAAGGAAAATGGTACCATACGACTTAAAACTTTAGTCTTTAGACTTGAGAGTTGAGACTGAACATTGATCCTTCTTGGTACCCACGGCTTGAAAATCTCTAGACATATGGATTATGTTCGGTTTCTTGTTTCAGTCTTTAGACAACAGTTACACACGGCTGAAAAAATGACAAGTCTTTAGACAGAGACTTGAGATTCATAAACTCCAATCCTTAAGACAGAGATTGGATTGGGTTATGTTTGGTGGAAGGAAAAGGGTACCCACGGCTTCATACTTTAGACTAAGACTTGAGATTCGAATATTGATCCTTCTTGGTACCCACGGCTTTAAAATCTCTAGACATATGGATCATGTTCGGTTTCTTGTTTTAGTCTTTAGACAAAGAAACCCACGACTTAAAAAATGACAAGTCTTTAGACAGAGACTTGAGATTCAAAAACACCAATCCCTTAGACAAAACATTGGATTGGGTTATGTTTGGTGCAAGAAAAATGGTACCCACGGCTTCAGGCTTTAGTCTTTAGACTGAGACTGAGACTGAAAATTGATCCTTCTTGGTACCCACGACTTGAAAATCACTAGACATATGGATCATGTTTGGTTTCTTGTTTCAGTCTTTAAATAAAGAAATACCCACGGCTTAAAACATTATAAGTCTTTAGACAGAGACTTATAATTTTAAACAATGGAAACTTGGATAATAAATATACAAGACGATGTTAATCTAACCGGATTTTGGATCCCGTCATTGATCGTTAGCGATTCCACAAATTCAACTTGTTTTTGCATCCTTATATAGATTTAGCATACAAGTTTCTGTTGAAAAAAATAAATACAAGATTCTTATGTTGGTTGATGGAAAATGGTACCCACAGCTTCAAACTTTGGACTGAGACTTGAGACTGAACATTGATCCTTCTTAGACATATGGATCATGTTTGGTTTCTTTTTTCAGTCTTTAGAGAAAGAAACAGTTACCTACGGATTAAAAAAGTCTTTAGACAAAGACTTGAGGTTCGAAATAACCAATCCTTTAGACAAAAGATTTTATTGGGTTATGTTTGGTTGAACGGAAATGGTACCCACGGCTTCAAACTTTAGTCTTTACTCTGAGGCTTGAGATTCGAACATTGATCCTTCTTGGTACCCACGGCTTGAAATCACTAGACATATGGATCATGTTCGGTTTCTTGTTTTAGTTTTTAGACAAAAAAACACCCTCGGCTTAAAACATTTTAAGTCTTTAGACAGAGAGTTATAATTTTAAACAATGGAAATTTGGATAATAAATTTACAAGACGATGTTGAACTAACCGGATTTTGGATCCCGTCATTGATCGTTAGCGATTCCACAAATTTAACTTGTTTTCGCATCGTTATGTAGATTTAGCTAGAATACAAGTTTCTGTTTAAAAAAATAAATATACAAGTTTCTTATGTTTTTAGAAAAGATTCCCAAAAAATTTCCATACGTTTAGCATGCTTCGAAGTTGTAAGAGGGTTCGTCGTTGTGTGGATTAGTGTAATTTGGATGAATAGACTTTAAAAAAGTAAAACTACATGGTTCAATTAGTTAAAAGATAAAGGGGATAATGGAAGATTGAAAGCAGAGAAAGATAGGTCAACAAAAATAAAAGAATATGTGTTGCTCTTTTTGTTTGTTATGGGATCAGGATCAGCCAATCAAAATTTCGCCAACTTGCTAATATGTAAAAGACAGACAAATAGAGTAACAGTGAAGATGGTGGTTGTGATGTGATGAAATGTATGCCGTTTAAGAAAAGTGAATATCAATTAGCTGAGATTTGTAAACTAAGAATGAACAAGTTCCAAAATATTTAGATCCAAAAGATCTTCCAATGGAGCTTGTTTGTGAAAATGCTAACTGAGATTTCTCCAACATGTACCCATTGTTGCAAAAGCTTTCCCTGCATTTTTATACAAACAAACAAACAAACAAATGTCACCAAAATGTATGAATGTTTGTTCACCATGAGTATGCGACTTATTAACATATTACATTTTAGCACTACTACATTCATATACTTTCAACTATCATCATATATTGGAAATTTGGATTGATGGCTAAAGTCATTATAAACTAGAAAAGGATTGGAGGATACTATTAGTAAAATCTCTTAAAAGTTCTCAGTTACCAAAAAGCTAAAAAGCTAGAAGGATATACAGACTTTTGTCTCTTAATAAATATGATATCAATTTATTTTGAGTAAAGAAAAAGCCAAATGAACTGGAATCAAAATAATGTAGGTCAAAAAAAGAAGAAGTGGAATTAAAAGAAAATCATTCTATCCCATCAAAACGGTAAGTAGCTGTGCGTTTCGAAGCACGTGGATGTTTCGTGATACAGCAGTAGCGCACTATTGGGCATTGAGACAATACAATAACCCCTGCAATCTAACGGTCAACCTTTTGAATAACCCTTGTAGGTTAAATCTCTACCGTTGGTTGGAAATTACTTTTCACAACAAAAAGTAAGAAACAGCGGTAAGACAGACAGAGAAGCTCGAACGGAGAAGAAGATTGTTTAGGCGAAACTCTGTTGCTGTCCGTATAATGGCGCCGAGGAAGAGTAAGGGAGATGGTGAAGAAAAGGCGAAACCTTTAACGACGACGGCGTCGTCTACAGTGACTCGGAGCATGGGCAGTCGAACTCGAAGTCAGACTCAACAAAACGGTGCTAAAGCGGCTGGATCCGCCACTAAGCCGGTGAAGCTAGCGTCCCCGAAGAAGGCGAAGAGGAAGAATTCAGCGATTGAGACTGGGAGAGCCAAGAAGGGAAAGAAGGAAGAGGAAGCAGTTGAGGAAGTTGAAAAGGAAGAGGAAGAGCCAGAGGTTGAGGATCCTACGAGAACGAAGATTGTTATAGAACACTGGTAATTTTTGCATAAATGTTTTCGATTTCTGTAGAGATAATTGATGGAATCGTAAGAGCAAAAATTTGAAATTGAATCTAAAAGCATAAAACTTTGGGGTAGTTGAACAATGTGTTGAGACTTGTGTGTCCGTGTGTAGCAGCTAGGTTTCTATTTTATATTTGTTAGGGTTTCATCTTTATTCTGCATAAGTTTTCGGTTTCAGTGATTAGTGGTTTCGTAAAGTATGCTGAGGGAAATGAAGTTGGGCCACTCATTTATCCTTTTATGTTTAGCTCGCATTCATAGTTTCACCATTTGTGAAGAGGACTTGACTATCTGCTTTCTGTGTGTGTTCTTGTCTTGCTTAAGCTGAATTACAATGTATAGTGGACATGTTCCTTCTACAAATGGGAGAGATTTGGAATTTGCTTCTATACTTATGTCTCAGCCTCACAAGAGTTTTTGTTTATGTTATGTTTTGGAAGTAAACAATGCAATGCTTTCAAGACAAGGGCTATTCAGGTGAAGGAAGGTTTGGAGGGAGCTGTTCCTGGCGTCAATGTGGCTCTGAATCCTGAAAAGGTAATGCTTTTTACTGCAAATGAATATATATTCATGAATGCTTGGTTTTGACTAATGCGGTAGAGCATACTTTTCTCATTATACATGATAAGATTTTCTTCTCCATTGCTAATTCTCTCTTGTGATGTGCTTGAACAGCCAAGGCGGGGTTGTTTCGAGATCCGGGAGGAAGGTGGCGAAACATTCATCAGTCTTTTGGTACAACTTTCATTCTTATATAAACAATTCTCAATTTGTCTCACTTCTGCATATGATATGTTCGGTTTGAGTAAAGGTTTATTGTTAGTACTAATTCTCATAACACCACCTATGCATATGAAAATGAGAACGATAATCAACTTGATCCTTATTCATTGCAAGATTGATACTGCTCTGCTTATAATGAAAACAAGTCACCAGGAATGACATTTGTGAACATCATAAGTTGGCTTTCCATCGCATGTTGAATGCTAATTTTAAATAAGAAAATATACATTGTGAATATGTTTTTGCCTTTCGATCTTAACTTAGACAAGAAAAAATGAAGATTATGTTTATCTCATTATGCAGGAGATGAAACGTCCATTTGCACCAATGAAGGCACTTGATATGGAAGAAGTCATCGAGGACATCATAAAGAAAATCAAATGAGGGACAGCTACAGACTGCAAATAGGCTTTTCTTGTGCCGATTCTGCCTCAGTCTCAGTTTAACCAATTAGGTTTCTGTAGAAAACTTTCTAGAGCAATGTCAGGTTCGTTAGGTTCACTTTTATTGTTTCGGTATGAGCACTGTAAGTGCAGTCCCGTCGTTTGGCAATGCATGATTGGCTTAGTTGATAGAGAATGAACTCTGTAGTTTTTGGGATTAACTCGTATTTGTAAGGTTAGTTTTTGATTTATCTCGTTGCTTGAAGCAAACCGATGCAGAAGTGTGTTTTTGTTGTTGTTGGGAATGTGCATGGTTTTACTTTTAACATTCTTTGCATTAATAAAAGCATGGTTCTAACAGTTAGAATTGTGTTACAAAATCAATAGGACAAACATCACATTTGCATTCAAATGGCTGATAAATACAATGCATGATGAGTAGAAAGCTCATAACATTTAGGTTTTCACTTCCAATGGTCGTGTCTCTCTTCTTAGTTAAAAAAGCTACAGAAAAATTGTTTTGAATCTCACCTACCATTATTGTCTTTAATCCACATCACCCATCTTAGAACCCAGCAAAGCTAGCCAAAAATGCTAGCAAGAGAATGACATCAAAGCTCGAACCAGCCTTAGAAGCAGAAGAAGATGGTTTAGCCTTATCAGCAGCTTCAATCTTCTCATTATCGGCGCTTGGAGCAGGAGCTGGAGAATCAGCCTCCGGTGTGTCTGTTGCTGTTGCAGTTGCAGGTGGAGTTTTTGGGACAGCAGAATCTGAGGAATTGTCATCAGCAGCTGGTCCTGGAGCTGTTGCAGCATTCATGGGAGATGGACCTGGAACCACTGAAGCATCCATGGGAGTTGGAGATGGAGCTACAGGAACGGGTGGTGGTGGAGGTGGGAAAATTGCTAAGCTGAGTCCAGGAGCCACGATTGGCATGCTGATCTGGATTATAGAGAGGTTAAAAGGATTGTGGTACACCGTCGAGACATACTCAGCGTTTAAAGGTGAGTTCTTCACTTCCGATCCAAAGTAAACTCGTCCTTCTGATTTGGAAAGGTTCAAGAAACCATTCATCTCTTCTCCCAACCCGGTGGTCTGGTATAAGGTCGTAAGCATTATACTCTTCTCCCTGATCCCCTGAAGCTTGAGCTCATCGTAGTAGTCAAGAACAATGTGAGTCATGAGGATGTTCCTGAGCTCAACTTCGGATCTGTTTGTGATGGAGCTTATAGCGTCATTGCTAACAGCGAGCACGGTTATCGTCTGGTATTTGCTGATAGGTACAATGAGCTTGGTCTTGATGAAGAGGTTGCTCATGGTGCTGAATTTGGAGTATTTTGCAAAGGCCAGCGTGATGTTATTCGCTGTAACGACCTTAGAGAAGACGAGTAAGATGGTGAGGGAGAGGAGAGAAAGGGAGGCGGCATTGAGACCCATCGTGTGTGTTCTCTCTGCTAAACCTCGAGGCCTTCACTCGTTTGGTATTTATGCAGAAGAATTAAGTGAGGAAGTTGTAGAAGAGTGGTTTAAAAGGAGAGATTTTCTCTGGTTTTGGTACTAAATCTGAACTAGTCTTTTTGGTGAGCTAAGTCTACTCTTCTATTTTTAGAGTCTAGTAAGACTTGGCCATTGAGTATTTAATTATTTGACGGCTAAATTGCGTTTTAACAAGTTTTTATGTTATGATGGAACTTGCATGTTTATTAGATGAAATTATCATTGTAATAAATAGTTCTTTCGTTTACAATCTGAAGAAGTTTTAATTAATGAATGGAAAAGATAACCTAACGACTTTTGACATAAATAATTAAACACTAATTTTTATTTTTTGCTAAGAAATTACAACTCATCCACTAATTAATATCATCAATCTTTTTGTATGATACTTTTGACATCGATATTTACGCTCGTAAATAATTTTTGGAAGCCAAAGTAAATATAAATAAGAAATGATAAATTATGAAAGATAAGTATTCTGAGAAAGCTAAAATACTTTGAATAAAAGAAGTAACAAAGAAATTTAGAATTTAGAAACTATCTAAAACCCCGTGAAAATGCAAGTAATAAATAAACGTCAATTGCTATGTTCACATTATATTTCGTTTTCGAAAATTTAATTAGTGAATTACGTAAAAGAGGTTTTCACAGTTAATGCCGCATGTTTATTTCTAAAATAAATATCAACATTTGATGGAAAAGATAGCCAAACGACTTTCAGTGTGGATGGTAAAACATTTGTTTTTCTGCTAGAATTTAAAAGCATCAATTTATTATGTTTTTTTTGTGATGAAATGTTAAATTTATTGATCAATATAAAAGGTGATTATGTACAAATTTATATGATATTGGGCATCGATATTCATGTTTGTACTTTGTAGAGTAAACTATAGAGTAAAAAATAAATTAGTTGAAGTTTGCAAAAAAAATATAAATGTTCTTAAAAAGGTAATTAAAAGTAAATAGTAAAATTAGAATTCAAAACGAGTTAATAACCGTGAAATCACAAAAAAAAAAAAAAAGAACAGTAGATGAACGTCAATTTGTATAATTAGAATATATTTCATTTATAAAATCATGTAAACGACGGATTACGTCAAAGAGGTTGTCACAGTTGATATCGCATTTATAATAAGCTGCTTAGGTATCAATTATCATCGAAAAAAGAATGTATAATCTATTACTATATTCTTACTATTCTATCTAACATTGTATAACACGTTTTCATTTGTCGGTTATATGTTCTAATTTAGTGGTCTTTTAACCACACATATATGTATATAATATGTAGAAACACACGAATATTTTAAAGTTTCAGCTTTGTACCAATTATTCGAATTGGCAACTCGGAGTTCATATTCTCTTTGTTAACCTACGAATACAGCACCTAATAATATTTTTTACACCGTTTTCATGTCTAATAAGTTCGGGCACATTAATTTGACCTTTATCTCTATTTTAAAACAATTAAATCGTAATATTATAATCTTAAGATACTTTTTAGAACAAAGTGACGACAATGCATGATGTTCACACTAACGAGATTGAACCCCAAAAAAATGGCTACGTGCCTACGTTAATTATGGTTGTTAATTAACAAAACAAACACGGAAGTATACTTTATATATGAACTATTAATAAAAAGGAAACAAGTTCATGATATAGTGGTTTCGAATCAAATTCGTTATAAAATCTAATAAAAATAATAAAATATAAATTACCAATACTAGTAATGTTAGGGATCTAAAATTAGAACGAGATGTCATCTTCTTGACAGAATTATTCTAAGTTGTACAAGATAAGGGTGACCTGGCACCAATCGATCCTTCATTGGCTACTCGAGCATATCTTTCGCAATAAGAATACCACGAAATTTATATATCCATTATTACGTATTGTGTAGAAAATTTTAAGTTTCTCAAATGAAATAATATGCAATAAAAAAAAAGATATGCAAAGAAATACAATCGGCTTTGAGTTTGATTATAAATCATCCAATTATAGCGAAAGTCAAGTTAAATATTCACATCATTACAACTTAATTAGGGAAATTTTTTGGTTCGTATAGCTACTTGTGCTTCTCCAATCTTGATATATATGTATGTTTTAGTTTTTCCTTGGATAATTTTGAAATACGAATTCTTAAGGTTATTAAATATAGATTATACGTATGAAGATAAATTTAACAATTTATTTTTCCACCCTTATTCTTGTGAAGTTTTCTCAAAAAAACTTGCATAACATGTTTGATCTAGCATAATTCTAATATATATAAGACTCGTAAAGTAATCTAATTAATATATATATGTTCAGTGTGAAGAAAAAGCAGAGAAATTTATGCGCAGTCGTATACAAAATCAATCAACAAATTTTTCGAGAAAAAGTTGATCAAATGTTACCTTATTGCTGTGACGCAGACGAACCATTGGATTGCAAAAGTAGAATTAGTTAACCCCAAAGACTAAGCGATTCGTCCTGACGTCTAGCGAAGTTAAAAATTATGGAACATACATAAATAAACAAATAAAATTCTATGGCTGAATCAAGTTGGGTTAGCTAAAGTGAACACATGAATGGATCGATGAGAATAATCTTTGGAAAGTGTATCTCGGAAGCCTCTAGAAACAATATATTAATTATTTCTATTTTTGGTTTTGTAGATGTTGCCGCTACTATATACAAGACCAAATGATGCTGACATGCATAAGATGCATGAGAACAATTAACATCTATATAATTGTGGGTGCCATATTTGTATTCACTATGAATGTGAGTTTTTTTTTTTTTTTTTTTTGGTGGAATGGGTTATGGATATGGGTTTTGAGATTTATCCATACCGAAAAACACTTTAACTTGTTGTGGTTTATTTTATGGTGTGATGTGACCTTTTTAAGCACTGTGACATTTATAATAAGATTACTACAAAATATTGTTAAACCAATATGGATTTTAGATATAACCAAATAGTGCCGAAATTTTAAATGATATTTCTTCTTTAATTTAGGAAAATACGCTTTTCCATAAAAATACTTAAAATCGGTCGCTAAGTAATTGTTAGATTAACGAATTTTTTGCCGATAACAGCTTAATTTCAAAAACCTATATATTTTCTTGTTTAAAGTGTTTACAAACCTATATATTATACAATATGAAACCTCCATTTTCCTAAAATTCATATATCTTCAAGTATACTAAGTATATATTTATAAAATGCACAAGTAAATCATGTAAAATAAATTTATGTATATAAATGTCAACTTAGGGTGGACCTAAAACGCTAAGCAAAAAGAGGAACAAAATGAAACCTTGTGGTTTGTGTTGTGTGTTGAGTGTTACGTTAAAGAGAATGAGTGTGGCTTGGCATCATCTCCCACGAGGGCCTTCGCTCCCACTTCCCTTAATTCTTCATGATGTCTCTCTTTTCCAATTCATTTGTGCTTTGTGTGCCACTTTTTGTCCATATATCTTTCCACAATTTTTGTTTTTTTTTTAAATAAATAAAATAGAATATTGCATTATTACAAAATTATTGCTAGAAGCAGAATCTGATGATGTTGAAGCGAGTCATTATCACATTGCATATGTAAACGAGGACCAAAGAATTTATAAAGATATAGAAGGAATTAAATACGGACAGTGACATAGAGGGGAAATAAATTACTTTAGAGAAGTGATCAAATCTCTGATGGTTAAAGAGTTATAAAAATACTATAGTTCCATACTTTGATAATTGACCGAGGATTTCCTGCTAAAATTGAAATTAATCTCCTATTTTTCTGTTTTTTTTTTGTTAAACCCTAACTTTAAGTTTGGGTGTGAGTTTTAAAGTTGAAAAAGGCGTCCAAAGTTGTAGACCTACCCATTATGCAGTGTATTCTTAAAACTAACCTACCACAAAATCAATTCTACCATATATATTTATAGGGACTAATGTGTAATATATAACGGTTGAAAATGTATTACAAATTTTACATGAAAATAAAAACGGAAAATATATATATATATATATATATATATATATCTTATTATATAAAGTATGGTTTTCAAAGTTAATAACTCACGAGATCGTGACACATGTCAAATTTTTCGATCTGAGATTTTGACATGTGTCAAATAAAATTTTCCTTTTATAAAGAAAAAAAAAAAAGTAAAAAGATAATTATAAAAAAATTATAAATTTAAACAGTTTTAAAATGTAAAAAGCTAATTATAAGGAAATTGTACATATATTTCCATAAGAGTTTTTCCATCTAGCAAGCAAAATTTTTGTTTTTAGAAAGCTAATTATAAAGAAATTGTACATATATTTCCATAAGAGTTTTTCGAAGAAAAAGATTTAAAAATAGAAAAAAAAACCAAAAAAATTATACAATCAATTATTAATCCTATAAGAAAAAGGATTTTAAATAGTCACATTTAGATAATTATAAAAAAAAATTTATTTTTTAAAAGTTTTAAAATGTAAAAAGTTAATTATAAAGAAATTGTACATATATTTCCATGAGAGTTTTTGCCATCTAGCAAACAAAATTTTTGTTTGTAGAAAGCTAATTATAAAGAAATTGTACATATATTTCCATAAGAGTTTTCCCAAGAAATATTTTTTAAAATAGAACAAAAAATTAAGAAAATTATACAATCAATTATTAATCCTATAAGAAAAAAGAATGTAAATAGTCACCTTTAAATAAACAAATAAATTGTCTCATATTTTCTCATCAAGCAAACTAATTTCTTAACGATGTTATATCATATCAATTATAAAAAAATATTTCGAATCACGATGTTTTTCTAAAAATAGCATGTGATATTCAGATCTAATGAATATATGGCAATTGAGGCAAATTAATAATGATGAACGGCGATAGACATAGACTAGAGTTATTGTCGGAGAGCCTTGGTCCAATGTCGGAGGAGATAAAGAAGGTGGAGTAATAAGAGAAGTTGGGAAAAGAGGATAAGAGACGGTAAGTAATGTTGGTGTTGATGATGGTGGTTCAAGCTTGGTGGTGGTAGCGGCGGTAAATATTGATGAAGGTGGTGAGTCAGAATTAACGAGATTCGGTATTGTTGGTGGTGGTGATTGTGATAGTAGTGAGATTTAGTTGTGGTGGTGGGTCAGAGTAGTGAGCCCGGTGGTGATGCCCGACAAATGCGAGAAATGTAGATAGGGAAAAAAAATAAAGATATGGTGGTGAAGAAATCCGACGGAGAGAGAGAAAGAGAAAGAAAGAGGAGTTCGAACAAAAATAAGAGAAATCTAATGAGAGAAACATAGAGATTTGAAAATTAGAAAGAAGAGAAAACGAAGAAACTAATAATATGAGCCAAAAAAATGACAAAAGCCATGTAGCAAATAGATAATGTTTAGTCTGATGTTTTTTTTTTTTTTTTTTGTCATCCGAAACTACTTAGAGCTCAAAAGAGCCATTCCTGGGGAATGTTGTTTACATATGTGATATGAAGCGGTTCTGTACGAACTTTTCGTGCCAGATTATCCGCTTTAACATTAGCACTACGAGAAATTAAAGATAAAGAGAAAGTTGAGAACTCTTCCTTGTCGCTCTGAAATTCCTCCAAATACACTGAAAACGCCGGCCATTCGGTTGGAGAAGACACCATCTTCACCAGATCAGAACAGTCTGCAAAGAACGCCACCTCTTGATTATCTGCACCAATCATACACTTCATCGCCCAGAGAAGGGCCTCGACTTCTGTATGTAGTGGAGATAGACTTCTACGGAGGTTGGCAGCTCCCATGGTTGGCGGCTCTCCATTTGATGATGTACAGAACCATCCTGTACCGGAGAACTTATCACTTAGTCTGATGTTATTTTAAAAAAAATAATTAGTCTTAAGTTATTTAGTGTATATTCTCTAATTCCTTATAAAGTTTTCTCTTTTTATTGAGGATATTTCATATTACCAAGTAAAGTTACATGACATAGATATAGACGGTCTCATATTTTTTCTTCTTTTATTGTCACAATTTTATTATGACATCAAACTTTTCTAAACAAAATCATATATTTACGTATCTCATACTATATGTTTACATATTATACATATATCGTTCATATATTTACGTAACTATATAGTTTTATCTTTTTTTATTGTCATAGTTTTATTTCCATCTTGCTCACATTGAAATTATAAGATGTGACACACTCTTCTGATGGATGTAAATAACTTATTAAAATTTAATAATACAACATATGAATATTTATGACTTCATAACTTATAACAAGCAAAGAATTATATAATTTTATAAATAGGCCAACATTTATATTAGATAATTTAATAATTAGTATAACATAACTACAAATAATGTTTTATATTGCGCATTATGCTAATAAATCTATATTTAGAAATAATTATGCTGCATTTTCTAAAATATATATGTTTATAGAATTTTAGTAATTAAGCTTACAAAAATAAAATAAAAATATTAAGAATGATAATCTCGACTCGCAACCCGTGCAAAGCACGGGTCCATATCTAGTATATATATAAAGTATATTACAAAGTTCATATTGATTTTTTCTATATAAGTAAAAATAAAAGAGAGAAAAAAGACAGATCGAGAAGCAATGTAAAAAAAGGCCTCCTAATTTAAAATTGTCTCGACTAAAGGAGAGCGAGGACCAGTAAAGTATTAATATTCACATGACACCACGTGACCGTAACGCCTTCTGTTGACATGTCTACTACACAAAACAAACAAAATCAAAACGTAAAATATATATCACTGAAATTAACAGTGAATCAAACTTTTTAAATTGTCGATATTAATAAGTATAATATAGGCAGCTTTTTAAATTGTCAGTATTAATAAGTATAACTGAATCAAACTTAAAATATTTTTTTCTTCTTCCATCAACTGCAGTCTCCTTGGGATTTTTTTCATTTCGTTACTACTAACAGAAAAGAAAAAAAAAACTTTTCATTTCGCTTATTTATAATCTTCAAATTTTGTTATATAACTCCTAATAATAAAGACTGATGAAACTAACATGGTGATACTTGTAATTATCCGATCATTCCCTTCCATTGACATCTAGTCGTAAAAAAAAAGAAAGACACCGATCGACATTCATCGCATAACAACCGATGGTAGTATACATATCACATATGTTACGTCAGGTTTAGCTCATGCAAACTAGGAAGTCTTGACGTATTTGAGTTCCATATATCTCGGATATGCATATCAAGTTTATGCAAGAATCTAAATTTGTGAAATCTTACCAAAGATTCTTCGATATATAGAAAAGAAAGAAATTAACCATACAAACATAATAAAATGGAAAAAGAAGAAGAGATTCCAGAATGAAACTTATCACTCATCCTTAGCTAGTATGTGGACACATGATTTTTAATATTCTAACACTCAAACTAAATCATTTCTCACGCTAATTTTGATCTATTTATCTCCTTGCATATCGGAATAAGTATAACATTCTTTAAAGACCAAAAAAAAAGTATAACATTCTTTCAACCAATTTCCATAGAAAAGATATGGCATTTCTTACGTCCCAAATATGACGATCGAAATAATGTTATATAACTCAAAAAGTAGTTAACAATAGCTATATAGTTTCGAATCAGAACAATAGCTTTGGTTTTACGGATTTTGAGTTATGCTCTTGTGTCCAAATATGATAAATAAATTGGTGGAAGATTGATAGATAAGATTCTTCCTTTTCGAAAATTCTGTAATTCTGCATTTAATATATATATATATATATATATATATATATATATATTCATAATATACTTGTCAGTCTCTACACACCCCTTTACTAACATATATATATATAGCCCTCGACACAGTTTCCTTATCCTCACCAAAATTAACAAACTCATTTTTGAACACCCAAAAAAAAAAACCCTATAGCTAGCTCGTAAAATCATAAATAGATAACAACATCAACAATGTCTGGTGTGTGGGTGTTCAACAAAAACGGAGTCATGAGGCTGGTGGAGAATCCTTACAACCAATCCGCCGGAGATTCGTCCGAATCATCCTCTTCCGGTGGTAACCAACAGCAGAGGATGAGGAGGAAAATTCTCGTCCATCTTCCGACCAGCGAGGTTGTCTCTTCGTACGGATCACTTGAGAAGATCTTGAAGAATCTTGGGTGGGAGAGGTACTACAGTGGAGACAACACCGATCATCTGCTCCAGTTCCACAAGAGAACTTCGATCGATCTCATCTCTCTCCCTCGTGACTTCTCCAAGTTTAACTCTATTCATATGTATGATATCGTCGTCAAGAACCCTAACGTCTTCCATGTCCGAGACATGTAGTAGTGCTCATCCAAAAACTGGTTCATTATGATTCCCCGATCATCGCTGCAGATGATATATCTATCATGTATATATATGCAGGTTTTTACTTTGTCGTTGAGTGTTTTTGTTCTTGGTTTATTTTATTTCCTATGCATTTAATGTACGTGTTTTGTCTTGGTCGATTGGGGTGGGTTCAAGCTATAGCCATTTTAATAACTTGTATTATTTTGTGATTTTAATGAAATTGTATCATGTTGTCAAGTTCTCTTGAGATATGGAATGGATCGGAAAAGAATATATATCATAATTCGATGCAATATCATAATTTGGTCAGTCGAATTATATGATGCGTGGAATATAAGTAAAAAATTAAATCAAATATACTCATGAAATGCAAATATACATAATATGTGAACAAATTTGATCTATCAAAAATAAATCGATATTACACAGCTTAATTAGTTAGTATTTTTTTTTAACCAAAACTATTATGTATGTACGGGATTAAACCATTTTCATTAAAAAAATACTAATGTTTTGTTGATTTTTAAAACCAATAATGAGTATGACAAAGAAAAACTACAGTTAAGTTTTTGCAATCAATTTTAGAACAAACAATTTCAAACAAACAGTCTACTAGCTGTAGATTTTTGATAATCAATTGATTGATCATCACATATTTGAGTATCGAACAAGTAATTACATGGGAAATTAATAAATTTTAGAAATTTTAAAATCATAATCATATTATCTAATTGTTTAAGTTTTTTTTTTTTCTTAGATCGTTTGATTAAAAAAACAATATGTATACAAATTAAAACCATATATATGATATAGATAATACTGGAACACGAAGATAATTTTCAAGTACGACCAAAATCTAAAGAAGGAAAGTCAAAAGGTATACAATTAGAGAAGGGCCCCCAAAGGTTTGGGAAAAACGGATAAAATGATGGGCGCACGTGACATTCCCTACTTTTTCTACCCAACTTTCACACGTGTCGATTCTCCATTGCTCATTTCCCCACTTTGTCATAGATTCATATGATGGGCGCACGTGACACCTAAAATTTTTTTTTACACGGAATGTGTGGGCACGTGTCGATTCCCCATTGCCCATTACCCCCACTTCGTCACTTCCTTATCGGTGTCGAACAAACTTTCTTTTTCCCAAATAAATTCGCACCATATCCTTTTCTTCGTCTCTCACACGGTCTTTATATTCGGGACCTCTTTTTATTCATCTTCTTTTAATGACATTATGGGAGTTATTGATTTCTCAAGGGATATGTAGCTTTCTGCTAAAGATTTTTAGCAATTTCATCGTCCAGAATCGTTATTTGTCTATTGGTTTTCTTACAGTTTCTTTTTTTTTTTTGAACTATGTACTCAGCTAAATTAACCCAATTAATCCGATACACTTTTTTCTTACAAATGAGATTTTAATTTCAGTAATATGGTTATCAAACATATTAAAATTTTATTTCTTTTGTTTTGAAACGCCGCATTGGATTTTTCTTTTGTTTTTAAAAAACTTATGTATAAAAATGCGTGACACATTTTATGTGGAAAATATTTACTTTTGTTTGTTTATCCTAGCTAGCTATCTTAGTTTTTTTCTTTCTTTTTCCTTGTTATCCTAATTGCTAGGGAAAATTGGTTGAAAAGCTAATCTATCACACTATTCAACATTTTAATGGCACCACTTATTCTACACTTAACGCACAATAATCGTTATTTCAGATTTAGAATCCACAGAATGGAGATTACATGTTTTATGTCTAGTTCTTGGAATATCGTTTTATATTTGTGTGAATCAATGTTTACGGTGACATATAAATAAATTATGGAGAATGACATTACATTTTTAATAAGTAGATGATTTCAAAACGAAGCTAGATTAATTTCTAGAGCATGCATGTAAAACAGGCGGCTTCTATAAGAGTGGTTCTTATTGTTCGTTGGTGTATATATTAACCTATATAGACTGTGTCTGTCGACGCTCGCAAGGGTTAGAGAAATGCTCGACTCGTCTAGATAAAAACATAACATTTTTTTACACAAGACACTTTAATGTTTGTGATTCAAACTTCGAATGACTAAGCATCTTATTTAAGTTTGATAATGGAGACATTTTTTCAAGCAAGGTGATGATAATGTTTGGAAAATCTGAATCAAGATGACATTAGTGAACCTAAGAAAATGTATATGAGAAAAACATAGGACAATCTAAGACGGAAGCAGAACAATGAACAAACTACAAATACATAGAGAAAACAGGTGCAGAATCCTGATTTACGATAAGAAATTGAACTAATTTTCATGATCATACATGAATGAAAGCAAAAGAAGTCCTTCTAAGTAATCGTTGACTTTTTTTTGAGGACAAGAGATTCCTCTGGGACCGTACGTTTAGAGTATTGGAGGAAATGGCGCCACCCACACTTTGTAATTGTAGTGGGATCAATGGTATAAGAATACGAACCTGAAGTCATTTTAATTTACCAAATATTTTCATTACTTATATCATTGTTTAGTTGCCAAAACGTTGCACCTTTCTTGGCCACACAAGACTTTCCTCGATCGCAGCTTCTTCTCTGCTTGACGCCAAATACTATCACGTATCGTATACAAACCAACAAAAAAATAATGTGGGATGTAGAAAGAAACAACAAAAAGTTTTGGGGTTGATTTGCTACAGATTACATCTATTGTGGGCTTTTTGAAGATAAACTTCTTTTATTTTCCAGGAAATAAAAAGATAAAAACAAAAAATAATAATTATCTTATGTGGTTGGTTGTCGATTTATTCCATTTTCTGTAATTAATATTTATTTTAGTTTGTCGTCCAACGGAAACGTATCCACTGTTCGCTTCTTCTTCTGATCATCCTCCGTAGCTCAACCATGGAGTCAATCCACTGCAATAGTTTAGTAAACCCTAATTTCTCCTTAAATCAGCGTCATCGGAGAATAAATCGCGCTGTTCTTGATCGGAGAGATGCTCTTTTGCGAAATCTCAACGCCGTGGAGTTGCGGCGGAGCAGGACGTTCTCGACTGTACGGACTTCTAATTTTTCAGTTACTGCGGCGGCGACGGATGTTGGTGGTCGGAATTCGACGGATGCTTCGGTAATGACAACGGCGATGAGCGGGGTGGAGAGAGGTATGCGAGTAGGGAAATCAAGCTCCGCGCTTGAGCAGCTTGATATCGAGCGAGGCGTTTGCGTTCCATTCCGAAAGTATTCTCCGGAGACTGTATGATTTGCTTCTGTAATTTCGTTTTTCTTTCTAGTTCGATTTACGCATTAGTTTAGTCAATTTCAATTTTTTTTAGCTCCGTTGATTCACTTATTGAGCTGGTTCTTCTTGGGATTTACTTGAGTCTTGTATCTTAGATGGAATCTATGTGCTTTATTTTCTTTTAGATTGTTTGAATTGGAATTTACTTGTGTTTGGTAATCAGGTGAGGAGTAAAGTGCTGGAATCAAGAGGAGCAGTAGTCTCTCTAGTTTCAAGGGGTGTGGAGATTGTTTGGACTCTTGGGTTGTATTGGTCTACCTTAATGTATGATTTTCTTGTTGGAAGGGACGAGGAAGTTGTCCCCTTTCGTGCTCGCCAGCTTCGGAACCTGTTGTGCAACTTGGGGCCTTCATTTATCAAAGCTGGACAAGTATGTGGATCCATCTTATTTGTTAGAAAATGTCATTAACCGGGTTCTCAAAGTTATCTTCTCTAACATCTGTTACATGGGGGGCAGGTTCTGGCAAATAGGCCTGATATCATCCGTGAAGACTACATGAACGAGCTCTGCATTCTCCAAGATGATGTTCCTCCATTCCCCAACGAGGTAAAATGTCTTATCTTTTTGGGGAATTGGTAGAGCAAGATATTTTTCTTATTATCATTTGCCATTGTCTTGTGAAGCTAACTGGTGAAGGACTTTGTAGGTTGCTTTCAATATCATTGAGGAAGAGTTAGGCCAACCTCTTGAGGCCATATTTAGCAAGATTTCTTCAGAAACAATAGCAGCTGCAAGCTTGGGACAAGTTTATCGAGCTACTCTACGTGCCACTGGAGAGGATGTTGCTATCAAGGTTCTTCTAAATGGAAAATTATACTGTGGCTACAGAGTTCATACAGGCTTATCAAACTGAAACTGTTTTAAAGGTTGGGTTTGACAATTTTTTTTTTTTAATGCGTATGCAGGTGCAGAGACCACAAATAGAGCCCATAATTTACCGGGATCTCTTTCTTTTCCGAACCCTCGCCTCATTCTTAAATGGCTTCAGTCTACAGAAACTGGGTTGCAACGCAGAGCTAATAGTTGATGAATTTGGAGAAAAGCTTCTGGAGGAGCTTGACTATACCTTGGTATCTCATATACTTCTCAATTTCACTCTATGCGTTCTTCTGTGTTGATGAGCTGAAATGATGAGAGCTGAAATGATGAGTCTTAATATAATCCTGGTTAACCTTAAGTTCTTGCCTACAGGAAGCCAGAAACATTGAAGACTTTCTGGAGAACTTCAAAGATGACCCCACAGTCAAAATTCCTGGAGTATACAAGAATCTTTGTGGTCCGCGGGTTCTGGTAATGGAGTGGATTGATGGTATTCGGTGCACTGACCCACAGGTTGACTTTCAAAAAGGGGGCCAACCCAATATAAATTCCTCTATACCCTCCTAAAAAGTCAAAATTAAAGTCCACTCTGATACTGACTCTTACTAAATGTACTCAGGCCATCAAGGATGCGGGGATTGATTTAAATGGATTCTTGACTGTTGGCGTAAGTGCTGCTTTAAGGCAGCTGTTAGAATTTGGATTGTTCCATGGAGATCCACATCCTGGAAATATCTTTGCAATGCAAGATGGGCGTATTGCTTATGTGGACTTCGGTAATGTTGCTGTACTGAGTCAGGTAACTTGAGTTTAATGGTACCACGGTATCTAGTAACCTTTAGTAGCTAGCTTATGTCCCTTCCTATAGTGATTATCACATCTGTATATAGAGACTTGTTATTCATAGTCCAAACTAAATCATTTTTTTTTCTCAGCAAAACAAGCAAATTTTGATTGATGCTGTTGTTCATGCGGTTAATGAGGACTATGGGGAGATGGCAAATGATTTCACTAGGCTTGGGTTCTTGGCCAAGGATACTGATGTTTCTCCTATCGTTCCAGCTTTAGAAGCCATATGGCAGAACTCGGCAGGGAAAGGACTTGCAGATTTCAATTTCCGTAGTGTTACAGGTACTTGATAGATTGCTTTCCTCAAGCAAGTTTATTTTGTTTACTGAGCACCCCTTGCACATATGAAGAAATGGTGTCACGTTTTTCATTGCAGGCCAATTTAACAAGCTTGTGTACGACTTTCCCATCCGTATCCCGGAGCGGTTCTCTCTTGTTATTCGTTCTCTGCTTACTCAGGAGGGTATATGTTTCACGCTGAAGCCTGATTTTAAATTTCTAGAGGTGAAGTCACGTTTATTATTTTGATTTTTTCTTTTCAAATTTAGGATTTAGCTGACATGTAAATCCTGAAGTGAGCAGACACTAGCTATGTTCACCCATATTTCCCTTTCCACACTAAAAGCTAACTTTTTATCTAGGTTGCTTATCCATATGTAGCAAAACGGCTCCTAACGGATCCAAATCCTGCACTTCGGGAACGCTTGATACAGGTTGATTGATATTTTTTATTTAGTTTCATATATGCTATGGTGAACTGTTATCCGCATCAGCTGAAATCAGAGCTCTTGTTGCCACCACATTTCAGGTTCTATTCAAAGATGGTGTTTTCCAATGGAAAAGGCTGGAAAACCTTTTATCACTTGCAAAGGAAAACGTTGCCAAAATGAGTAGCAATCCTAATCTACGAGTAAAGCGTGTGTAAGTAACCGAGTTCTATATAAGCATTGCTCCCAAAATCTCACTCGTTCACCCTGGGAAGCTTGAATTCTAAATCCGTATTTTACTCATGAAACTTTCAGGGAGAGTAAGCTTGACTTGACAGATACCATTAAGGACGGAGCTCGTCTTTTCCTCCTTGACGAAGGCATCCGCAGGAAACTTATTCTTGCACTCACAGAGGACTCGAAGCTTCACGTAGAAGAGGTTTGTTCATACATCACACGTCACCAGATTTATATCTGTAGCACTTATCATCCCCATTGACTCTCTAAAGCACTAACTTTACATTTGTTCTTTCAGCTTGTGGACGTATACAGATTGGTTGAAGACGAAGTAGATATTCCCACACTGGCCATGGAAGTTGTGCGAGGTAATAGAAAGGAAAAACCCCATTTTGCTTTCTTTCTTTTTTGTCTTCTCTTCATCTATCATTCAAATAATAAAGCTTTTGCACCAATAAAGCCTTATGGAGAGATAAGACTATCACAGATATGCATTTTTAACATAACAAGACATGAAAGCACGGATGGGCAAAAATTTCACCTTGGGCCATTGATTTAGCAGTTAACAAGTAGTTTTGTATGATTCTGAAGAATTTGTTTTTTTTTTTGTGTGTTTTGAACGCAGATTTACCGAATGTTTTCCGAGATTTTGTGTTGTCATGGAGCAACTCGGTGTTATCAGACAGATGATGAATCGGCTTCTCACTTACTTTTTTTGGCTCTTTTTGAAGAGGAAAGAGGTAAATATAGTACAGGGAGTAGATGGAGAAGAAAAGCGTAGATTAATATCGATGCACACATTGTTATACACCAATCCATACATGTAATTATATAAAAAGCACACACAAACTATACTTCACTTGCTGCTCTTTTTGATTTTGTACGTTGTCTAATGTAGTTGGATATCTAAACATTAATCGACGTCATCAAATCAAAGCTGTAATGTTCTCACAACACAACAACGATTCACAATCTGGACTCGAATGAATTGTCTCTTGGCTTCGCATGCCGTATTTTTTCACTTTATGGCGTTGGAACTAAATTGGAATGATCTTGAGTTATGCAATTACACAAAATGGCCCATCAATTATCCAGTGTCAAATTCTGGTTTCTTTGGTTTGAATAAGTTTAGGTAGGAATCGGCATAAAAATTGAATTTATTTGACAAAAAAATTCCATTAGCGCCAAAAAATTCAATCCATAGGCGCCAAAATCGGACAAGTAAAGGGGAAAACAAACACAAACCTAAGAAGTAGGATTCGAGCTCTCTCTGTACGATGCAAGCCAAAATCAATTCTTTCTTCAAGCCCTCTTCTTTTTCTTCATCTTCTATCTCTTCCTCAGTAACATCAGCTGACACAGAAGATGGTTTAGCTGTCTGGGAGAACAATCGGAACGCCATCGTCAACACCTACCAGCGTCGATCTGCGATTCCCGATAGGTAATTCAATCATCTTTGGCGGTTTTCCTTCTCTTCGAATTTTCTACATTATTTCGTGTTCTTCAGAGTAAGAGAATCGAAAATAAGCGATACGCAACTCCTGATTTTCTGGGTTTTCTTAAAGCAAATCCCTTTGAGGTTTTTTGGGTGAGACTGGATTTCATCTTGCAGCCATTATTAATTGGGTTTCTGTTTGTGTGTCTCTTAATTTTGGGTATTCAGAAGTCAAGTGCTTAAGGGATGCATCGGGAAGCCGCTGAAGAAAGGATCTTCTTCTGTATCTAAAAATCTCAAGAGGAAGCGCAATTATACGCAATTCCACTTAGAGTTGGGCCAATCTGATTTTCTTCTCAGACATTGCGCACAATGTGGAGCTAAGTATGCTCCTGGAGATGAATTAGATGAGAAAAACCATCAAAGTTTTCACAAGGACTATATGTATGGAATCCCTTTTAAGGTTAGGATCCCATTTTAAGTTCAAGAAGATAGATGTTGTAGAGGTTATTAGATTGATTGTTGGTTTTTTTTGAATTGGTCTCAGGGTTGGCAGAACGAGAAAGCGTTCACAACGCCTTTGTTCAACAAGAACCGCATCATTATGGTATCAGAAACTGATTCCCCTGCACACAGAAACAAGGTTCAGTTTCTTTCACAATTCAACCTGCCATGTTTATGGTACCGGTTCTTCGTTTAGAGGATCTAAACGACGGATCTTTTGTAATTGCAGGTGCAAGAGGTTGTGAAAATGATGGAGGTTGAGTTAGGTGAGGATTGGATTCTTCACCAACATTGTAAGGTATGAGCCTGTTTCCACGTCTTAACAGTCATTTGCGGATATATTCCATAGCTCATGAGTGTTTTTTTAGTATTTTGATGTCTACTATATTGAGCCAATTGGTATCTGATACAACTTGTTGGGAAGCATGGTGAATACTTTCTCTACTATGGTCAACTTAAAAGAGGAAAAATTCGACTTAGTCTGATTCCTTCCATGTCTATGACTAGCATTGAAATCAAACAAGAAATCTGATTGCCTGAAAAGAGGAGTTTCTTTGATTTCTTTATATGGCATCATTCAACAAATTCACAAGAAAGATGATATAACCTCTAATTACTTTCCTCAGTTGTTTCAAGAACTACCTTGTTATGTGTAGGTTTATCTATTCATATCCTCTCAGAGGATCTCCGGATGTCTTGTTGCAGAACCAATTAAGGAAGCATTTAAGCTCATAGCTTCTCCTGATGATGAAAGACAGTTACAAAAAGAGAGCACCTCCTCGCCTTCAACCTCCATTCAGTTTGGAAACATTGTGTTTCAAAGAGAAGTATCTAAAAGATGTCGAGCATCAGATGATAGATTAGAATGCGGAGCAATAGTATGCGAGGAAGAAGCTAAACCGGCTGTTTGTGGGATTAGAGCGATTTGGGTCTCACCTTCTAACAGAAGAAAAGGCATAGCCACATGGTTACTCGATACCACGAGGTAAAGAACCTAAAACCATTGTCGTGGTGAATAAACATTCATACATTATGGTGACATTTTGTTTGTTTGTTTGTAAAAAATCGCAGGGAAAGCTTTTGCAACAATGGGTGCATGTTGGAGAAATCTCAGTTAGCATTTTCACAACCAAGCACCATGGGAAGATCTTTTGGATCTAATTATTTTGGAACTTGTTCATTCTTAGTTTACAAAGCTCAGCTAATTGATACTCACTTTTCTTAAACGGAGATACATTTCATCACATCACAACCATCATCTTCACTGTCACTCTTTTTGTCCGTCTTTTACATATTAGCAAGTTGGTGAAATATTTGACTGGCTGATCCCATAACAAACAAAAAGAGCAACATATATTCTTTTATTTTTATTGACCTCTCTTTTTCCCCTTTCAATCTTGAATCTTCCATTATCCCCTTTAATCTTCCTTTGATCCTAACTGATCTTACTTATCTTAATAATTGAACCATTTTTTAAAAGTCTATTCATACAAATTGTACACTAATCCACACATCGACAAACCCTCTTACAAGTTTCGTAGCATGCTAAACGTATCGATCAAATTGGAATTCTTTTATAAGAAACTTGTATGTTTTTTTTCTTCAACAGAAACTTGTGTACTAAATGTACATAACGATGCCAAAACAAGTTGAATTTGTGGAATCGCTAACGATCAATGACGGGATCCAAAATCCGGTTAGTTTAACATCGTCTTATAGATCAAGCCATGGGTACCAAACTTGTGTGCTAAATCTACATAACGATGTCAAAACAAGTTGAATTTGTGGAATCGCTAACGATCAATGACGGGATCCAAAATCCGGTTAGTTTAACATCGTCTTGTAGATCAAGCCGTGGGTACCAAGAAGGATCAATGTTCAGAATCAGTCTCAGTCTAAAGACTAAGATTTGAAGCCGTGGGTACCATTTTTCTTTAACCAAACATAACCCAATCCAATCTATTGTCTAAAAGATTGGTTTTTAGAACCTCAAGTCTCTGTCTAAAGACTTTTTTAAGCCGTGGGTAACTGTTTCTTTGTCAAAAGACTGAAAAAAAGAAACCGAACATGATCCATATGTCTGAAGATTTTCAAGCCGTGGGTACCAAGAAGGATCAATGTTCAGAATCAGTCTCAGTCTAAAGACTAAAAGTTTGAAGCCGTGGGTACCATTTTCCTTCCACCAAACATAACCCAATCCAATCTTGTGTCTAAAGGATTGGTTTTTAGAACCTTAAGTCTCTGTCTAAAGACTTTTTTAAGCCGTGGGTAATTACTTTGTCTAAAGACTGAAAAAAGAAACTAAACATGATCCATATGTCTAGATATTTTCAAGCCGTGGGTACCAAGAAGGATCAATGTTCAGAATCAGTCTCAGTCTAAAGACTAATATTTGAAGCCGTGGGTACCATTTTCCTTTAACCAAACATAACCCAATCCAATCTTTTGTCTAAAGGATTGGTTTTTAGAACCTCAAGTCTCTGTCTAAAGACCTTTTTAAGCCGTAGTAACTGTTTCTTTGTCTAAAGACTGAAACGAAAAACCGAACATGATCCATATGTCTACATATTTTTAAGCCGTGGGTAACAAGAAAGGATCAAAGTTCAGAATCAGTCACGGTCTAAAGACTAAAGTATGAAGCCGTGGGTACCATTTTCCTTTAACAAACATAACCCAATCCATTCTTTTTGTCTAAAGGATTGGTTTTAAGAACCTCAAGTCTCTGTCTAAAGACCATTTTAAGCCGCGGGTAAGTGTTTTTTTGTCTAAAGACTGAAACAAGAAACCGAACATGATCCATATGTCTAGATATTTTCAAGCCGTGGGTACCACGAAGGGATCAAAGCTCAGAATCAGTCTCGGTCTAAAGACTAAAGTATGAAGCCGTGGGTACCATTTTCCTTTAACCAAACATAACCCAATCCATTCTTTTGTCTAAAGGATTGGTTTTTAGAACCTCAAGTCTCTGTCTAAAGACCTTTTTAAGCCGTGGGTAAGTGTTTTTTTCTAAAGACTGAAACAAGAAACCGAACATGATCCATATGTCTAGATATTTTCAAGCCGTGGGTACCAAGAAGGGATCAAAGTTCAGAAACAGTCTCAGTCTAAAGACTAAAGTATGAAGCCGTGGGTACCATTTTCCTTTAACCAAACATAACCCAATCCATTGTTTTTTCTCTAAAGGATTGGTTTTTAGAACCTCAAGTCTCTGTCTAAAGACCTTTTTAATCTGTGGGTAAGTGTTTATTTGTCTAAAAACTGAAACAAGAAACCGAACATGATCCATATGTCTAGATATTGTCAAGCCGTGGGTACCAAGAAGGGATCAAAGTTCAGAAACAGTCTCAGTCTAAAGACTAAAGTATGAAGCCGTGGGTACCATTTTCCTTTAACCAAACATAACCCAATCCATTCTTTTTGTCTAAAGGATTGGTTTTTAGAACCTCAAGTCTCTTTCTAAAGACTTTTTTTAAGCCGTGGGTAACTATTTCTTTGTCTATAGACTGAAAAGAAACCGAACATGATCCAAATGTCTATAGATATTCAAGCCGTGGGTAGCAGGAAGGATCAATGTTCAGAATCAGTCTCACTCTAAAGACTTATGTTTGAAGCCGTGGGTACCATTTTCATTCCACCAAACATAACCCAATCCAATCTTGTGTCTAAAGGATTGTTTTTTAGAACCTCAAGTCTCTGTCTAAAGACTTTTTTAAGCCGTGGGTAACTATTTCTTTGTCTATAGACTGAAAAAGAAACCGAACATAATCCATATGTCTATAGATATTCAAGCCGTGGGTACCCGGAAGGATCAATGTTCAGAATCAGTCTCACTCTAAAGACTTATGTTTGAAGCCGTGGGTACCATTTTCATTCTACCAAACATAACCCAATCCAATCTTGTGTCTAAAGGATTGGTTTTTAGAACCTCAAGTCTCTGTCTAAAGATTTTTTTTAAGCCGTGGGTAACTATTTCTTTGTCTATAGACTGAAAAAGAAACCGAACATGATCCATATGTCTATAGATATTCAAGCCGTGGGTACCAAGAGGGATCAATGTTCAGAATCAGTCTCACTCTAAAGACTAAAGTTTGATGCCGTGGGTACCCTTTTCTTTCCACCAAACATAACCCAATCCAATCTTTTGCCTAAAGGATTGGTTTTTCCGAAACTAAAGTCTCTGTCTAAAGACTTTTTTAAGCCGTGGGTAACTTGATCTTTGACCAGTAAACTGAAACCAATCCCAAGTATATTTGTCAAAATAATAAGCCGTGGGTAAAGGATCGGTTTTCAGCCTCAGGTCAAAAATCCCTCATAAGCCATGGGTCCAAACTCGACGGGACAATGTCCCCAAGAAAGAATCTAACAGAACACTAATAGTTGAGTGTCTGCCTATGATCTCTCTTGGGTTTAAAAAAAAACAAAACAAGAAAGAAATCTTACAAAAACAAAACAGAAAAACACAGAGCAATAAACCACAACCGATCGCAACAATTTCACGCTTTATCAAAGTATCGAAAGCTCTAAAAAAGAAAAACAAAAAACGGAAACCAAACCCTCTTAAACAAAGTAAAGGAACACAAAAAAGAAGAAGACCGAACTAGTAATAATTCTCAGAAAACTTTGAAACGCAGAGTCGCGATTCGTTTGGTTTTCAAATTATCAAAACCGCTTCAAAACCAAAAGAAAACCAAAAGAACAAAACAAAAAAAAACTGATAATAGTGAAAGTTAGTAACCCTAGAAATCAAGAGAGAAGAATTCTTACAGTGATTATTGCTGCAAAACTTCTTTGGTCATGAATGATTCGATCGGGAGAAACATGCAAAACAGAGAAAGAACTGATTAATAGATAAATTAAACAAAACCCTAGAAATCAATAGAGTTGGAAGAATTCTTACAGTGATTATCGCTACAAATCGTCATCCGTCATGATATAGCGATCGAGAGAAATATGACACAAACAGAGAAAGAAGATGGTAAAACTAATTCTGAGTCTCTCTGATAAGCTTTCCCCTTTTTATAAACACTTCTTACGATGGTGCCAGCTGGCTGATTTCCTTTTTTTTTAACGCCTAGTTTCCTTTTTTTAGTTAACATAACTTTACTTTTTCTAGTTTCCATTTATTTAAGGTGGGCCTTAAGTTAAGCCCAATTTGAATTAATGGGCTGGTAACCTGCATCATTATTATGCTATCGTTTTATTTAGCTTTTGTTCGTTTTTGAGAATTAACTCCACGAGAAAAAGTCAAATACAAACTTAGAATTTTAAATCCTAGATAAACAAATGTTCCACTCTTCTTTTGTTTGTCACAATTTTTTTAGTATTTTTATTTTAACGAGTTTAATAAGAAAGGGAAAAATGGAGTTTTGCTTAATTTCGATTGTTTGGTATTCAAGCAAACCAAACACAAAAAAAAACCATAAGAAAAACAATATAAACTAGTCAAAGCTTTTTATGTACGTATTTTGCAAGATGAATTTGTTGATTTATTTCCTATATCAAAATATTTGTTACTCAGACAATAGTTAACAAATATAAAGTAAAATCATTTTTACTCGATAGAATTGAAAATTATAGCTCAAACAATTCTAACAAACCCTATAAAATAAACCACAAACAAAAGTTTATAAATCAGATGTAGGAAAAAAATTTCTTATAAATCACAATAAAATATTTTCCAGTCATCAACTGCAAATCAAATATTCAAATTTATATGTACTTTTTTTGAAAGACTAACCTGTAGTATATTTTATTACTTGAAAGTAAAAAAGTCGTCACAAAATATTTTAGATTAATGAAAGAAACCTTCTATTAATAATATTAATGATATTAAAATAGCTCTAATAATGTATTGAAAAGGTAAAACTGGTTATGGGGATTGAGAGAGAGTAGGAGAGAGAGAAAAGGAGGCTACCAACTGCGATACACTATCCCCACAAGCAAACCCCATCATCGCCCTTCTTCTTCTTCTTCTTCCACTTCCTTTGTATCTTTCAATCTCAGGTCAGCTTCGAGATTTCGTTCTCTTTTTCTTCGATTTCGTTTGCTTACTGCTTACCAATTCGGTGATTTGGATCCGTCGTTTCTGATTTCGCTAGGGCTCTCATAGGTTTTGATTATTGCGATCGGTTTTCTGAAATTGCTTGATTTTGAATCCGATTCTCACTCTCTTTTGGGTTCTTCGTGTTTCACCAGCAACTGAATCGTTTTCATCGAATTGGTTTTGAGGTTTTATCATTTATCGAATTGTCTTTTTACATTCATCTTTGCAGCAGATTTAAGATTGTGGATACTTATCAGTCTCTTATACATGCATATATGCAGCTACATCAAGTAACAGATTCCGGGGAAATGATTTCTTCCATCAAGGGTTGCTGATTGTAGAAGCTTAGTTCCTGATAAGTTGGAATAAGGTGTTTTCATTTGCGGATCTTAGAGCGAAACAAGTTTGGCACTTTATGGCTCTGGAACAACATGTTTGTGAAAAGCGGCTTCAAGCTAAGCCCTTTTGTAGCCAAGAGTTTCAGTTGACTCTCAATTGGGATGATTTAACTTGTCCCATTTGTTTGGATTTCCCTCACAATGGTGTGCTTCTCCAGTGTTCTTCTTACGAAAACGGATGCCGTGCTTTTGTCTGCAATACTGATCACCTTCACTCTAACTGTTTGGATCGTTTCATTAGCGCCTGTGGTACTGATTCACCTCCACCTCCTGATGAACCTCGCTCTAAGGTTTTAGAAGAGAGTTGCAAACCGGTGTGTCCACTGTGTAGAGGAGAAGTTACTGGGTGGCTTGTTGTAGAAGAGGCTCGTGTTCGTCTTGATGAGAAAAAACGTTGCTGTGAGGAAGAAAGATGCAGGTTTATGGGTACTTACACAGAGCTTCGCAAACATGCTCAGTCAGAGCATCCAGATTCTCGTCCTTCAGAAATTGATCCAGCACGGAAGCTTGATTGGGAGAATTTCCAGCAGTCGTCTGAGATAATCGACGTGTTGAGCACAATTCACTCAGAGGTTCCAAGAGGAGTGGTTTTAGGGGACTATGTGATCGAATATGGAGATGATGATACAGGAGATGAATTTGAGGATGTTCCCAACAATGAAGGAAACTGGTGGACCTCTTGTATTCTGTATCAAATGTTTGACAATATAAGGAATGCCAGGAATCGAAGAAGATCAAGAATGAGCGAGAGCAGGAGAGGGAGTCGCCGCTCTAGCTATGAAAACTCCAACTCTGATGACAGCTCAGTAGCTTCCATAGAGTTCCCGGAGTATAGAGTAGATGAGATCGATGATGAGTTCATCAGCACAAGTGGAGCTAACAGAAGTAGCTCTATGCACCAAAGGTCAGAATCATCTATTGCTTTACACCACTAATTTGGTACTGTTGCAGTTTGCAGAGATATACATTCTTACTTTCATAGTTTATTATTATTCTGCATTGATATTAGAGGCTTACTGGTGAGCCAGGTTTATAGGCACCTTATGGATCAAATGACTAATTAGCTTATCAGGTCCCATTGTGTGATATCTCTGGCATAGTGGCTCAGGGTGTTGACCTGGTTTAGTAGCTTTATTGTGCTATATATGATGGTTACTTAAGAAACATTGCTTGATGCCATATTTTTTCTGATTTACAGTTCAAGAAGGCGCCGAACCCGCTTCTATGAAAATTAGGTAATTAACTCTGTTTCTATGCTTGGGGTACTATCTTCTTCTGGATCTCTTATGTTTCTTTTCTTTCTTTCTCAGTCAGCTGGAAAATGAAGCGAAGCGAATGAAGCAGACCAGCCTATTCGTAGCCAGTGTTCTTGGTTTTGGACCTCTCTCTCTTCTTTTTCTTTCTACACATAAATTTATTTTAGGTTTGTCTTGTGACATTACTCGCAGCCACAGCCTTTGTACAAAAACAAAACTAAAAGCCTTTTTGGGATATTGTAGTACCCTTTGTCGTGGTCTCTTCTTTGTTTTACATGCATCTCTGAACAATGTAGATATTGAGAGTAAATCAGAAGTCAACGTTCGTGTAGCAATTTTAACATTTTCTATTTCAGTGAACATACTCTGTTTAAAGCTTACTCTTATTACCAAGTACCAACACAACTTGGTCAAAGACTCAAAGTACATGAAATCATCATACAATCCAACACTAGAGAATACAGACACTAATATGGGACGTTATTGGGCAAGTTTCTTATGACGTTACTCTTCACTCCGATCTTGGTACGCATTGTCTCACCTCTCTGACTCATCTCCTTGCGCACTTTCATCCTCAATGTCTCCTCTTTTGACGGTACCGTCTTCAGACCCAGACTCTTGTACCTGAGAATTTGCCGTTTGTGAGAATAACCTTAAATTAACTTGCCGATTCGCTACTTTAATAGGTTTGGAAGATTAATGGGTTTGGAGAAAACAGACCTTGAAGATATAGAGGCAATTATCTGGTTGCTGTTTTGAGAAGTTGGGCGTGGCTTCTGTCTGTAGTAACGCATGAATTCACGGGACCCGAGAGTTTTAGACGTCTTTGTGTTCTCGGAATTCTCCGTGATCAGGAGCTCAGAACCACCAACAAGTTCTACAGTGTTGTCTGTTTCACCAGCTACAACAATCTGCTTCCCAGCTTCATCAACATAGCTGCTCAATTCACATATTCCAAAGGAAGTTGCATTAAGATTTGGCATAGAAAGAGGAATAGAGGTGAGAACAAGAAAAATCAGAGATAGAAGAGAGTTGAAACCTGCTGCTGTAGTCATAGAACTCTTCTAGTTCAGCATCTTCATCATCATCACCATCACCATAATGCAGTTTGCAATGACTCTTTGCTTCCATATGCTTTCTTACAGCTTCTAAGCTGCTGAATGGACGGCACAGCTCATTGCAGTATAGACACATGAAGTCTCTCTTGACCTGAGTGATGAGCCATGTATAAGTAAATAGGAGTAAGAAATTGAAAGCTTGACAACAACGAACACTCAATGGTAAATTGATGAGTCCAAACCTTGAGACCGAGGTAAGTGAGAAGCCCTTCAGGATCCTTGAGATACTCAATATCGGGAATGAAGAAACCATGGTGCTTATGCATGTGAACCATACAGCTCTCTAAGGTCTTATGGGTTTTGTCACACATCAAACAGCAGGTCGGATCCAGCTCATACTTGTCTGCATCACCATCATCATCCATATCTTCAGCAGATCCAGACTCATTAACATTCAACTTAGACAAAGAATCTGAGGCTTCTTCAGCAGCCAATTCGTCGTCAGAATCAACCTCCACCCATTCATCATCACTATCATCATCAATGGAACCCCTGTGTTGAACACGGCGAGGAAGTTGCCTGATAATCGCTATATCCTCCTCTCCATTGATTGATGTCCCTTGTGAAACCCGCAAAACATGGCTCCGCGACTGAAGATGCTGCTCATGAGCCTTGGAACTCCTGTAACCTTTACCACAGATCCCACAAGTATAAAGCATAGGTGCTTCATTTGATTTATTCTTCTCCAGAGCAAGAGCAGATTGTCTAGCCTCAAACAAGGCTTCTGTAACTCCAGGAACTCCAGCCACCTAACAACAAAAATTACATAATTACAAAGATTCAAATACGTAGAAGTAACCAAATCTATGATTATTGAAATCCTTATTCTCTTAGTAGAATAAGCTTCAAAACAAGATTTCATATAAACTCTAGAGACTTTCATTTCCTGCAAGAGAACGATTCTATGACCTTAAATTCGATAGAGAAAGCAGCAGAAATTAAACCTTGCGCTTGAGATTGTAGCGGTGCCAATCGGATTTGTAATGAAGGTTACGCTCTTCTTCGTCCTTGAACTCCATGTTACACGCGTTACATGTTAAACCAGGCATCTTCTCTCCTTCAATCTCGATCGATCTAGAAATGGAAACTGGAGAAGAAAAGATAATCAGAGATATCTTGTTCGGAGGATAAGGATTGTGGATACGTAAAGCGACGGCTCGTAAATGGATCGGCGATTGTGTTTCTCTCTAAAGAAGCGTCGATTGATTGATTGCCATCAAAATGAAAAAGAAGGCGCCCATTTTAGATCCGATCGGGTTGGAACTGACCCGTTCCTGACCCGGTATTAATATAGCCCATTTGGCCCATTATCTTCGTAAGTACCATTCGGAGCAAATAAATAAACTAATAACAAATGATTCTATTTATATATTTTTAATAATTAATTTTGAAATAACTACTTATTTTACAACTTGATTAACTACTGTGTTCTCTGAATACTACATTTATAACATCATGTGATATTGTTCAAAATTTGAAAACAGAAGAATATAATACATGATTAATACTACAATTATTATTTTTATTTTTTATAATCGGAATGTTTAGTTTTTGCCTAATTTTATTAGTGGAAGCAAATTTTAACCGCAGGCCTGTAATTTAGGAAACTAACCTTTCACCCCCAATTAAAAAAAAAAAACAACAAGACGACAAATAACGAGTAATTACCAATTTTCCCCAACACTTCATTATTTCCTTCAACGAACTTCTCCCTCCTCCTCCTCTCACTTTCACCATGGATTCCGTCTCCGGTTACGCCGCCGGAGCAGGTCAGCCTCGAACCGGTGGCAAAATTGTTCGACCACGACGCACCGCCGCCGTCAGGACACCGTATGACCGCCCCGTTCCGAGATCCCGAGATCCTCCTCAGCAAAACCCTAGTTGGATCTCCAGGCTCGTTTACAAACCCGCCAGCGTAATTGCCTCCGGCGCCGGAAAATTCATTTCTTCCGTCGTCTTCTCCGACTCTTCCTCATCTTCGGAGGAGGACGAGGATTCATCTTCAGGTTTGTACAATTTATTTGGGTTTAAATAGGATTAATTTGAATTTTTGGTTTATTGTCTGTTCAAATCTGAAACCTACCGTTTCATTTGTAATGTGAATTTTGATTTAAAGCTTTCCCATTTTCTCTTTCCTTTAATATGTGGGACTTTATAGCAGTTAAGCACTGGTGAATTACTACTCTACTCGATTTAGTTAGGTTACTTCTAAAGCTATAACCTTCATACTAATTCTAAAGCTCTAATTTTTATGCATATAATGTAGTTCTGGGATTAGGTCGACCCGTTCTCTTTCTTGGTTTGTATATAAAGTAGTTCTGGAATTGACAGAACCGACCCGACCAGCTTTGTGTCTTATTCTTTTAAAGTATGGATTCTTACATGTTTTCCTCTTTGTGTGCAGATATTGATGGTGATGAGGATGTTGAGAAGAACATTACCGATTTTACTGAAGAGGTACTAACCACCTTGTTCGTTTTGGTGATTGCTATGCCACTTTAGTTCTATGATATTTGTTTGAAATTTATTGTTCTTATGATTGATTCTACTCTATAGCCGCAGTGAATTTTGATGTTGCTAAAGATTGATTTTTTTTCTGCTAGTTTTGTACTGAGTCTACCTTTTCGCCTTTTTAGTATGTGTATGAATTGTAATGTGATCCTGATTTTGTAGAAGTAAAGTTCTAACACGTTTTCAACTGAAAGTTTTTTGATGAAAGCATGATTTCAGTTTATGTGAACTTGTGGAGTGAATTTGATGCGTGCTTGTTTGAATAGGACCTTCTGACTGCCCAGCAACCAACCATCCAACGACTCAGTTCTAAGCGTGTAATTGAGCAGCTTCTCATGCAAGAAACATTTGCAAGGTATTTCTCTATGTCTGGCTTTCTGGACATCATAAGTAGCAGCCTCTTCCGCCAGTCTTATTATTTAATATTTACAGCTCTTAGCTTAAAAGAATCTTTGTGATATTTGTTTAGTTAACAAATCTCAGCTGATCTTGTATCCTGCTTATTCATTCATGTGTATGTTGTTTCAGGGAAGAGGGTGATAGATTAATAGATATCATCAAGGCTAGGGTTGTCAATCATCCTAGTGTCCCCTCTGCTGTTGAGGGGAGGCATAATGACAATGGATTGACAAGTGGTATGTAACTGATGGTAGACTGTGCAAGCAGACCGGATTAGTCAATGTGATAACGTCTTTTCTGTTTTATTTCTAGATGTGAATGTTGGTGAAATGTCCAATACAACTGTCATGGAAGCAAGAAAATGGTTGGAGGAGAAGAAATCAGGATCAAGTTCAAAGTATACAGTAAGTTCTAACTCTTCTTAACTGTTCCATATTGCTGCAGCCTGCAGGTATGTACTTTTTTGTGATATCTGTCTCTGTGCTCTAAGCCATTGTTATTATAGAAGGAGACATCTTCTGTTTGTGTAAAATGATTTTATTGTTCTATGCCACTCCATGTGATCAGCAACGTAAAGCTCTCTTGCAAAAGTAGGTTGTTTAGAATTTTGAGTGTGGCCATCTGGTGACATTAATCCTGAAATGTCTTGATTGGAAAATACGTTTTTGTCCGCTTAAAATGCAAAAAATCCATATTGTTGCTCTTTTTTTTTACTATGAAGACCGTTTGCTCACATGATTTTGGTCAACTTCTGATAGCTTTGCTTCACATTATTCCGCCATATGTGTTTCTTTTCCATTGTGCTTTAAATGATGATCACCATCTCAGCCATTAGTTTAAATCTCTAGGCAACTGAAGATGGTGCTGGATCGCCTGTGGACGTGGCCAAGTCTTATATGCGAGCTCGTCTGCCATGGGGATCTCCAGCAGAGTTTCGATCACCATCATCAGCAGGAATGCAAGGGACACCCTTTCCTTATAGCGCTGGAAAATTTTCCTCATCTAAGGTTAGAATTTTAAGTTTTCCAGCAGTGCATACTTTTCTTATGGTCAAATGTTGTTTGAAAGTCTGAAGTTGTTTTACCTTGGTTTATAAGATAAAATTCTCTGCTTAACTTTTATTGTTTATGTTAGATAACCACGAGGAATTTGTGGGACACTATTTCCAGCTTTTCCTAAAGAAAAGTTGCATACCATTATGTATTTTGAATGGCTCTCTTAAATTTACCCTTATCCATTCTGACATTTGATACCAAAATGCAGCTGAAAAGGAAGTCCGGTTCTAATCAATCATGGAATATTCAAGATGAAATTCGCAAAGTCAGAGCTAAAGCAACAGAGGAAATGCTTAAAAGTCCTAGTAGTGTAGCCTCTTTGGAACCTAAATACAGCCCCTATGTTTTAGCGACTGATATGCTCAAAGGAAATGCTGATGGAGGTATTTTTTTCTTTCTTTATTCACACGTGGTCGAAGTTTTTCAGTAAGACATGAGATGAAACTGAAAGTATTTTCGGTTCTGGTCACATGAGTAACGCTTTTTTTCTGTTCTTTCAGCTGTACGGAATGAACAAAGCAGAGCTCTACCAAATTCAGCCATACCTACCTCTGAACACAATCAGGTATCAAGCACTCTTTACACTATGTGTCTCTCTATACCAAGAAGAAAATTGCAGTTCCAATCTTTTTTTTTGGGTGTCCTTGTGTGTTTTACTTGAGTGAAGACTACGGAAGCTAATCAAGCCGTTGGAGAAACAGGAGTTTTACACACTAGATCTCGTTAGTTTCTCCCTTAATCCTTACTTTGTATACACTCTCTAATATTCGATTTTTTATACTCTGTCTCATGAATTTAATGTGTTCTGATTAGGTGGAGTTGGTTTGGACGAGTCATTTATCTCCACACAAGGAGTCAAGCCGTCTGAAGATACGAATACCGCTCCTCAAAGGTTCTTTTTATTGTGCTTATCCTTCCAACACAGATTGTAACTTGTTTCTTTTCGACAGATCCATTTTTTAGTATATCAATCTTCTGAAGTTTCTCAACTGTATGCGACAGTGGAACCGCTGTAGATGACTTCAATGATCAAGATGGCGATTTTATCCAACCTAGCTCTACTATCGGAAACACCACAAATGGTATACATTGGATGTCGAATTCCTTTGGTTCTGGATGATGTTTAGTTGGGTTCTCTTAATTTACTTGCGCTCCTACTAATGCAGCTGTCTTGGCTCTTGGGGCAACTTTGGATCCAACTGGGAACTCTTCTTGCATCCCTAAAGATGTGTTTGAAACATCAAAAGAAGCTGATGAAATAGGCGCATCACGTGCTACTTCTAACGGTTTCCCATCTTCATCACCTAGGTGAAAAAACAACTCATTTGTCTGTCTAGTTTGACATGATGACATTATTTCATACTAAGCAAAGCCTTACTTTTTCAGTTCACCAGTGGTGGAAGGTCAACCAAAACCCACACCACCAGAAGAAACCGAGGCTTCTCAGCATGTAGCTGAAATTCATGGTGATGATATGACAGTAGGGAATGGCTCAGATGGTGCAATTAATAACGAAAACAATGACAGCCACTCAAGTGGCTCGCATAATAGTTCAAGCACTCATGAAGAAGAGTGGCTCCCGGGAGACCAGTCTCTACCGAACTCAAACTCAGCAAGTAGCAGCCCGGGAACTACCAAGGTCTTGGCATACAGCAGAAGAGGAAGAGGGCGGGGGAGAGGAAGAGGCCGAGGAGGTCGAGGCAAAGGACGGGCCAAATAAACTCTGTAAGATGAGCTGTACACAACAAACACAATGCAGTAGGAGAGTATTATGAGGTAGGATTATGTGACATCTTTTTTAGATTGAATCCCACATCTGTTTGTGTTTGGTCTTTGTCACTTGGTAATCTTTGTAGGTTTTCTTGTAGTATTTGAGTTAGGAGGATATGTCTTGTCGAGTTATGTGGAATTGTGTCTCTGTTTTTTCTTTCATTTGTCTGAATCTCTAATGTTTAATGTTGTAAGTTTGAAGCTTGGTTTTGTTCCAGCTGACGAAGCTTTGTAGTTTGCAGTTTCCATATTGAAACTCTTTTTCTTTTGTTCAATGCCAAATTTTAAAATCTTTTTACTTGACCAAAAAGCCAACACCTAAATTTTGGGGGAAATCTCAAGTACTAACACTCATCTTTAATCTTGTAAATAAATTGTCACTTGTAAACAAAATTCTGACATGATCCGATATTAGATGAGATCACTCACATCAGAACATTGCAAGATGAATAAAATGGGTTTAATCTAGTGTTACAGAATTTCTTACATCAAACTCGATTTAATCCAAAGTACAAAAGCAATAACGAGCGAAAAGAAGAAACCCAATAAACCAAATTTTATCAAGACAGAGAGAGAAAAAAAAAAAAACAGACAGAAACAAAAGTGAAGAAAAACGAACAACAAAACCCAATAAGCAGCGATCGAAGCTAATAAACACAGAAGAGCGAAAGCGCTCGGACATTCAAATCTGAAAAGCAGCAATACGAAGCAAGAAGCCAGGAAGATTCAATCGAAGCAGAAGTGTATTATTATTAAGGAGCCGAGAAATCATTGGGTTGGTGTCGGAACTCTCGGAAGTTACTTGTTATGTTCCGATTTTGTTTTCGTGTCTGAATTCTGGTCAAATCTTCTACTCAAAATCAATCTTCCAACACTTGTTTTTCTGCTTTTGGGTCCCGCTTCTCATTGCCCGCTTCCTCCTTCTTCAATTCGAATTTCATCTTTTTCTTTGGACAATTCGAATCTGGTGCTCTGTTCTCAAAGCTCCAATCATTTGTCCAACTCCACTGATCTCGATTTTCTCCAACTCAAATTTCGGAAATTCTCAAGTTCTCAGCTTCCGAATTGGGCGTGAAACCAAAAAAATGCTTGGGTTTTTCTGCTCTGATTCAGTTTCGTCTTCTTACTCGCTCGTGAACTTGGAGAAACGGTTAGTTGGTGGTTCTTCCTTCTTGATGGATTGATTTGCTAACTCCAAGCTAGGGTTTTTAATATATTCTGATACTGAATCAGCCGAGGTTGAATTTGGTATAAGCTGGCTAGTAGATAATGATCTCTAGGGTTTGGGTTTTGGGAACATGAGATTTACGAATTCTGGGTCGTTTGGGAAAATGAAAGAGCTTTTGGATGCAATTGGAGTGGCCTGTACTAAAAGCTGCAGCTGAGTTCTTGAAATGCTCTTGGATTTGAGTTTGAGAATAAAAATACTTTGATGAGTTGGGTTTGTTTGTGTGAAGGATAACTAGAAGCTGAGAGGGTGCATTTTGTGCATTCCTCTGACTGTTTCATCTGGTTTCGGTTTTAGAAGAAGAAGAAGAAGAAGAAACAAGTATGCAACGTCTTCAAGATCCCAGGATTGATCTAGCTGAGCTGAAAGTGCATATAGTGAAGAAGATTGGGGTTGAAAGATCTAGAAGGTATTTTTACTATTTGGGCAGGTTTCTGAGTCAGAAGCTTACTAAGAGTGAGTTTGATAAGTCATGTTTCCGTCTTTTGGGGAGAGAGAATCTTTCTCTACACAACAAGTTGATTCGTTCCATCTTGAGAAATGCGTCTCTAGCTAAGTCCCCACCACCAGGTCACCAAACCGGTCACCCTGGCAAATCTTTGGTGCTTGGGAAAGAAGATGGACCTGCACAAAGCGGACCTCTAATCCCTGACCATAATAGGAGTGATCCTGTTTGCTCAAATGGGGTGTTACCCAAGGTTCGGTTTGGAACGTGTGACAGGACAATCGGAGATAAGCCTTGTCCACTAGGACCAAACGGAAAGGTGGACAGAACCGGTAATAGAAACACGGAGAACAGGGATTCGGGTCCTTTTGCTTATCAAAGATCAGGTTGCTATGCTGATGAAAGAGACAGTGCATTTCTTTGCCCTGCTGAACAAAAGAGGGTTTCGGGTAAAGGTCAGGTTGCAGCTCCTCGTAGCAGGGATGATGAAGCCCAAGAAGAGCGAGGTAGTTTGATTCTTTCCACGCCTCCTGTAGTTGCACCTCTGGGGATTCCATTCTGCTCGGCTAGTGTCGGTGGGGATCGCAGAACAGTTCCAATTTCGACCAGCGCAGATGCTATCAGTTGCTATGACAGTGGTGGATTGTCAGACACAGAGATGCTGAGGAAGAGGATGGAGAATATTGCAGTAACACAGGGTCTTGGAGGGGTTTCCGCGGAGTGTTCTACTGTTTTAAATAACATGTTGGACTTGTACCTGAAGAAACTAATGAAATCATGCGTTGATTTGGCTGGAGCTCGGTCCATGAATGGAACGCCTGGAAAACAAAGTTTAGACAAACAGCAGAGCCGAGACGAGCTTGTAAATGGTGTGCGGACGAGTAATAGTTTGCACATACAAACTAGCAACCAACCATCTGACATAACGCAAGAACAACATTCAGTGTCTTTGCTTGATTTTAGAGTTGCAATGGAGCTAAATCCGCATCAACTTGGTGAAGACTGGCCATTGCTACGGGAGAGAATTTCCATCTGTTCATTCGAGGAACGAGAAGGGGTGTGAAAGAAAATGGTTGGCATATTGGATGCTGCAAATTGTCTGAGTAAGCTCTCTGGTCCAAAAAAAAGTGGCCACTGATTTTGGTAGCAAAACAATTCTTGAGCTCTGCATCCCATGATGGACCTGATGGCTGATTGACACAACTATGTCCTGCAGCCGCAGACTCGGGGCAGGTTAGTAGATATGAATGAATACGTGTTGTTGTAAGATCAAAAGAAATCTGGCCATTCCAGCAAGTTTCAAGCTTTGTGTGTAAACGCAGGCCGATAAGGAAATCAAGAGAAAATTTTGGCTGAGAAACTGTGGTTTTTAGGCAAGAGCAAGGTACAAACAATCATGTAATAGTTGCAGTATTGCTCTGTATGTAACATAGTCTTAGAATTGTTTTAGAATTCATATCTTGAAGACACATTGACATCACTTTTACTTTTACATTTACATTTTTGTTACCTCATTTCAGTGAAAAAGTTATTTTCAAAATCAGTGAATTGCCTCATTTTTACATTCTACTGGTTGGTTTTCTTACTTGTTTCTTTTACCCTACAAGGTACTGACATAAACTGTTTCAGATGATCCTATCAAGTAATACTTGAGCTGAATTACAAGTGGGAAAAAAATGTCTTATGCTCTCTCGCTATCGAGAATCATGAAATTCTCAGACTCTAAATCCCGTGATGATTCTGCTTTCGGCTTCTCATTCTATCCAACAGTAATTGTTGCTCTCTTTTTTGGGAAACCTTTGGCTCTTACTTTGAAAATATGCAGAAGGCGACTCCATTTTCTTCTTTGAATGTCTTTTTAAGTTTTCCCTCAAGTCCAGAGATCCAAAGAACCACGCTCTTTGTTGCTTTTCAACAAATTGTCCAAGTTAAAGAATTCAAGATGACGTTTTCTTAATCTTAAAAGTTCAAATGACATATTTTCCGTCTTTCCCGCTTTACATTACGGAAATCAATAGGAAACAGGTGAAAGACAGAAGAGAAACACAGGATAGCTTTGTCATTAGACGAAAGGAATAGAGAAAGAGAGACAGCGCCGGTGTGAATTGGTATGTACCCAAAGGAAATGGTGAGGCCCTTTCTAGGCAGGTTCCATTGTTGTTCACAGGCTTTAGATGAAAGAAATAATACAACGAACGAGGAAGAAAAGAAGACGGTTATTTAGATGAGGTTTCCGCAGTGGCTTTGCAGATTGGGCACCAACTCTTCATCCGCAACCACTCTTGCACACACTTCACATGGTATGTGTGCTCACAGTGTAGCCTCCCAACTTCATCTCCTATTGTATACTCTTCCTGTAAACCACAAAGATCAGAGTATGAAGAACTGTAGAGAAAAGGTAAAGAAAATTTCTGATTTTACATATACATATCAATTCTATATTCACCATCATGCATCAATGAAAAGCATGTAATCATCAAAGATTTCCATTACACTTTGTGACAACACCCGCAACAATAGACAAAGTTCGGTGTTGTTAGCTTAGCTACATCAACTCATGGCAGGCTTTCCTTAAGATTTCATCAAAGCCTGATTATGACTAACAAAACATGACAAAAGAGACAGACCTGGCAGATGCTGCATTTGGCATCTTCCTTGTGATCACTAGGACTTTTGGTGATAGACCCATAAGTTAAAGGTTTCATCTGATAGATGCTTGTTTTCAAGCACTTTGATATTGCTTCTTCTGTGAGAGCAGTGCTTACTGTACCAATCCTCTCTTCAAGAGCTAATAGTTCCTGTATTCATTCAAAAATAAAAAGACAAAACGGTAAAGATACTACATCCCAATACGGAACACGAGTTTGAAAGATGTCACGACGAACCTCATATGACATGTTATCGATGTCTAGCCTCATGTCTCGGTGTTGGTCATGGAAGCTTAGTCCACCGAGAAGTAAACCTGTCTCCATGATAAGCAGCTCCTGCTAAAGGAGAGGAAAATATGAGTAACAACACTATCACAACATCTGAAACTCAAAAGTCAAAACATGTGTCAAATTTTAACCTCATAGTTAAGCTCGATATCTTGTTCAATCCTATCAAGTTCTGGCAAAATCTGCAAAAGCATCCGAGCAATACAAAACACCAAAAGTTAAACGGTGTTAAGAGCATTGTCGTAAGCACTAGTTGATGATGCTCAGGCAAGATGTCAAGTTGTAGAGTAACAGGAAATAGTTACCTCCGAGATCCCATCTAAATTGTAACTGCGAAAACTGTCTTGACTCAATAAGGAACCAGAGAGGCCAAATTCTGGAAAACCAGAGAATAGCTCCAAAGAGACAGGAGAATTGAGATTGTTTGATGTTTCAGTCTGAGACATCTCTGTTGCCGTGACAGAGGATAAACCGTCTCTACCACTCCCTCGGTTTGAGAATCTAATGCGACTATTACTTCTATCTGCCAATCTCTGACTCCCAAATGAAGCAACATCGTTGTCATCATTCAAAATGCAGTGTCTAGCCTGTCTACTATCTGAAACAGAACCTCTCGGATTAAAACTACGACGTCTCACTTCAGCTGGTGTTTCTGTTACATTCTTCCCCCTAGCTGAGGAGCTAGAACTGCTTTCTCCATAAACTTTCCTCTTATTGATTGTATCTGCCTTCCGACTTAATCTTTTCTCCAATCCAAAACCACTTGGAATGACACCGGATAACAACGGGCTGCATCCTCGGTTGGCAGATGTTGACTGGCCAGAGGGACCAGGGTGAAACTCTTGCTTGCTCAACCCAAACCTCTGCCTAAAACCTCTCTTGATTCTTGAGCTCGATGGCAAGTTTGAGCATTCAGCTTCTGGTGTTATAACTTTTCCATAAATAAGTTTATTGTTAGCTCTTCTTTTATCTCTTCCAAGAGAAACTTGCAAGATTTCTGTCTCTGCCTCATCTTCGCTACCTCTGCTGCTCTCTGATGAATCCATGGCTATCTGAGAAAACGGTTGCTTCTCACTTTTCACAGAAGAGGAGCTAGAGCCACAAATCTTAGAGGAAGTTCCAATTACTTCCTTCCCGTTTGGCGAAGAGCGGTATGTAGACAAGACTGACTTCTCTTTCTTATCTGAAGAGCCAACAAACCGAGTAAAGTTCATCGTTTTTTTCTCATCACTACAAATAGGAACCTTGCAACTATTGTTGTTAAATCTATCTCTGAAAACAACACCACCACCCTTCTTAGAGTCAGGTCTCGCCTCATGGGCTCTTTTACCCGACCACCTATCCATGAACTTTTTAAATGGATGCAATACCTGTAACAAAAATACTCTTTATTTTACTTTTATCAAAACGCAAATTCTTGAAGAAAAACTATTCATTTGAACTCCAAAGTTCCCCAAAGAATGAAAAAAAAGAACAGATCAAACACTGAAAGAAAAAAACGAGCAAAAGAGCAAATACAAGAGTCATACTCTGAGACTAAACTGCTAAAACCTGCGATTCAATACCTTTGCAGCAGACATAAAATCATCATTAGAAGAAAACATTGTTCTGACTAAACTCTTGTAATAACGATCTTAAAAATTCAACAGCCAAACAAAAAGAGCTTCAACCACAAAAGTCTAGCAAAGGTCCTATCGAAACAAAAGCTTATCATCTGTGATGGTTCAAATAAAAATGAAACCTTTCGTAAAATGATCCAAAGGATGCCTATAATCACTTCGCAATAAAGATTTCATTTTGAAAAGGAACTAAAACAATCAAATTTCTTGAACATGAAGAGAAACAATTCTCAACTATTTTACAGAAGTGATAACAGTAAATGTTTTCTTTGTTACCTGGTCTAAACAAGAGAGAGTTACAACTTACAAAATCGATTCAGAATCAAGAACAGTAACATCTTTTATCATTAGTTTCCAAACCATCACAAACACACAAAAAAGTCAATTTGTCCGAAAACATAAAAAATTCCGAGGTAAAGGAATGATTTTTAGAAGCTAAGCTGTTTATTCTGTTCGATGATTACCTTAAGATTTCGTCCAATCTTGTTCCTGGAAATTGGAAGATGAAGAAAAAATAGAAGAGCGTTTTGTTCTTGTTGCCGATATTTTTTCTTCGGTTTTGCAAGTTATTTTAAGTAATTTATCTTTTTGGAATTAAGAATAAATCAAATATTTGTTTTTATTCCATAATGACCTTAAAGCAAATATTCATTAAATTTTATATCGAAAAAAAGAATCTGAGATGACGGAGATGCAGAGATCCTCGCCGTCTATAATGGGGTCGGAATATCTGACGGTTGGTAGAGATTGCGACGTCTCTAGGTAGTGGTAGAGAACTAAAGATATTAAACTAAGTTATTATGACCAATATCTTTTTTTAAAGAACAAGAGACTAAATTTTGGTTTGGTCAGAAGATGGAAAAAGAAAACAAAATCATGAGAATTCTGATAAGTATTTGGTGATGATGCCACGACTAAGGATAATGTAGTTTAATTATCTGTCCTCTATTATAGCAACAAACATCTTAGCCTTTATCCTTGATTTTTGTATTTTTAATCTCTCTTTATTATTTGTTTTCTAAAATAAGAAAATTTGTGACTTTATGGTAGAGCAACAAAATTCTTTAAATTTATAATTTTTTGGTGGATCCAAATCAAACTTTAGTTGATGTTTGTGAAATGATTGATAACAGAAATACATACTAGAACTGAAATAAATACAAAATCAGAAATATCACTAACACTTGTTTTATTATATGAACGAAATTTCAGTTAAATTTTAACTTGTGATCCCGAAGAATACTTATGCAAATATATAATACTAAGATCACCTAATGTTCACCATTGGAGATGAGGTATCAAAAGAGAAGGACAAGCTAAGTATGTAAAAGGGGTAAATAGAGATCGAATTCCAAAGAGGTGTAAACCATTTATTACAAGACTTTTCAACATTGATCAAAGTCAAAACCTGAGTTATGGGATTCGTAGGGAGGAATCGAACCTATAACCTACAACATCACATACCTCTCACATCTTCCAAAATCTAAAAACGTTGAAGAAACTCAGCAAAAAGAAAAGAGAGCAGCACTATGCTTTAGCTTCTAACCACCCATGATCATCTTCTTGGTGTGACTCTGACCCTCCACCTTCAATAGAAGCTTCTGCATCAGCTTTCCCTTCTCCGCCTTTCTTTCCATACATATTTCTTCTAGCTTCCCTACGAGCATCTTTCTTAGCTATATTCAAATCTTTGAATCCTTGTTCAAACTTGGCTTCATCCTCTGGAGTGAAGAAAGCTACTTCCATTTGACCTAGCTCTGCATATCTTTGCTCTACTTTGGTTTTCCAGTAAAGACCCATCTCTGTGTCCATCTTTTGGTATGGTGTTTTAAGCAGGTACTCGTCTATTCCTCCTGCTTTGTCGATGCAGCGGAGAGCATGTGTTGTGACTTTGACTTTAATGTGACGGTCGAATATGTAGCTGAACAATCGCTTCTCCTGGACATTTGGTTTCCAACATCTTCTTGACCTGAACTCAAATCACAGACAAAAGTTACCAAACCATACAGAATAAATCAGATTACGACACATAGGTTACATGGATCCTACATTTCTCTATAAAGGGGATAAATTTCATCACACTATTGCTCAAAATATTGAGAATCTTTAGAATAGCATGATACAGAAACAAAACAACAATGCCACCTTCCGGAAACAAATGAGAGCGCTAACCAGCTAAAGATTTCAAAGGCTATTGAATACTTTCAAACGCAAGAATTTAGATTTCATTTCACCAAATTGAAACCTAAATCTAGAAAGCATTCCTAAAAACATACAAATTAGCCCTTCAATGCGTGAATTTTAAGCAAAACCATCACAAGCTCTAAATTCAACCAATCTCAAGCGACTACACATACACATATAAACAGATTGATAGAGAGAAAGAGACAAACTTGTTTCCACCGTCTTCACTGACGCGGTTTCCGTATTGGATATGGCGGCCGGCGTAGAGACCGCGTTTGGCTCTGCCCATGACGACTTTGGTATCAGGAACACAAGCCTTGAGCTTCTCCTTGAGCTCCGGCGTGATATTCTCCGCTCCCACTCTCTTCACTAGCTTCTTCATCATCTCCTTCCCTCTAAACGCCATTTTCGTTTCTCCTTCCGAAAATTACAGATCGCAAAACCTACCCAAATGCTTTTCTCTGTGCTTGGTATGACCTGGAGATGGAAACAAATCGGTTTAGCCATCGATTTTAATTAAACCGGATAAAATTAGTCGGTAAAATTGCTTCGTCGTCGCTCGAATCAGACTCCGATTGAATAAAAGATCAAATGAACTGTCGAATCAAGACAAGCAGAAGAGAGAATCGAGGAGAAGCTGACCTGAAGTGAACCAAACCACATAAATGATCTAGCCACGAGAGGGAGAAGAAGCAGAAATGAAACTGACGAGAACCACGAGTCGAAGTTTCGGCCGGCGATGAGGACCGGCGTCGATGTAGCGATCTAAGCCTCTTTAGGGTTCAGTTTCTGAGTTTTGAAGCATTGGGCTTTTTTATTTCGTTGGCTCTTAGGCCCAGATTAATTTTCCCCTTAATTTACGGTTTGGTTTTATTCGGTTCTAATTTGGCAATCCGGATAAAAGTCAATCTCAACATCTAACACAGACCGAACCAAGTCAAGGTCCTCCCATCTCAACCGAAACACTATCAAACCGGCCAAACAATTAAAAAAAAAAATATTTGTTTATGGCAACAAAAATATATCAAAACACAAATTGCAACACCAAAAACTCATGTTGAAAATCAGGTGTTTTATTGGTGGCTTAATATAAATGAAACCTTACCCGAAAAGTTTAGCATATATATGATACCGATACAAGAGAAAACGTAAATCATTTTCGTTATCTTACATACAATATGAAAAATATCCAAGATTTCACATAAGTAAAGATAAAGTGTACATAGTTGAGGAAAATATAGGTAAAGATAAAGTGTAGACAATACTCAAAAGGGTGGTTGTCCAACAATATTACCAGGAGGATCATAGTTGCAAATAATAAATGTGGCACCGGTCTTGCAAAAACTGATTGCACACCCAATCCTCGAACTCTTCTTCCATACAAGTTGCGTGTAATGCAAACAATCCCCATTCGCCTTGCAGTGGTAAGTCCTCCGGTCATAGTATTTCATCTCCGAGGCCCATGCAGCCACCGCGTCCCATGGAGTCCACCCTTTTCCGCTTCCCCAGAAGAGATTCTCCCCGTAAGGTCCCCCGGAGTGGATAAGTTTGCAATCTCCACGGCGGGTTTGGGCCCACCGGGTCGCGTAGAGGGCGAGACTATTGCTCCATTTGAGAGGAGGGAGACGAAGCTTGGCTCGTAAGATGTTGTGTGGTCGGAGAAACTGCTGCTGAATGGTGTTGCGGGCTAGGGTTTTGTATTGAGAAGAAGTTAGTGTTGATATTGTTGGTGTTTTGTTGGATGGGAATTGAAAAGAGAGAGAAGGAAGTGGAGTGCTGATAACTATGATAATGACGACGAATATCAAAGTTTTTGGTTCCATTGGGAAGATGAGTTAGATTTGATTGTCAACCTCTCTGGATCTAGTACTACATACCATTTATATATACATACACCATTGTTTATACTTTCATATTTGCACGTATATATAAAGAATCTAAGCACATGCTATGTTAATAATGTGCAATGACAAGTGTTAATCATTTCGGTGGAACATTGATTATTTGTAGGGAATGATTCTTTTGAAACAAAGCATACATTATTAAAGGTAATAGATCATTCTATATGAAGGAAGTTTTAATAGAAGGAAAAAAAAAAAAAAAAAAGCTTTAATAGAATGTTTTTTTTTCTTTGATATATAGGCATAGCAACGAGAAAGCATCCCAAGCATAAAACATATACAAACTCATTCATAAAACCTAAGTTAGATAAATATTTTGACCACTTTTAAAATATTTGTTTAACTAACATATTAACATGCTTACTATGCAGATTTATGAGGCGTATCAGATGGTGTGCTAGAGAACGTGATACAAATTTGGGATGCCTTTGTTTTAAAGATATCTGATTTATTCCTTAAGAGATCAATTTATAATGTTTTGACGCTTCTAGTTGTTGAGCTTACTGTTGATTAACTAAATTTCTATTATATAGAACATCAAATAGACCAAAAGAATATCAATTTAGTTGACTACCGTTTGTTGGTTAGGTAATAAACTCTGACCAAAGTGTCCTTAGATTCCTCAATCGGTCAATCCTAATGAAGCTCACTTTATAAAGTTTGGGGTCATTTTGGAAACATATTAAAAACATAAGGGGCTATGTTTTCTCAACTTCTATTGGGCTAGGCTTGCCATCAATCAATTATTTGGGCCTTTGAGGCTGACTCGCTTTTTTCCGTTCTTCGTTTTCCAAAATCGAACCCAAACAAAAAAAACGGATTTGGAGGAGTAAATTCAGAAGACGAATCCACGATAATAAGCACATTTTTTATCTGTCACTTTGTGCGAGTGTTTTTGTTTTCCGAGATCCAAAATCTTCTCTTGGATCCAAAAGCTTCGCAACTCCGTGGATCTCCTCCTCTCTCTCTGGATCTCGTACCTTGAGGTTCGTCTCTCTCTGTTTAACTTGCGACTCAGATTTCATAGAGATCGATCCCCCTTTTGCCTTTTCCTTTGTGAAAAATCTACAATGTTCGATATTCTCGGACGTTCTTTGTTCGATCTCCTTAAAGATTGATCCGATCCCGGTAGGAAACCTATTCTCATGTTTTTGCAGCTTAGTGAGACTGCCAACTATGTAGATTCCATTGTTTGTTCATCAAATCTGGGGATGTTTTTTGAATTTTAGTTGATCCGAAGCTGTTTTATTATTCGATTTTATGTTCATGTTTTGGTAAAGTGATGTGTATTGCTGGATCTGATGATTTAGATTTGTCAATGTTTTGCATCTTTCGGTCCTTGATTGAACATTACCGAATATTCTTCTGCGATTATGATGCTTTCTCATAAACCATGGATTCGAGAGAAAAGAGATGCTTCATTCGTTGTATAGAAATATAAGTAGAGAGGTGTAGATTATTGCTGAGGAGGATACTCATAAACTTCTTGTATAGAACTTACTCGAGCAGTGATGAGGACACTAGTAAGGTGCTTATACTCAGTAATTCAAACTTGAAATCGCAAGAAATATTAACATTTTGGATATCTTGTTTGTTACTTGTGATCTATATATACCTCATTTTGTCTTTAATCAATTGTATGGAGTTTGGGTTCCTATTCTCTATATTCACTTTCTATCTTTCTTATGCTACATTGGTACCACTTGTTCCTGCACTATTTTTCTTTTCATTTGGGCTCACAAGTTTTTTTTTTTTTTTCGGTTTCTCTTTCACTTTTTTTGCAGCTGCAGCACCGGAAAAGATGGACAAATCTAGTACCTTGCTTGTGCACTATGACAAAGGGACTCCTGCAGTGGCCAATGAGATTAAAGAAGCTCTCGAAGGAAATGATGTTGAAGCTAAAATTGATGCCATGAAGAAGGCGGTTATGCTTTTGTTAAATGGTGAAACCATTCCTCAGCTTTTCATAACCATTATAAGATATGTGCTGCCTTCTGAGGACCACACAATCCAAAAGCTTCTGTTGCTATACCTGGAGCTGATTGAAAAAACGGATTCTAAGGGGAAGGTGTTACCTGAAATGATTTTGATATGCCAGAATCTTCGGAATAACCTTCAGCATTCGAATGAGTACATCCGTGGTGTGACACTGAGGTTTCTCTGCCGGTTGAAGGAGACTGAAATAGTAGAACCGTTGACTCCATCAGTGTTGCAAAATCTGGAGCATCGCCATCCGTTTGTTCGTAGGAATGCAATCCTGGCTATCATGTCGATATATAAGCTTCCACAAGGAGACCAACTCTTTGTGGATGCACCTGAAATGATCGAGAAAGTTCTATCAACAGAACAAGATCCGTCTGCCAAGAGAAATGCATTTCTAATGCTCTTTACCTGTGCCGAAGAACGGGCAGTGAATTATCTTCTGAGCAATGTTGACAAGGTTTCAGACTGGAATGAATCACTTCAGATGGTGGTACTGGAGTTGATTCGAAGTGTGTGTAAGACTAAACCAACAGAGAAGGGGAAATATATTAAGATTATTATTTCTCTGTTAAGTGCTACTTCTTCTGCAGTTATCTATGAATGTGCTGGGACACTAGTTTCTCTCTCATCTGCCCCTACTGCTATTAGGGCTGCTGCCAACACCTACTGCCAACTTCTTCTTTCTCAGAGTGACAACAATGTGAAGCTTATTTTGCTCGATCGGTTGTATGAGCTTAAGACATTGCACAGAGATATCATGGTTGAGTTGATAATAGATGTGCTCAGAGCACTCTCAAGCCCAAACCTTGATATCCGCAGGAAGACACTTGACATTGCCCTTGACTTGATCACCCATCATAATATTAATGAGGTCGTTCAGATGTTGAAGAAAGAAGTTGTGAAGACACAGAGTGGAGAACTTGAGAAGAATGGGGAGTACAGACAAATGCTTATTCAAGCAATCCATGCTTGTGCAGTTAAGTTCCCCGAAGTTGCAAGCACAGTAGTCCATCTTCTAATGGATTTCTTGGGAGATAGCAATGTGGCTTCAGCTCTTGACGTGGTTGTTTTTGTTAGAGAGATAATAGAAACAAATCCCAAGTTAAGAGTTTCAATCATAACCAGGTTGTTGGACACGTTCTATCAGATCCGCGCAGGAAAGGTCTGCCCTTGTGCACTTTGGATTATTGGGGAGTATTGCCTATCACTTTCAGAAGTTGAGAGTGGCATTTCAACCATTAAACAATGCCTTGGCGATTTACCATTTTACTCTGTTTCTGAGGAGTCTGAGCCAACTGAGACATCAAAGAAGATTCAGCCTACCTCTTCTGCCATGGTGTCCTCTAGAAAGCCAGTGATTCTTGCTGATGGAACTTATGCTACCCAAAGCGCAGCCTCTGAAACCACATTCTCCTCACCTACAGTTGTTCAAGGATCACTGACTTCTGGAAATTTGAGAGCACTGCTTCTAACTGGTGATTTTTTCCTTGGAGCAGTGGTTGCTTGCACATTGACTAAACTTGTTCTTAGGTTGGAAGAGGTTCAGTCTTCTAAAACTGAAGTAAACAAGACAGTCACACAGGCTTTGCTGATCATGGTTTCTATGTTGCAACTTGGGCAATCTCCTGTTTCTCCACACCCTATTGATAATGATTCGTATGAGAGGATCGTGTTGTGCATAAAATTGCTTTGCCATAGGAATGATGAGATGAAAAAGATATGGTTGGAATACTGCCGCCAGAGTTTTGTCAAGATGATTTCTGAAAAACAGCTTAGAGAGATGGAGGAACTAAAGGCAAAGACACAAACAACTCATGCTCAACCTGATGATCTAATTGACTTCTTCCATCTAAAGAGTCGGAAGGTGATATTACTTTCTAAGCTTGCCCTTGCTTTATTGTGTTTTTTTTCCTTACGAGTTTTCCTTGGCAATCTGTTTAGTTCTGATATCGTTGGTGTCTACTTTATCTTACAGTTCATATCCGATATTTTTTCATATTCTCAGTTTCAAAGAAAGACAACGGAAGTTGATAGTGGCATGCTATGTTTATTTATTTCGCTGTAGTTGAAAGTACTGATGATAAGTTTCTTTCAGGGAATGAGTCAACTTGAGTTGGAAGACCAGGTACAAGATGACCTAAAGCGTGCAACTGGAGAATTCACCAAGGACGAGAACGATGCTAACAAACTTAACCGCATTCTTCAGCTCACGGGATTCAGTGACCCAGTCTATGCTGAAGCATATGTGACGGTACACCATTATGATATTGCGCTCGAAGTTACAGTAATCAACCGTACCAAGGAAACCCTTCAGAATCTGTGCTTGGAGTTAGCAACCATGGGTGATCTCAAACTTGTTGAGCGTCCTCAGAACTATAGTCTGGCACCTGAAAGAAGCATGCAGATAAAAGCAAACATCAAGGTCTCGTCCACAGAGACGGGAGTCATATTCGGGAACATCGTCTATGAGACATCAAATGTAATGGAGCGAAACGTCGTGGTTCTTAACGACATACACATTGATATCATGGACTATATCTCCCCTGCTGTGTGCTCAGAGGTTGCTTTCAGAACTATGTGGGCAGAGTTTGAATGGGAAAACAAGGTAATTTACCGAAACCTTTTATAGTTGTAGCTTCTTTTTTTGTTTGTTTGTTCAAGTTTGGTATAACCACTCGCTGTTGTATTCTTCATGTCAGGTTGCTGTGAACACCACAATTCAAAACGAAAGAGAATTCCTCGACCACATTATCAAATCCACAAACATGAAATGTCTCACTGCCCCGTAAGTTCAAATTCTTCTTTCATCAGATAGAAACTAAAAACTCTTCTTACTAATCAATGCTTCCCTATTTGCAGATCCGCAATAGAAGGTGAATGTGGATTCCTTGCAGCAAACTTATATGCAAAAAGTGTGTTTGGTGAAGATGCTCTTGTGAATGTGAGTATTGAGAAGCAAACCGATGGAGCATTGAGTGGCTACATAAGGATAAGGAGCAAGACGCAAGGGATTGCTCTAAGTCTTGGGGACAAAATCACCCTCAAACAAAAGGGTAGTAGCTGAGGTTAGCTAATCTTCTCAAAACGTATTCTATTTCTCAATCCAATCCATAAATGTTTGAATCCTTAAACCTTAAATGGTCTAATTTCCGGTACCATACCGATGATTTCTCACAGGCATGGAATGGTGGCGTGCAAGGTAACAGGTTTAGACTACGTACGTTTCTCTCTTGAGCAATTTTTGGTTGGTTGAATCTGTTTACTACAAGGAGAGAGGAGGCGGTTGAGGATATGTAAAGAGTAATTTCAATTTGTTATCATTCTTCCTTAACCGGTATATTTTCCGGTATGGCACCGATGGATTCTTCCTCATACGGCTGTGTTTTTTTTACACTACTAGACGATTTTGTTTTATTGGTAATGCTTTCTTCTATAAAGTCGTTTGTTGAGGAGATTAAGCCGTGATTTTCTTGAAATGCTTTATGATATAGTAGATTTCAATGCATGGGTTTGCTCCAGTTTAGAATCTCGTCATTTCAGATTGATCTCTACTCTTCTTTGCTTTTCCGGCCTTTCGTTGTTCTCTGTTTTTATAAGTCAAAAGCGTATTTTCTCTTTTCTTTCTTATGCATTTTTGAGTTTTTTGATCGTCTGCAAAAATGAGAAAACAAGGAATAAAGTCATACAACTTGAATTCTATGATTGCTTTTCAATTTTTCAGAATGATAAACTTAGTATTCTAAATATAGTCCTAATCTTTTGGCAACATGTTGTCCAAAGTCAAATCTTCCACTCATCATTTGTCAACGAAACTACCTCTCGATTTCATATTATTGTTTTTAGCAACATGTAAATCTAGTCATATGTTATCGTAGATAAGATATCAAAAAATATTTTAAACCAGTGGAAATACTTTGTTTTCTAGTCTTAAAAAAAAAAGCCCATCACTACATTATTGGTGGGACCCAATCACCCAAAAACAGAGTACTCATATTTTAAATTTTTTTTTTTTTGAAGACCAACAGAGTACTCATTAAAACGAAAATATTGCAATGAAAAACAACCATTGATCACGCGCCATATCTACCAGCAGAAACGTCCTAATGATATATATAGCATCAGATGTGTTTCGTTGGTGCAAGGACGAGGTGTTCTTTCTTGTGCATAGCGAGTCCAGTCATGACGTCCATCTTTATATCCTCTGGTTTAATCCCTTTAGGTAGACTCCAGTTAAATTTGTAGAGAAGGTTAGCGAAAGGTATCTCTACCATTGCGATCCCAAGATGCATGGCCGGGCACATTCTCCGGCCTGACCCGAAAGGTAGGAGCTCAAAATCTTGGCCCTTGAAGTCAACTCCTTTGTGCTCGTTCATGAACCTCTCTGGAATGAACTCATTAGGGTTGTCTCCCCACGCGGCTGTGTCACGAGAAACCGCCCACGCGTTCACCTGAATGATGGTCTTGGCCGGGATATCATAGCCACCGATCTTCGCGTCTGCGATAGTTTCTCTGTGAAGAAGAATGGGGATGACTGGTTCGAGCCGAAGAGACTCCTTGATTACTGCCTTGAGGTAAGGGAGATTAGGTATGTCTTCTTCCGAGACATATCCTTTGTCTCCTATCACATTCCTCACTTCGTCTTGAGCTTTCTTCATCGCTTCAGGGTACTTTATAAGGTAAGTCATGGCCCATACCACCACTGCAGCCGCCGTATCAGTTCCCGGCACAACAATATCCTGATGAAATTACAAACAAACCGAGTTAATAATAATATTGAGATTTAACTAACTTAGAGAATTGCAATAAGGGTTAGATATATAGAGTTACGAACCAATATCATGGCCTTGACATTTTCGTGAGTGAATTTGATGGAGAAAGGTTGGTCTTTGTAGATCTGCATCAAAAGATCAATGAAACTCTCTGTTTCTTGTTTAGGGCGGTTAGGGTCAAGAGTCTCGTCTAGAAGTTCTTGAAGGTAAGTGTCAAGCTCCTTAAAAGCTTTCTTGAGACGCGCACTAAGACCGGTGAGGTTGTCAAGGAATCCAAAATAAGGAAAGAGGTCGGAGAAAAACAGAGTGCCCAAAAGTGCTTGCGTCTCGTACAAGATGTCTATGAATCTCTTCATCTCTGTACCGTACTCATTGTACCGTTTCCCAAAAGCTTGTCTACATACGACACAGTTGGTGAAAGACAAGAGAAGCTCACTTAGATCAACGGTGCCTGATTGATCAGCGGCTTTGTAGATCTTGTCCATCATCCGTTGACACTCTTCTTCTCTAACCGGTCTGAAACTTGCGACACGGTTTGGGCTGAAGAGGTTCACCATACACATCTTCCTCATCTCACGGTAGTACGCGGTGTACTGTCCGAAACCGAGCTCACGGCCTTGATACGACATCGTTTGTTGCCCTTTCAAGAGAGGACGAGCGGTGAAGTTGAGGTCTTGAGTCTTGAGTAGCTCCTTGGCTAGCTCGGCCGAGGAGATCACCGCTAGGCGACGGCCTCCGATTTTCATTGTGAAAATCGGGCCGTATAGCTTGGATAGACGGAAAAGGAAGTGTTGTGGATTGAATTTCTCCATCTGGTGAAGGTTTCCTATAATAGGAAGACCTTTTGGTCCCGGAGGTAACCGGAGAGATTTCTTGGTGGTACTCCGGAGGAAGAAGAAGGCTGTAGCCGCTACCAAAGCGGCTATAATCAAGAAGAGATCCATTTTTTTCTTTGTTTGACTTACTTAAGACTTGTTTTCGGATATTTTCTACTTTGCATAAGTGATGCTGTGGTTTATATAGCAAGACAAAAAGTTTTATTGGTTGGTTTGTTTTGTTTTTTTTGACAGGTGCAGAATTTTGCCTTGTTTTTAAAACGTGATGTTAGTAGGTGGACTACTCGTTTTGGAATTAAAAAATGTAAGTTGAGTATATTTAAGCATTGGGTTACACAATAATACTGAAAGCGAAATTGTTGAAGAGTTGAAAATGTGAGGATATTGGATAAGAATATAACCTCTTGGTTTTGTTTTCTATAAATATACTATAGAACCATAAGTTTATTGTGAAGTATTAAAATATCATCAACTTGTTTTTTTCTAAAGCTCATAAACTTGTGCATCATTTAGACATCATTGCTCATTCTTAAATTTTTTAAAATTGATATGATCGATTTAATAGAAACATTTCTATAGTACCTATGAAATTTGAAAAGATCAGTTTCTCCTATGCTATTACGTAAATTGAAAGAAAACAAAACTCTCAGTTTTATGTTTTCTAATTACTTTGTAGGCAATTTAATTTGAAAAAAATGTGTTCAGATTATTGTATTTCAACAGTGGGTCGTCTCAGTGAGACACATATTCAACTTCTTCTATCTAAATTCTATATCTGACTAAGATGAATCGTACATAAATAAATTCAACTTAGTAGAGAAAAAATATGTTCTTGGGAAAACGACCCTAAACATGTCCCTAGTGACTACGCAGCGGCGCAGCCTCTATTGAACTTACTACTAGGCCGTCAAAATTCACGACTTAGTTCATGTGGACTTTAGTTTTTTTATAGAACCAATTTCATGGGCTTAACGAATGTCAAGGTTGACAAGAAGTGTGATAAAAAAAAAAAAAAGTCTACTTCGTTGAGAATTACCAAAATATACAAACAGTCAAATTAATTTATTACAATTAAACATAAATTGGTTTCTGTCAAATCTTCCTCCAACTTATTGTCAACGAAACTTTATCTACTCTTGACAAAAGAAGAAGAGAAACAAAAATGATCATCAATCATCATCTTGAAAACTAGTTAAGCTAAAACAGCTCTTAGTCTGAGGAACCATAAAATCTCTATGGTTCGTCATCTTCATCCTCTTCTCTTTCAGCTTACTAGTTTCATCATCACTACTATCATCATCATCATCATTGAGTTTATGATCCTCATTGTCAGATTCTTGCAATGCAAGTAAAGGCATAGAATTAGGGTTAATCTTGGTGTAGATGCTGAAAGAAGACAAGGATGATCTTCTCCTTAGCTTATTAGCAATAAGCAATCTCCTTCTCTTGTTCAATGGACTCTCCACTTTCACCAAATCCTTTGCGTTGCTCGCTTCCATTAAATTCCCAAACGATTTCGATTTCCCTATGTAATGATTTGATAATCCTCTCCTGTAAGAAAAAAAACAAAACCTTAACCACAACGACTAAAACCAACACTCAACATGTAATAACATTTAAACTGAGAAACAATTTCAACATATCTTACAGGTTCATCAATAAAATCAAACACAAGAACATAGAGAATCTAACGATTTACTTTATTCATGTAATAAAAAGAGGTTTAATAGTTTTTTTTTTTTTGTTGAGGTTTAAATCGAATATATTCAGGTGTAAATAAAGAATAATTTGATTAGAAGATAATTAATAAAGAAACGTACTTAATCGGAAGAGAACCTTCCAAAGATGAACTAAACGAATTAAGCCATCTTCCTTGTGATGATGAAACGGCGTCGTCTTCTTCTTCCTCGTTTTCGCTGTTTTCTCCAACAGACGACGAACTCTCCGGCGGAGATCTACCACATCTCCTTAAACCAATCCGGTTAGACAGAGCCGCCGGTACACCCTGATCCTGCGCCGTGACGCTGCTCCGATCCCTAAACGTAGAACCTACCAGAACCTCCATTTATTCCGGTAGAATTCTTCTAGCCTTGGCCTCTTGGACCTCGATCTCTCTTGTTTATCCACCAAATCGAGTTCAGCTGTCATAAATCGGAGAACCCGCGTAGGTTAAGAGCTCCAAAAAGCAAGCGCAGGTTAACAAGTAATATAAAGATAGAGAGACAAGACTCCACCGATCGGAGAAGAAGAAGATAAAAAAGAAAGATAGTTTATTATTAAAAAAAAGAAAGATAATCGTGATATACGAATACGTATATATATACGTATGACTGACAGTAATTTTAAGTCTCTCTCTCTCTGTGTACTAAAATTAGTATCCGAGGGAAGGACGGTAACGGCGACTTTTGACGGTTTAACACGTTATTTGATGACGTGGCGATAATGGATTGGACTTTAGCCGGACGTTTCGGGGTTACTGTCTCCGTTAAATCCGATGCTGGCGATGTACCGAAAGTTGGGTGGACGTTATAACACCAGAAACCCCTTCAACCTTATCCAAAACTCATTACTGTTTTTTTGGTTTTTAATTTAAAAAAGGGAAAGTAATGAATTATAAAAATCAGTGAAAACCAGATATGATTAACGAACTATTTTACGGGTAATCTACACGGATTTAACATTATTAGCTTTTTTTCCTTTCACAACTGATTTCACTTGTTGTCGTAAAAGATTTAAACACAATTATTTTTTGAAGTGTGGACCAAAATCCAAAACTTAAAACTAATTAATTCTGATAATATGTAAGGACTGGGTACTCTAATCATTTAGATCATCAAACACTTCAACCATAATTAACACAAATTACTACTTAAAAAAAAAGGAATCGTTCAATCATTTAGATCTAATCAACAGACAAATATAACTTCTAATTGTTTTAACATTTATTCAATTAATGTGTTAATTTTTTATGTTTGAAAGAAAAGAGTGGTGATATGTTGATTTAGATTTCAGATGATCAAAACAAAAATGTTTGGAAAATTCTAATATAGTTTCAGATGATCAAAAAAAAATGTTGATGTAGATGCATATGCATATTTTAAGTTTTTAACCATAAATATGTTTTTATAAACATACTAATAGCCATCTTTGATGGCACTTATACACTCCAGAATTCTCCTCGTACTCTTTATCTCCTCATTTGTGCTACCACCACACAAACAAAGTCGGCGAAAATTTGAAGATGGAAGAGTCTCTATTTCGTTTGGTCACATTCTTATTGCTTCTTCTACTATATTCAAACCGACCAAAAGTGTAACTTTTGTAACCACTTGATTTAGAAAGTTAACATCAACAACTTCTTTCACTTATCTTATATATATACAAGACTAAACTAATCTCATCTCTCAAAAAAAAAACAGAGGATATAATGGATAACACAAGGAGGTGAAGAATTGAAGATAATTTCAAGATCAACATTGATAATATCAAGGGAGTCCTCATGGTAAGACCTCAAAATCTTGCTTCATATTTCTATTCTCTTTTTCGAAAAAAAGATTTTTTTTTAATCGGAATCTATAGTAGTCTCCATGTGAAATTTTGTGTGGTAAAGTGAATTGTTTATGTCACTAGTAGGGCAAATCAGGTACTCGATAATTTGTTTGCGTTTGATTTTACGTTTTGTGTTATAATAGTAGTATAGTTTCTCCAATCAAAACCATAGCATTTCATACTTAAAATGTTATTTTTGAAAGAAACGTTAATCTTTTCATGCCAACGCACAGATTGGCGTAAAAAATAGTAAAAAGTAAAAACCATTATTTGTTTTCAAATTTTTGTGTGTATATATATATTTACTTATGTGTTTGTGTATTGGTTAGGATATATATTTCTCGCGGGGCAATGACGGAGCTTGCAAGAAACCCTAGAGTGATGGAAGAGATCCGAACCACCCTCAGGCTCAAAAGGGATAAGAAGACATTTACAAAGTTGATTACTTGAAGCTCATAATCAAGGAAACATTTAGATTACACCCATCACTTCCTTTTTTGCTCCCAAGAGAAACAATGTCCCACGTCAAGATCCAAAAGGCTACCATGTTCCTCCAAATACGCAAATCCAAACTCAACTTATGGCTTGACTTTTATTTATAAACAAACCCAGAGATAATTTAGTGACATGGGAAGATCTTTCAGCAGCAGCGGCCAACTAGGACCGATGGCCTCTCTTGGGCCATATTTTTTTTTTCAGTTAGTAAAAATCAGTCTCGGATATTGGTATGTTAATGTTGCTTAATTGCTTCTAGTAGCCCTTTCTTGTTCTTTATATAACTCCAATTTTAATAAATCACTTCCTCTTTATCACGCAATTTTGCCAAGCATGATTAGATTGACAGAATACCAAAATAACAACTAGGATCATCAAAAACAAACTTAATCATTGGTAAAAGATATAGGCGAGACACCAATTCAAGACATCAACGACTGTTTACTTTTCCGTAAAGAAACACACGGTGCAATAGAGAAAACCTAGAGAGAGTCATCAAACCAAAAGTGTCCGATTTTCAAAAGCAGAGTGTGTTTTGTAAATAAAGTAAAACCAAGCACATTTTCAAAATGAAACTAAAAAGAAAAACAAAAAAAAAGTTTGAAACGGAGAACACAGAAGCATCAGTCTGGCTGCCAACAGTGTTGCCTTCATCTGGTTGTTTGTTTATTTGTATTTGATATTTGGAATTCAATAAAACAAAACAACACATTGTATATGAGAAAGTGAATCTGTGATGATAATATCATGGACGAAGACCACGACAAGTAAAGTTCATCAAACAGCATCATCAAGTCCAATATGAGAAATATGAAAGTTTTGTAATGATTTTACTTTCCAGTAATGTTAAATAATTTAATAAAGAGAGATATAAAAAGAAGGATGAGTTTTGCTCATTTTCACTTCCAAGCTTTTCTTCCTCTGAACTGGCTTCCGCTGAGGCTATTCTTCTTTTTCTTGACTCGCTTTGATTTCCCAGCCTTTGATCTTACTGCAGCGAGAGGCATATTCTTCTTGTGCTCCTTCTGTCTATTGCTCGATCCTCCGCTCTGCGTTTTCAATTATTGGATCATCAAACAAACATATTTTGTGCTTGTAAATAACCATTTCTTGTAACAACAGAAACAAAAACGGATACCTTCTTCTGCTTGATGGCAGTCTTGGATTGGTATTTCCCTCGGTCCTCCCTACCCGCTTTAACTAACTCCAGCCTTTCTTCTTTTGTTAGTTTATGCCTTATGTGAGCCTGTGGAAAGAGTAAGAAAATTCAGTTAACATCGCCAAACATTTTGTGACTAAAACAGAGCTTCTCATAGTAACAGCTTACTTCAAGTTTGGCTGGATTGACCAGCTTCTTACTTAGCTGATCAGAATCCGGAACTTTGAATCCTTTTCGAGCCAATGCAATTTTCGCATCCTTATTTGCCTGTATGTGACACAAGACATCATCAACAACGTTGGACTTCTTTACCAAACAGAGGAAAATACCTTCTCTCTTTCGCATATATGTATACCTTAAGTTCTTTGATTTTTTGGAAGTCCTCATTGGAAAGTATGCCATCACTTTCAGCAAAAGATGGTTGTTCCCTCTTTGCTTCTGCGCATCTCTTTAGTGCTCGTAGGCTTGTATCAGCAGCGAGGAGACTCGCATCAAAATCTACTAACTTCCTTTTCTTCCCCTTTGCTTTCTCTGTGTTTCCACTACCCTCCACAGAAGAATCAGAAGCTTCTCCATCATCTTCTTCGTTTTCCGAATCAGTCTCGGCTTCATCACTGTCATTCTTCTCTTCCTCTTCATCACCACTGACCAAAGTATCATCTTCAGTGTTATTCATATCATCACCATCATTAGAAACTTCTTCAGCCTCGTCCTCAGTTCCACATGCATCAGGTATCAGCTCCTGTTCGGAACCATCACTCCCAGGCAACGCCACTTCATCATCGTCTTTCTCATTATCACTTTCTTGCAATAACTCAACATTGGGAACATTGCTGAAGACATTAACTTCTCCATATTTTTTAGGTCTGGCAATGGGACCTCCAGGACGGCCACGGTCTTTTTTCACTAGAAGCGAAGGGTTGATCTGAAATTACAAAATGTAATTACTGGTTAACCACATACACTGATTATTTTGTTCCAATTAACAAATCAAATACTTCTGCTACCTCTCTGAACAATGCTATGAGGGAAGCAGATGCTGCTGAGATGGCTTTTCTATGGGTACGGTACTTTTTATCCGTTTTATACTGAGCAAGATCATGCAGCAAGTCTTCTGTCATCAACTGAAGTATAGCAGACAAAAAAAAAATAGAAGAAGCAAAAAGACAACTCAGAAAAAGAAAAAAAAAAAGAAAAAAGGATTGGTGCTGTAAAACTACATTTATATGAGAATATTAAACCAGAGTTAAGAACTAGTTACCTCGGGAATCCTAAGGCACATTTCTCGTACCACATTGAGTGCGACAGGAATAGCCTGGTTACATATATGAAAACAATGAATTAAAAAGGAAAAATATAAATGATAGAATAAGCTTTCTAGTTAAGTCCCTCCCTTGGTGTTTGAAATCACACCTCCGGACTTGAGCGATCGTGTAAAAACTCATTCACTATTTGCTTGAACAGTGGCTCCACGGCATCCGAAGGTACCTGCCCGATATAAAAATGATTGGAAGGATTGCAGAATGAGAAAAGGGATGATGCTTTAAAGTGTAAGATGTTTGTATACCCCATCATGGCAAGCCTGAACTGCTGCTGCAAGTATTTGTGTAATGTCCTTTACACCATCCTGCATTTAAGAGCATCCCTGTTTCAATAAATTTTCAGCAAAGAAATTGTAAAAAGGGCAGTTAGCAAATCTTACCTTAGCATAGTCTTCAAGATAAGTATAAAATTTGAATAAAAGCAACTTGTGAAGACTAATAGTTCGTGCAATAACTTTTATAATCATCAACCTGGTCTGCAAAATTTATTGAATACATGGCTAGTTAGCTCATATGTTTCTATAGAATGGATGAAGCGAGTTAAAATACAATTACCTCACGCCGTTCATTAGTTTCCCCACTGCTCTTGTCATTAGTTTCCCCACTGCTCTTGTCATTAGTTTTCCCACTGCTCTTGTCAGACTTAATATGGCGAAGCAACCTCTTTGCAAAGTTCTGTAAAAAAAGAAAAACATTCAAGTACATAGCCACATAGAAAAAGCTAGGAAATGACACACTACAAAAAAGCTAGGAAATGAACCTGTGCATCATTTAGATGATTAAGAGGTGAATAAGTTGAAGTAGTGTTCTCAGACGACGCACGCTGCTTTCGTTTAATACTTCGCATGGCGCGTTGCAGTTTTGCTTGCTTTTTCTTCTTGCTAGAAGATGTACCTTTGTTGTTGGCCTAAACATGGGAAACAGGACCTAGTATTATACTTAATTCATAATGATAAAAATGATAGTGACAACTATTTGAAGGTGGAAAATTCTTTTCACAACCAGTAGTAAGCGTTTTCGTCATAGTCGCTAACAAAATTCATGTATAAATATGTTGTTTACCTTGTAAACAGCCTCTCTGTTAAACACAACCTGAGATACTTTCTTTGAATCCTCGTCATCGCTGCTTGAAGCATCACTATCATCCTCATCGTTAATGTTGTCGTAGTCAAGAAGAAACCGAAGGGAAGATATCCGGATCCTGAACATGTAAAAAAAAAAAAGAGAAGTTAATTCGACCAACCAAATCATATCAAAATATTGCACAGTTAGGAAGATATACCTAGGTGAAGTATGAAAGCAGGCTTCACAAATGGCAATTGCTACTCTGTCATGTTTATCACCAAACCAGACCTTTCTCTTGTGAAGCTCACAAAGGGTAACAAGTGCTCTCTTAGCCTTGGTTTCATCTTCTTGCTACAAGCAAAATTATATTATCTACTTGATAATAAACTCGGTTACACAATGAAAAGGGAAAAGAAAAAGACTTACCTCCAACATGGAGACCACAATCTTCTGAAGAGATTTGTGCCTTGGATCAGTGATACTCATCTTACGGATGGTTTGAACAATGTGAGAGAAAGCAAGCTTTCGCATGTTTTCATCACCAAGAGTCTGAATATCCAGAAACAGAGCCAGCAAATCCTCCATGACAAGACTCTTAACACACCAAGGAAACAGTAGAGTTATATTATTAAAAAAACATTCCTTTCGATTACAAGCAGCTCAGATTTCGTATCGATCAAATTAAAAAAACAAACCTTTCGATTCATAAGAAGAATCAGAGCTTTCACAACATGGATCCGAAGCACCGACGGCATTGCCAGGCATGAGGTACGGAGTAAATCAGTCAATTGAGCTGGGAATGCGGCGAGCTGTTTCGGGTAAAACGGAGTGACGTGAGCGAGAAACATGGCTCGGTCGCCGAGGTCCTTGGCAACGGAAGGGTCGGAGCCGACGGAGGAGAAAGTGAGAGCCGCCTGTTGCTGAAAGAGATCGACGGAGGCTCTGAACTGTTTGTAAATCAAATGGATCTCAGTTTCGTAACCCTCTGGGTCACGCTTGATTTGACTCTGAAGGATAGGAAGGCTGAGCTTATCGGAGCTCCGGCCAGACGCCTTCAAGGACTCCGGCGTAAGACCTAGAGATCCGGCCATAATCGGAGGTTTTGGGATAGGGAAAGGAACCAACTCTTTAGGTTTATACAAACAGGGAGACTTTTGATATATTTATAGGTTTAGTTCTCCACTGTACCAGATCGGTTTAGGATTTGATTCTGTCGGTTAAGAATTTTATAGTCTATAGTCTTTTTGTTTTCCGGTTCCGTTAAGACTTTAAACCACTTAAGGTAATATAAGAACCCGTGCATGAGTCTTATGATATTTGATTTAGGGATTTTTGCCAAATCTACCCTATTTTTCAAATTTCTTAGCATCTCTACCACAATTGAAAATGATTTAGCACTTGTACCACATTCATGTGGTATTGTGGTATGAAAAGACGGTTTTGCCCTCGGCTGATGTGGCAGATAAAGTGTAACATTTAGGGACAAGTATCTAGGAGACAAAAAATTTATTCGGAGACAATAATCAAACGAAATATAAACACCAAACAAAATGAAAAGACCGCAATTAGAGTTTACATACTAAAATCCAAGAACAATGAATTAAAATTGAGGGACAAAAACTAGCAAACATGCAAAAATAAGATGAAATTATGGAAAACTCAAACTTCGGGGACAACTGTATGTAAATTTCTTTTTGTGTTCTCAATCTATGAATTTTGTCCCCGAAATTTGAGCAAACAAAAGGAAGGGCAAAATGGTCATTACACACTTCAATTGTGGTATAGATGCTAACTGGGCTTAGAAAGTGGTATTGGACCTAAATTTTGGGCCAAATGTGGTACTCAATCTAATTTTCCCTTTGATTTATAATAGATCAATTTTAAAATATAAAAATTTAAAGTTTTCAGACCCAAGAAGATGTCAAAATTCATAAATTTAGATTTATACATTTGCGGTTTAAATTTAAATCTTTTTATAATATATGAAAGATTAAATATTCACTTCCTCATGAAAATACATTTAAATTAAGTAGTCTTTTGGTAAGTTTAGTTAATAAAAATAAGTAGTATATGGAATTAAGAATGTTTGGTAAGATGCACAGTTCGTACAAGCACAAGTGTTGTCATACACAATCGTAGTAGCGCTTATTTTGGTGGTGATCTATATCTTGTTGCGCCTATAGGCAGCCTTATAAGATTTCATCCATCTTTCGAGACTTTTGAGACTCTCGATCCGCCGTCTAGGCTCGATTTAGACATCAACATGTATGTCTTGTTTATCTACCAAGGCGAACGCGCCATGACTTCCCGCCTCATGCAAAATTCCTATGATCGATGTTTATTTACGCTAGAGAACGAGTTAGGGGAAGATTGGAATCGTATCAATTTCGTGTCGAATGCTGAAACTACGAACATAGTGAAACCATGTGAAAAAACGCGGCATAACCAATGATGGTGAGATTATATTGGTGAAACGCTATTTGAGTTTGAGGATGCAGAAAGACATCATTTACTACAACCCCTCGAAAGGTAATCTCAAAGTTTTTGTGGCATGGCTGAAGATGATTTCATGACTCAGTTTGGAAAGTCTCGTCTTTCGGCGCTTCTCCACACCGATAATGTCGAGCATTTGATGTTCTTAAAATGATCAGGTAATTGTCATCTTATGAACACAGTTTGCAAGTATAGTAATTCTTTTTCTTATTCATAGTCTAATAATATCTCTTCTGGTTGTACGAAATGGTCCATATGTGACATGTGTTTTCTTTGTACTAGTTGTTGAAATTTTTAACATTTTTATCTCACCCTAACTATTTAAGATCAATTATTGTATAAAAAACTTACTTAATTTTATATGGTTTTAATATCAAAATTCATCATTTTCTTTTTTCTACAAATAGAGACTTGTTTCATTTGATTTGGACATAGAAAACAATGTCTATTTTACTATAATGTTTTTAATTAACTTCTCATGCACTTTTGTTTAAACTTTTAAACATCTCTTTTAGAAAAATGGATGTCAACAACTAAGATTATAAAATAAAAGACAAAGTTATTTTTAAAATTTATTTAACTTTTAGTTATCTTAATTTAATTGTACTTATAAGTGTTATTAATATGTAACTAGAAATATAAAAGAAAATAAGAATATGAGATATAAAAAAAAAAATAGTGAGGTAGGATGTTGAATTTTATTAAACAAATCATTGTAGAAGTTAAAAATTAAATAAATGTTGAATGATTAGGTGAAAGAAAGAGAAAATGATGTGGAGTGTTAAAAGCAAAAATAAGGAGTTGAAAAAACAAAACAAATGTACATAGTCATATGACTTCTTTTTTTTTGTTTTCATCACATAGTCATATGACTTAACTATGACATTTGTGAATACTTTATGAGATTATTACTGTAGCTCTCTATGTGTCTAATTGCCAATCTAATCTTGAATAAGAGGCGATGGACTTCATATTAACACATATTGGATGGAATCACCAAGCTTCTTCTTCTTAGGCAATTTAGGAATTCGGTGTTGTATAGTTTATTATTTCATAGTCGTATGTATATAACCATAGATTAACCAGCCTATCAGGGCTAAAGCCTCAAAACCTACTACTACCTTAAGACTAGGAGAAGTGAAGTCCAGTCCACTCTCCGTTTTATTTATTATTTATTTTGATTTTGAATGAACAAATTTAATAATGGCATCTCCTTAAATTTATCTACCTCGCTTGACCATTCATGGCTACCACCAATCTCAGCTTCGCTCCTCCCTCTTACTCCCGTTTTGCCGCTACAAATTCCCAAATCAGAAACCCTCTGTTTACGTGCCTGCCACTTCCATCTTCGTTTTCTTCTTTCTTCCTGGTTAGAAATGAAGCATCTTCTTTATCTTCGTCAATCACGCCAGTCCAAGCTTTTACAGAAGAAGCCGTCGATACTTCGGATTTAGCCTCTTCTTCTTCAAAGCTTGTACTTGTCGTCGGCGGCACTGGTGGTGTAGGTACTAAACCATCCATTTCATTTACTTAAATCTTCAATTTTTAAACTTGGGATGGTGAATTCTCCTCAATAACCATCTAATTTTGCTTAAAGTCTTCTCCTTTTTGGTATCAGGGCAACTTGTGGTAGCTTCATTGATCAAGAGGAATATTAGATCAAGGTTATTACTGCGTGATCTTGACAAAGCTACCAAGTTATTCGGCAAACAAGATGAAAATTCCTTGCAGGTTCGGACTTTATATCACTATTTCGGATTCACTACTTCTTCATTTTCTTCAACAAGTTTAAACCATGTCATAGGTAGTTAAAGGGGATACTAGGAATGCAGAGGATCTTCATCCATCCATGTTTGAGGTTCGTCTTCTTGCTCCTGTTATGTTTGGGAGGAGTTTCACTTGTTCTTCATTTGATTTTAACTGATTTGTGCAGGGTGTGACACATGTGATTTGTTGCACCGGAACTACAGCTTTTCCTTCTAAGAGGTGGAGTGAAGAAAACACTCCTGAGAAAGTAGGTGAGAACACATTTCTTTCCAAGTAAGAACGTAAACATTTCCAGTAGTATCAATGAATTGAAACAAAGGGGTCTCTTATTGATTATTCCTTTTGGGACTATGTGTTTCTTTTTCTGTTCAAAAGATTGGGAAGGTGTGAAGAATCTCATTTCAGCATTGCCATCATCGGTGAAGAGAGTTGTTTTGGTTTCATCAGTAGGTGTGACCAAGTCTAATGAGCTTCCTTGGAGGTGAGACTGGAGTATCTCTACTAATTGCTTTCGTGGAGTTGAATAAGCATGTGAAACTGACTACTATTTACAAAAGTCCTGCGAATTTTTATAATCTGGTTGTCTCTACGTGTAGTTATATGTTGAATGTATGTTTTGTTTGACAGCATCATGAACCTTTTTGGGGTTCTTAAGTACAAGAAGATGGGGGAAGATTTTCTTCGTGACTCTGGTCTTCCATTCACCATTATCAGGTTTGGGACAGAAGAGTTACCCACTTTTTTTTTGCTCAATTACCGGATAATACTCCAAAACGCAGGCAACATATGGTTTACTGATTTACTTTATTTATTATGTTTTCTTACCAGACCTGGTAGATTGACTGATGGACCATACACATCTTATGATTTGAATACTTTGCTCAAAGCTACAGCCGGTGAACGGCGTGCAGTTGTTATTGGTCAAGGTCAATTTGAGATTCTTTGATGGTCTTGTAGCACTAAGATTTTTGAGATTGCTTGATTTACATAATGGCTCCTTTTAGCAGGGGACAAACTTGTTGGAGAGGTAAGTAGACTTGTAGTGGCCGAAGCTTGCATACAGGCACTTGATATTGAATTCACGCAAGGCAAAGCTTACGAGATCAATTCAGTTAAGGTATCACAAACAGTTTCCTCGAAATTTGAACAAAGTGGAAATGTAGTCTGATCAAGAAACATATCATAAGGGGTGTCCTGGAGAATCAAAGCTTTAGTTGATCATTGAAAATGTTTCAAAGATTTGGTTGGCTTTTTATATATTTTTGAGAAATGTGGTTTCAGGGGGATGGTCCAGGAAGTGATCCGCAGCAATGGCGAGAGTTGTTTAAAGCTGCAGAATCCAAATGACAAAAGAGGACATTTGAGAGATGTGTACAGAATTGTTAGCGAGACAATACATATATGGTCGAATTGTGTATACATACATATGCTTTCTTTTGGTCTTTGACTTCATCATTACTGTAATTACCCCTTACTTTATCTATAATTAGAAGATTTTTCTAGCAAATCTAGTTTTAGTGTTTTACAGCCAACGAACAAATCAACTTCAAAGCAACTGCTAAGAAGTCCAACCAAAAGAGTAGGTTGCAGATTGGATTCTTCCTAGCCATTTTAATCCGAAATTCAGATTCCGGATTTGATTTTCGACTTCTCTTGAATCGTAAACCAAATAGCGACTCGAGCAATAAACCTATTGATAGAGAGAGGATAAAGAATGAACAGAGAAAACGGTTTTGCTGAATTTTCCTTTATTGTCTTAAAAATTCATAAAAGTCACAAATGTAGTACAACACTGAGAACAAGAAGATTCAAAGGGACAATTCTTCTTTCGATGTTGTAGGATTCCCACATTTTATAATCCTGTTCTTCAGGTTAACACATTAAATAGAATAACCTAACCCGCTTGGTCCCTAACATGAAGTCTTATGAAATTAATGAACTAAAGGGACTTGACCAATGACTAAAAGCTATACCTGATTGACAGTATTTATATACGTATAACAATACCTCTGCTTCCAGGAGATGGAGATCAGACCAATGTGGACACATTTTAATACAACATTCGAGAACAGAACATGGCTTCAATCAGACGACTGCGGAAGTAGTACGCCTAAGGTCAACATCATTCTTGAGTTTCTCACTCGGCGGTGTTCCTTTGAAGCTTCCATATCTCATAGGCTTAGGCATGTAAAGAGAACTGAGTATCTTCTCCAAAGCTACCACTGTGTATCTCACATACTTGCTTGAACTCGCGTCTTTCTCAACCAATGGCCCATAATTTTGCATATAGCTTCTGTAAACCGGCACAATAGCCTGAACAATCTGCTGGCAAACTCTATCCCTCAAATCTTTTTCTGGTAAGACCCATGATGCTTGCTTCTTATACATCTCATCAAACGCATCATTGAATGCTTTCAATCTCTTCTTGACAAGATCACGAGCCGTGGCATGTCCACCTGAGAAAAGAATTAGTCCTTCTCGGCTCAAGTGGCTTGGAAGCTTACCCCAACTGTCTCTAAGGAAGACAGTGGCGTAATACTCTTTGTACTGTTCATGTTCTTTCAGCCAGGAATCTCCTAAATGATCCCCAATTTTTGTACCCTTTAAGTTCTTGTATAAATGCCAGTGATTATTCATACCGAAGAAATGAGCGAGCGTTTGATCCGGATACGCTTTCATCCATACATCCAGATTCTGCTCAATGGCTTTGATTATTCTTAAAACCTCAACCATAAGCTGATTATCTTGGAACCTTTCTGATCTCCAGCTCTTATGTATGAGCAGAACCTGAGTTAGAGTTGACTTGTACTTATCTCCAATAAGTTTATTGCAGTAATCAGTTACAAAACTGACTAATCTAGGAACACCACCATCGCTAGGAGGCGGGGTTTGTTTCTGAATCTCAACCTGAACCAGAAGCTCCCAGAAGATTTCTGCTGCACCATCGATTATCCTTTTGATGAGATCCCTTGTGAAGTTTTGGATTTCGATACAAGCTGCTCCACCAAAGAGGCGGTTGAAATCTGCTCTCAGTTTGTTCAATGAAGTAAAAATATCTAACAGCTTCAGAAGCTTGATTGGATCTTTCTTGCTATCAGTCACAGTTTTTCCAAACTGAAGGAACGCGAGCATACCGGCCTGAGCAGCAATCTTAGAAAAGCAATCCATCCAAACATTCAAACCGAGTCTCTCAAAAACATCGTTGCAAAGCTTGAACTCTGCTTCAAACAGATGCTTAACCGCAAACTCTAAATGATTCCCCCACTGAGCTATATACCCTTCTATGCTCTGCACATCGTTGAACTCAGAAACCGAGATATCTAGATAATCTAAGTCAAGTGCTTGAAGACTAGCTCTAACATTCGAGCTCCTCACTTCAACGTATATTGAAATGCACTTGTCGAGTCTGTTATTAGCTCTGAGTCTCCCAAGAATGGCTTGCAGTTTATGAATTACAGTTACAGGCAACTGAGACGGTGCAATGCAAGCCTGATCACCGAGGGATGATGGAGACGCCATTGGAAGTGGTACACTGTTATCCTTCAAGAGCCTCCTGAACTCGTTTTCCAGCTTATCTAAAGCAGCATTCCTAAGTCCGCCATCAAGACGCAATTGAGATCTCTCTTTCTCTTCTACTCCTCCACCGTCATTATGAAATTCACTAAGCCCTCTCAAAGATTTCTTCAAATTCGAAAGATACTTCTCATCAGCAACATGGTGATCATCAAGATACTCAACTATATCTTCCAACCACTGGATAGCTAACCCACAATTCTCCCCTAGAAACTTCAAAGCTTCCTCTAACCGCTTCAATACCGATAAATAACTCGAAAGATCGTTCTTGGGATCTGATAACAAAGACTTCTCAAGTCCATGAACAGCATCAAACACCTTAAGCACAGCGGCTGCAGGACCAACAGCTCGGTTAATGTTACCACCAACATCCTTAAGAGCTTCTCCATCAGCACGTATCGGCCTCACCGCAGCTTCAAGCAACGGCAATCTCTGCTCAATCTCCTCAAACCTAGGCCCAGTTTTACCCAAAGCTAACCCAATGGCTTTTGATTTCTCAAGACTCAATTTTAAAGACTTTCTTGCAGCTATCAAGCTCTGAATCCCACGATCCACCCCAGTAGACTCCGCCATTATTAAATTCAATCAAAATAAAACCCTAGAAAACCCAGAAAATCTCTCTCTAAGGAAAGTTACTAATCTTCCAAACTTTATTCCTAATAAAAATGATGACTTTGGAGATAATCGATTCAGAATCAGATGCAAAACATCAAACACTTTCCTCTTTTTTTTATTCGTCTCCTTTATTCCCAACTTTCAATAAATCAAACCAAACCCAAAAACCTAGTTTGCAGCAAAAACTCACAAACAGAAACAAACAAACCCAGACACAGAAATTTCCACAGCTACCAAACAACCACCGAAAAATTGCAAGAACCGAAACCAGATAATTCCCAGACAGGAAGTCACTTTTTAACTAAGACACTCAAACTAAAGAAATCGAGTATAGATAAGGTCTTCCACTATAATGGGTCGCCGGCAAAAAGTTTACCCGACGGCGAGAGTTTGGCGGAAGAATCGAAACGGTGTGATAGTTTCTCTAGAGAGAGAGATACCCAGGAATCCAAAAAAAAATCGATTAACGAAGAACAAAAGAATAGTAAATCGGAAAGAGAAAACTGAAAAAGAGAAACTTTTTTTTTTGTTTTTCGACAGTTTTTTTTTTTCTCGCGATGCCCGACGGAAACTGACAAAGTGCATGACAGTGAAGCACAAGGTTTCACAGCATCACTTGCCACTTCGGTTAAAAAAAAAAAAAAAAACTTGCTAATATAGAGTACAGATATTAATCAAATGTTAATTACACAACTTTTTTGTTCAATCACTGAATTTTTGCTTTTTCTGTCGACCAAAATTATGCTTATTTTTTGTTTAACTTTAAGAATCTTTTAGAAAAATGTGTTCAGGTTTCGGAATCTTTTCTTCTTACTTTTTCTGGCTAAGATTCTTTGGATTAGTTTCATGTAAGACTTGTGAATTGTGATCATCTAATATTAATGGTAGTTTACCATTTACCATATTTAACTTTTTGGTAACGTATGAGTTAGGCCTGAATTAAATCACTTGGACTTCAGAACATAAATGAAATATTTAATCTTTTATTTGAAAACATCGCAATAACTTCTAACATATCACAGAAGTTCCAAAATTTATGTATTTCCATGTGGAAGTGAAAAAGTTATAAGATTATTTAAAAATATATAGACAAGTTTATATGATAGTTTTGTAACCTATCTTTTCATATGTATTTTGTGTGTGAATAACTGAATATGGATGATTGGATGTTATGATTGGTATACTTGATACTAAAATAGTACTACTTAGTAAGCTAATTTTATTTTTATCCTAAAATAATGTGATTGGCCTTCCGCTCTAAGACTTCAGATTAAAAATTAGGAAAAAACATAATTATATTCTACAACTTTGTTTCAGATATTCACAATGAGATTATATTTTAGTTGACTCATTTGTTTTGCATGACTAGGATATTTTGTCGACTCGTTTGTTATGTATGACTTCGTCTTGGATTTCAATTATGGTATATCTTTCTTGCGGCATGAATTACGTGTGTTATGTCTATTGCCTTACATTTCATGGTAAATGATATTTTTAGGGATGATCGGCGAACAAAATCCTCTTAAAAACATGTAAAAATAGAGGTCCATGCATATTCTAACGTATAACTTAACCAATTTGTAGATGAAATCAATTGACATATAGTAGATTGATCAATGCCAACTGAATAGTACGGGGTGGAAGCACAAGACTCTCTATTCACGAGACTCGTCGTCACTTCTTTGTTGTCTCTATCGATTTTCGAATTACAATCTAATCTTTGATCAACTTCATCCTCTGAGCTGTAATGAGATTCTCTCCAACCAGGTTCGGTCCAACGTTTGGGGATGCAGGATGCTATATCCATTAATCCAAAGTATAAAAACATTTATTGTGTCATTTTTAATTGTTATTTTGTTAACGAGAAAAAAAATCCTGATTGCTTCTTTTTTTCCAAATTTTGACCATAAATATGAGGTCCAAGTCTTCTTCCTCTGCTTATGTTTTGAACATGACTTATCCCCGTAGTTTCAGCAGCTTGTAGTCGTCGACGTCCACGTGTAGAGAGATGGGTCGTCGAACTCGTTGTCGTATGGAGCTGATGCCGGTACGAAGACGTATGCCATGTATGGGTTGACTTTTAATTTGTCGCTTCTCTTCAACGTATGGCTAAGACAGAGCAGTGTTACATGTTGTAAGGAAGGAGACATGTTAAGACTTGCCCATTTCTAAAAAAATTTGTGTATGTGTGTGTTTATACTTTATAGACAGAGAATTTTTCTTGGACTTTTTAAAGCATTTTATATACTCTTGATTGAATGTAGCTGAAATGACGTTGCGTTTTCTTACTATATATGAAACGTTAGAGTGTTTGTGAACAAATGCAATTTTTGTTCCTCTCATAAAAAAGGAGTAAACATATCAATTTCACTTCTTTGAATTTTGATTATCCAAACGAATAACACGGATCCAAAAATTTGTTAAAATACCAAATAGAAATAAAACCAATTTCTGTTGGTTGACCAAATGAAAGTACATAACATTTTCATTTGTCACATGCTGAAGAGCATTCCGATAAAGATAGTTAAGGTTTTCACAAAATCTTATAATACTTCATAAGATCAGACAAAAAATTAGAATGTCGTTTTAATCCAAAGATAAATCTTAATCTCAACCAGATATCAAATTAATCCTCAAAGAGCTGGTAAATATGTAGCTCTTGGTATTACTTTTAATCATGTTCTTCTTTACTATTAAAGGTGTTCGAAGTCTTTAGGTTTGAAAGATTTTGGGAGAAAGACAGAAAAAAAGTTCATGGCGACCAAAAAGGCTTAAGAATCACTTTGAAAATTTCAAGCGAAGAGTTTTGTACCACATGATTTAGAGTGGTCGTCTTGTATACATGTTATTGATTATGTATCCTATATTTTGTTGGTGGGACAAGTAGTAATGGTCTTGGAATTTTCATTCCTAACTAGAAACTGAAACTTTGTCCCACTAAATAGTATATTATATATATGAGTGTTTCGTTCCAAAAAAAAAATTAAAAAAAATGAGTGTTTCGTTCCCTTTAACATAGCGAGAACTTGTCCATCTCTAATTTTGTATACATCGTGCCAAAGTGTTCGTCTTACTAATCGATGTTGATATATAAACATGGGAAATGGTCAAACACTTTGGTATTTCATTTTTAAGAATAGGCGGTATTAAGAAATGATAATTTAACACAAAAAATAGATAATAATTGTCAATGTACTATACACTTCGTCCAAGTTCAGACGGCATAAATTAATTTAGTTGACCCTTAACTTGTCTTTTGGATTTCACATTTATTTAGAAAATTCAAACTCATTATTCATCACCAAAACCCAACTAACTCATTTAGTACTCATTGACTTTGTAATCATTCATCCATTTAGTCAACTTTGCTTTCGAGAACAATCCAACGGCCACCAAAATCATTTATATTAAAAAAACAACGAATAATTAAAAGTAAATGACGAACATAAGTCTATTTCATTTGGTGCGCAATTAATTTCATAACCTCTACGGTTCTACCTAATACCCATATCTGCTGATCATCAACAAATATACTTTAATAAACATTGCACCACGACTAATTTTTCTCTAATTAAAATTATTTCTTAATAAAAAAATTTACAAATTTCAATCCATCTAAAGTACTCAAAAAATCAAAAAACAATACGAAAAAGTTAAGCCGAGGCAAATACTAAATCATTAACGCCTGAAGAAGAAATATTCTCCTGCATCGCGGATTGGTTATGACGGTGCTCTCCTTCGTATGTCACGATAAGCATCGCTGGATCATCTAATGCTCGTTCCACGTGTTTCCTCGCTGGACATCCTCTGAATGTACTGCACTTGTAGTAACCACTGGATCATAAAAACAAATATACACCGTTAGATCGAGATATAAATTAAATATCAACGGTGGATAATAGACGGGTGTAGGATAGTTACCGTGGGTGTGGTGAGCCTTTGATCGGTTTCTGTCCGTACTTCCTCCACGAGTATTCGTCCGGTGGAATATCAGCGATCTTTGCACTTATCGCCGGTACTCTCACGGTTCTCTTCATCCGATTTTTCCTGCTTCATTAAAAATAAAATAAAAATATTAATTAAGGAAAAAACATTGGGAGTTGTATAAGTCAACGGTCAAAACTTTGGTTTTTAATTGAGCTTAACCGGCTCTAGTCATTGTCGGCGTGCAATACCAAAATATGACCGAGATTTAAATAAAAGCAACCAGACCGATAACCGGGAGAGTACACTAAACCGGGTTTACCTAATTGAATTATTATACAATTAATTAATTATTGATATAGCGAGGGTAATAGTCAACTAAAGGTTGAAACTTTTGAAATTAAATAACGGACGGAAGTCACTGAGTAGTTGTTTAAACGACAGGTGGGTGACGTAAGTCACGTAACAATACCTTTTCTTGCAATGGCACTTTCCGTAGCCGGAGCCGGAGACTTTGCCGGAGAAACTCTCGGAGTGCTCATGCTCAAGGCATCTCTTTCTGTAAGGATGACCAGCGGCCAACGGTGGCTTTCCGGAGGAGTTCACAGGCTGCGACGGAGCAGACGCGAGAAAGATTTTTCCATTGGAAACGCTACCGTCTCCGGTAATTCCCGACGACATGAAGGAAGAGTTTAAAGAAACGCTGAAGTTTTCCTTTGAGAATTCCAGCTCGGAGCTCTTAGCTTTGGTGCCGAAGATGCTTGGTTTAGAGAAATCGAGTGTTACGCTCGGCTGATTCGAATGAACGAAGCTCGACGGTGGAGGAACGATTTGAGGGTGAGTCGTTGTTGTTCTCGCCGGCTTAGAAACAATCGGAGTTTCCGGTTGAGTCGTTTTTACGATCTGACTCTGTTGTTTCTGAGATGAAGTGGAGTGAACCGGTCCGCGTCTGAAGCGAGCGTGACCGGTACGGTTAAGGAGAGAAATGACGGTTTTGAATTTAGAAACGGTGAAATCAGTGATCTCAGAGCAGTCAACGTTGTTGTGTTGTTGTTCGGGACGGTTAGAGAGGACACGGATCAGATGTTCCATACTCTGTAAACCTTGAGATGCAGCCTCTTGAATAGCCGTTTGATCATCCATCTTAGGGAAACGCATTAGATCGACGGCCATGATGATCTCTTCTTCTACTTTGTTTATTTATTTGTTATTGGTCTGAGAAATTTGGAGAAGAAGAAGACGAGAGAGAGATATGGTTGTGAATTGTGATGGAGAAGAAGAAGGATGGCGTGATATATGGGGAAAGGAGGAGGTGACCGGGTCAGATATTTGAGTCAAACCGGGAAAGGGGTTTTGATCTAACGGCTGTTATTGAGTTGAGGATTTCCACGGAATAAAGCAATCAAAGTTTGGTCTCCTCAAAGTTCGAGGTTACTGGGTCCCACCCTTGGCATCCGAATTTTATCGTTTCTTCAAATTCAAGATATTTTTTCCAACCCAAAAAAATGATATAACAACACTCTGAATCATAATTATTTTACGAAATTATCTTAAGTAACAGTAATTAGTTTAATCAAAGGTGTAGAAAGAAGTTTCATGACCCAAGTAAGTAAAGAAAAATGTCAATGATTCATTCACACACAATGGAATGGAGAAAGAGGGCCAGCTGGATTTTGGTTGAGGCAAGAGAAGGAAGAGTTGTCAACGAGACAGAGATGATTGATTAATCCCAAAATAATAATAATAGGTACATTTGACTTTTTTGAGTTTTAATTATATTTTATGTTTGTACCAATTTGAATCTTCTCTATTCTTTCAAATTCTACAGACTTTAATATTTGTCAACTAGATTCACGATTAACTAATTCATGACCAAGTTAAGGGGTTTTTCCATAACAATAAATATTTGGTGTTGGACTTTTACTTCTTTGTTTTCTTTCTTTTTATAAAATTTGACTTTTACTTGTTAACAACAAGAATTTTTCATGGCATTCTAGAAACAGTCTTCACTTGAACCCTTTATTAACTTCAGATTCACCTAATTGTTCTACAGATATTGTGAATCAACTAATAATAGTCATTCTAATTAAAATAGCAATAATGGTTTTGACTAAATATTTTAAAAGTCCACTAGAACAGCGATTCATGAATACGACAAAGGAAGGGGAAAAGCTGACTATTTTAAAATGTTAAAAGTAGTATAGTATTACATAAAAATAAAATAAAAAGATTATTATTTCTTTCTTTAAACACAAAGCTATTTGAGTATTTGACCCACCTCGGTAACTGGGTGGTCCCTTTAACTCTTATATGATGACCATTGGATTTTCGAAAGGTTTGATCCAACGGCGGATCTGTGGATACTAGTGTTGACTACGTTTTTATTGATCTCCAGCCAGCTTAATAGAGCAACCACGGTAAGAAATAAGTTTTGAGTTTCTTATAATTTAAATATTAATATTTTAATATAAAAATAAATAAACCATTAAAAAGAAGACAAATGTACAAAAGGTCTCTAAAATTTTCAGAAACGTTTCTTATATAAAGTATGTCTCTTGTTCTCTTTCTTCTTTTTCTATTTTTTTTAATATTTTAATGTTACGGTTATTTCTAAGAAACCTGCATTGAGGTTGCTCTTAGAGCATGTGCAATGCAAGTCTCTCATCATAAGACCATATGCAACGCAATAACTTATAGGATAGATCTTAGAATATAAAAATTATTAAAATAATGTTCTTTTTCTTTTTTTCCAACAAAAATTAATCATTAACCAACAAATGATCCTAGAACTAGTATTACAGATCTTGATGAAGACCACAATTCAGCTTGTTCTTCTACTGTTTGAATATTTTCAATTTTTTAATACCTAAGATCACTACATTAGTTGCCCCGATAAATATGCCCTAATCTCTCAACTACAAAGTAATAATAAAATAAAAAATAATAATATTTAATTATGTGAGTCTTTCAAAAAGGTGGAGATAGTCTCTCAAAGTCTCTCCTACGAGAGTTTCTCTCCACTTTTTTGAGAGACTTATATAATTAAATATTATTATTTTTTATTTTATTATTACTTTTGTATGTGAGAGACTTTGGTGAGAGACTTGCATTGCACATGATCTTAGGTTCTTGTCACGTGTCGACTAAATAACGAATAAATAAAAAATATGAATTTGTATATAGTGAAACTGAAACCTAAACATAAAATGTATGTATCAATATTATCTTGGATTTTAGTCTATTGGTTACAAAAAAAAAAAAAATGAATCATATTTGGTTATTGTAATTATCTTAGCTGGCAAAATAAATTGTCTCTGGACATCAGCTTAAAATTATTTTTTTAAAAAGAAAAAAATAGAACGTGTTGTGTGTTCATGTAACGTGTTTATGGGCTATATATGGGTGGAGAAGAAACCATGGATGGTGATTTAAAACAGTTTCTTATGTCAACGATTAAATTATAACATGGGGTAGTTGACCCGACCGAGTTGTATTATTATTGTCGTGCACGTCTATATTATCTACATAGTTACAAAATCTCAATGATCATCCTTTTTTTTTTTTTGTCTCAAATTCTCAATGTGTTATGATATTGTTGATCATCTCTTTTTCGTCCGGATCAATATTCGTTTAGTTAAATAAGAGTAGATAACAGATATATATTTGTAAGGAAAAAAAATCAACATGTAAATGCGGTTATGTAACTAGTCTTTTACTAATTTTTTTTTATGTAAACTTATTTTGGTTCTTTATATGCCGAAAAAATCGTTGGTGCGTATTAAACTACACTGAAAAATAAAACAAGTGGATTTCTCAATAAGATAATAATAATAAAATTATGCTCGTTTTTTGTGTTGTTGTATATTTCTTTGCAATAATTAAAATTAAAATTTTCCATCGAGCAGGTGAAAGAAACGTGTTCGTTAAATTGCATGTTTGTATGATTGTATCTGTATTCTCTACAACGTTTCGTACTATTACTTTGTCGTATTAATAATTGAGTATTTGTACTTCATGACATAAAGTTACATAACAATAACAGATAAAAATAATAATGCAAATAAATATGATTGTCTGGATGTTATTTACATTTTAGACGAGTTTAAGTGATTTTATTATTTATTTTTGATGAAAATGATCTTAATATTTAGTTAACTGTTACAAACAAATAATTTATTCCGTAATATAATATTTGATTTATATATTTAATTGTTAAATAAAATTTTGTTAAAACTTCATGTGATAAATATTTATCATATTTAAGTACACGAACATATATATATATATATATTTTGGCCTGATTACCATTTTTCTAACTTATTTCTCAAATATTGTCACATTTTTAATTGACTCTTGCTAATTGTCTAGTACATGTTAACATTATTTTATAAATAACTGAAGTTAGTGGAACATAAAAAAAAACAGGAATAGAAAAAAGGATTTAACTTCGATCATCATTATTTATTCGGATGGAACCCGACTTATTAAAACCCATTGTTGTGCCGAATGCTTTAACTTTGTGAAGAAGTCAACGTAATGCTATAAACACACGAAATTAACACGCATTTGAGAAATAAATGGCTCTTATCTTAATCTTTACGTTTTGACTAAAAGTATTCTCATATTCTGTTTATGCTGATTATGTTTACTGTCAATATTTAACTATTATTTATATTGACAGTTATGTATGATTTTTCATTATTCACCGAGTGAGAAAAACTGTATATGAGAATTTCATCTCTTACAACTCAAACAAGTTTCTTAGACAACAATTTTTATGATTATAAATAACTAAAGAGGTTAATCACATGAAGAGAAAATGAAAACAAAAATTAACACAAAACTAATAGTTTAATTCAGTTAATAGTTTAGTACATGCACTATCTTGTCTACTATGGGCCACACATGTTGTGGACTTGTAGGTTATCACAATGCTATGCCTATTTTACTTGTACTAGCTAATTAAATAAACATCGAAAGAAAGCCGTAAGGAAGAATATCTGAATATGTATAGAAGACAAAAAGTAAGATGAGAGTGGAATCCAATGTGGACTGCAACTAGATGTTATATTATCAATGTTAAACGTATATTTGGATGTAACGGTTGGGTGTCGAATTATTTTGGTTTATATTCTTCACTTTAACATCTGAACAAAGAACCAGCACATGGTGGTCTTGGAAGATGAACTATACAAAGAAAAATTATATACCGAAGCACATATATAATCTCTAGAGTTTGTGGAACGCATATATAGTATCTTTACCATTTAACGTATCTAGAAACAATAATGATAAAAATTGTAGTTGATCAATTACTCAAAACTCAAAAGTCTTATTCTCAACATCAAGATAAGTCATTCAACTATTGGTAATTTTTTTTTTTTTTTTTTTTAACTATTGGTAAATTTTAATATCCGAATAAACCATTAGCCCACGAAAGAGAATATTAGAAGTTTATATATTGCTTGACTTTGTGTTAAATATGGGATTATATTAAGAAAAACTTGTTAAATAAATATCAGAATCAATAATCGTATCAATTAGACAACTTGATTAAGATTTGATTCTGATCAATAAATATATGAAACATGCTCCATATGCTATCATATCTCTAATATAATAAACGAAGACGAATATATCGCTATCACGGCAGGTTCAACACAGACGAAATAATTGCACTCTATGACATGATTACAATTTTGCTTGGTTATATAACATTTTCTTGTTTCCTCCTCTGAATAGAGGATTACATATTCATGTGTTAAATCTTTGACATGCCTGGTATAATCTTACAACTAAGCAGCCCACACAATATGAACCGGTTCCTATATATATTGATAATAAAACTACGATGAAATTTATCCAAAGTTTTGGACCAAAAATATTGAGTAAATTTGGTTATAGTTTTAATGGGTCTGGTACAAGTCAGTCCATTGGATAAATTTCAGATTATTCGGGTCGAGTCGGGTCGGGTTCACTTAACCGACCCAAAATTGATTATCCCTGTTGCTGTTTGCCTTGCCCATCGTTCGTGTCCAAAATCAACCAAAACAAAATAATGGCGAGACTTTTAGTCTCTATCCCTATGCAACCCACACAAATAAGCTTATCTGCGTCTTCTTCTCAGCCACTATTCTCGCCGCCGGCGAACAATATCCCCGATGGTGGAGCCGGAGGATTATGTCTTACACGGAGAATCAGAGACTGTTCCGTGGTGACGCGAGCAGGGCCTAGTACGAGCAGCTACTTGCTCGCATTCGCCATTCCTGCTACTCTTATCGCCGCCACTGTCTTCACTTCAATCAAAATCGCTGATAAACTCGACGAAGATTTCCTTGAGGATGTAAGATCGCCGTTTCCAAAAACATTTCCTTCAATCTTTGTCATATCCGATTCAGATTCGAATTAGGGTCCTTGGTTTAGGTTTATTTTGTCTCAGCTCTAGTTATAGGATTTGAGGTAATCGTGGTTGAAAAGGCAGAGAAGAGAATCTGGGGGAAACAATGAGCAAAAGAATTATCCACTAGAACTTACTTTTGAATTTGGGTTGACTTGGTTCAAGTTTTGTTAAAGTTCTTGAATTTATCACATCCTCTTAGAGACCAATTTTGCATTATAATAGAATTGGATCTCTCTGATAAGTCACATACAATTTTCCGCTTAAAGTGTTGCTGAGCAGAGCCTCTAACACATGGCAAAGTAAGGAACATATTCTGATCCCTGTAAAAATCTTGAGTCTTTGAGGTGGTGGAGCGGATAGAAACAGGGTTCTTGTATCTAGCCTTATAATCATGTATCATCCATAAGGTCTGGATAACTAACAGCTTTGTACTATTACTGTGTCATTTTTCTTCTTCTGCAGATTGCGTTGAACCAAGCGATAAAAGCAGCAGAAAAGGGAGAGAATGGTGAAGGGGAAATCTCACTGGATGATGTGATTCAAGAACCTGTGCTTCAACGAACTCGTAATCGGCCTAAACGTGAAGTTTAGAAACGCGCACACAGATTCTTCTATGATGCAATGACTGTGTAACAATACATGTTGTGTTTTGTATAAGAAAATGTAAGCTTGTAGCCTTCCTAGTCCCGTTAATAGTTGTAGTTACTGGTACTACATTACCGTTTGATCATTTTGTAAAGAAAAAACGGATGATGAATCAAAAACCTAGTTACATTTACCGTTTTAAGTTTAGAGCAGATTATTCTATGACCTTTATTGTGGCCGAGCTTTCTTCTGCTGTAAAGAAATAGAAGGACATGTTTTGTATTTAGTTTCAATTGACATGTTTTGATAGTTTGGCATGAGTCGAAGTCCATATCTCATCTTATTGGCATGAGTTAGCTGGGATTAGGGGTTTTGATGATTTGTCCGATTAATTTGGGATGCAGTAATGAACATGTTTTGTCATTTTTAAAAGGTTGTTTATTTTGCAGAACCATATAATATATATCTCATTTGAGATTGAACCTTATAATTTGTGGAAGAATCAGAATCGCAATCTCACATTTTCACACCTCATGGATTAGATAAAGTAGGATATGTTCACTCAATCTCGATGTTAAAACATTACTTGGAAGTTGCAATGCACTATTTGGTATATGAGAGAGAGAGTAGAGAGGAATAAGAAGAAACATTTTGATCGAGCTATAACGCCGCGTGAGATTCCGTCGCCTTCTTCAAATAATAATTAATTATCATCACCATCGCCTCCTTTTAGACTTGTCCTCCAAGTTTACTTTAATGTATAAAACATTGGCCGTTTTCAGGTCTAAGGAAGACAAAAGTTTGTCACTCACACATTCACTTAATTGTCTAAAAGCAGTAGCAATGTCAGCTGCCGCCGTATCTTTCTCAATCTCCGTCGCCACCAATTCTCTCAAGAACGTGACTCTTTCGTCCACATCGCCTCTCCCATCCGCGAACTCCGTCGCTTTCCCTTCTCGTGGACGCAATTCTCTTCAGCGGCGTTTCGTTCTCAACGCTGGAAACGGATCCAAGTATACGATCCTAGTTGCTGAGAAGCTCGGTGAGGCTGGTTTAAAGCTCTTGGAGGATTTCGCGAATGTGGACTGCTCGTATAACATGACCCCCGAGGAGCTGATTACTAAGGCCTCGCTCTGTGACGCTTTGATCGTGCAGAGTGAAACCAAGGTTGGCCGTGAGGTGTTTGAATCGTCTCGCGGACGGTTACAGGTTGTCGGATGCGCTAGTGATCGGTTCGACAACGTGGATCTGAATGCAGCAACGCGGTCTGGGTGTCTGGTCGTTAACACGCCGAAGGCAAAAACGATCCCTGCCGCTGAGCACGCAATCGCTCTTATGGCTGCCATGGCCAGGAACGTCGCCCAAGCTGATGCGTCTGTGAAGGCTGGTTAGTAATTTTTGCTTCATTCTTGTGACTGTAATCTTACGGACTCATGGTTTTAATGTTTGTGATGCAGGAGAGTGGGAGAGGAACAAGTATGTGGGTGTTTCACTTGTGGGAAAGACCCTTGCAGTTTTGGGATTAGGGAAAGTTGGGTCGGAAGTTGCTCGCCGTGCCAAGGGTCTTGGTATGCGAGTCATTGCTCATGATCCCTATGTACCAGCAGAGAGTGCACATGCCATTGGTGTTTACTTAGTGAGATTCAGAGAAGCCATCGTGACCGCGGATTTCATTTCTGTGCACTTGCCTCTTACGGAAAAAACATCGTTAATACTAAACAGTGATACCTTTGCAAGAATGAAGAAAGGAGTTCGCATCGTCAATGTTGCTCATGGAGGTCTCATAGACGAAGACGCGTTAGTGAAAGCTCTGGATTCTGGTATTGTTGCTCAGGCTGCACTTGATGTCTTCAGTGAAGACAGCAAGCTTGTGAAGCACGAGAGTGTCACTGTGACACCTCATCTCGGAGCCAGTAGTATGGAGGCCCAGGTGTGCAATTCATGTTACAACTTAGGTGATATTTTTATAATTTTATTCTTGATTTATTTTGCTTCTGTTCGTTAGTTAATGTTTTGGCTTTGACAGGAAGGAGCTGCCATTGAAATTGCTCAAGCTGTTGTTGCAGTTCTGAAAGGAGCAGAGCTTCCTGCTCATGCAGTCAATATGTTTTCTGATGAGGTGAGCACTGGCTTTTGCTGGTAAAATACTCACAAGTTTGTTTTTTTGCTTCGAAACTGAGTTCTAAGAGGCAAGTATTCGTAGCTAGCCTAAGACTAAAAGTAGCAAATTATATCTGTTCTGAGATGGTTAGAGAGCATTTAGTGATTCCTGACGTGAATCTGAAATGCAGTTTCATAGCTTTGTTTTTTGTTACAATCTCTCAGTTATATTACAAGATACTCTTCATATGGGTTATTCGCAAATGCTTACATCTCAGAATCTATTGCAGCTTCCAACCAAGGTGAAAACATATCTGGAACTAGCTCATATTTTAGGAAGAATGGTAGCGCAACTGGTGGCCGGTGGTGTGAACAATGTGCAAATCACATATGGCTTGCCACGAGTTACTGACGAACTTGACCCCAAATATGTACGAGCCATGATCGTCCAGAGAATCCTCGATCCAATCTGTTCTGAGGTAGATGTCCTATTCTTCAAAGCCAAGCAGAGAGATCTGAGTTTGACAGAGGAACGTTGGCTCTTGGACGGGTCACCAGAGAGCCTGATGGAGACGAGAACCTTTCAGGTAGGCAAAAAAGGAGAGGCCAAAGTGGAAGGATGGGTTAAAGATGGAGTCCAGCATTTGATAAAGATGGGTGATCTTAAGATCGTTATGAGTTGTACGTTATAAGTTATTTAAAACGATAATGTCCTAAATAAGGAAAAATGGTGAAGGAAACCTCTACTTTCAGAATTCTTCAAATTATTAAATGATTTGCTGCGAAATCTTGGCGTGTTTGCTTGAAAGTTTCTTGGTTTGAGTTTAGAACTTAGGACACACTCTTATTTCTTCTGCGAGCTACAACAAAGAAATTGAGAAAGGTGGTGATAGATATGATGAGAGACAAGTTTAAGGAAGATGGTGATGGAATGTGTTCATAAGTTTCATTATAACAAGATTTTAAAATGCAATTATCTCCACAAACAGAGTTTTGTATTCATGTTAAAGCTAGTGTGATCTTGAAGATTTGCAATTCTGGCTTGAGTTTTACTTGTCAATAATAGGTCCCACCGGACGATGAAATATCACTGGACGATGTGAGAGAGTGGTGAAGGTGAAATCTCACTGGACGATGTGATTCAAGAACCTGTGCTTCAACGAACTCGTAACCGGCCTAAACGTGAAGTTTAAAAACGCACACACAGATTCTTCTATGATGCAATGGCTGTGTAACAGTACATTAGCGGTTGATCATTTTGTAAAGAAAAAACGGATGATGAATCAAAAACCTCGTTACATTTATCTTCTGCGGTAAATTTGTTGTAATTGTGGAAGATATAGAGCTTCAGTTGACCAAGTAGTACCGTTTTGGGTAATAATCTGACCCGTTTTAAATTGGGCTTTTAAGGCCCAGTATGAGTTGTCTTCTTTACTTTTGAAGTAATAGTGTTTAGGAATTTTTCTCTTCGCTTCAAATCGACGTCTGTGTGAGGTAGAATCGCGTCGCGTTTCTAGCAGTTTTTTTTTTGTTTCTTACCAATTTTCAAAGGAACGAGACACACCAGCTAAAGGCCATTTCCGTTAGATCTAAGGAGAGAGCGACGTATACGTATAGGTGTTTTGAAGCAAATTCTCCACGGGAAGCAAAGTCGAATTCAGTCTCCCTTGGAGTTTTCTCTTAATCGGATCGAGGGTATGGTTTAGCTCAGTTTCGTGATTTCTACCTTATTAATCGAATTTTGTGTGAAATTTGGTGATCTGTTTGCGGTTTGTTAATAGGAGTTTGATTTTCTATTGAATCTGGATATTGATTTCCGTTTAGTTGCTGCACAATTTGGGTCTGTGTTTATTGTGTCGGTGCTCTGTGATATGATATAAGTTTTGTGAAATTAGCTCAGTTTTTTGTTGTTGGATTCTGCGTCAATCAGGAGGCACGAACCATGGTTATCTAAGCTTGGTGGGGATCCACGAAGAACAGAGTAAATCAAATGGACAAGAAAAAGAACCGTGCTGATCCACTTGCTGCTGGGCGCCAGAAGGTTAGCTTCTTTGTTCTTAAACCTACCTCTTTAGAATTTTGGGTGAATTTGCTTAGTTATCACAAATGTCAGTGAGAAGAGAGAGAGAGAGTTTTACTGATTCATATCCTTCTTAAATGAAAACCATCCGTCAAACAGGAAAGGTTTCTATTGTGCTAATTTTCTTAAGTTCATAGTTTAGGAGGAACAGTTGATCGCCTGCTTTCTTGATAATGTACTCTCTCTTCTAGTAAACAAAGAAAATATTGTGCTATTTTTCACGCATAACTTTACCCAACTCGTCTCCACAGTCCATACTTGTTTACTTGTCCTGCCTTGATTTATATAGATAGATAAACATTGGATGAACATGTTTTAATCGCTTAGTTTCTTAACCTCATTTCAGCTTCAACAATTTCGTCAAAAGAAGGCTGACAAAGGCACTGATCAGAAAAAGGACTCCAAAGGCAGTACAAGCCAAGGCAAATCCTCCAAAAAATCTAATAAATCTGAGAAGCATGAGCGTAAACCTGACACTAGTGCTGTCAGTGACGAGGCACAAGCTCCATCCCATGTCAATGTTGCTGAGGAGGTTGTCGATTCTCCACAAACTTCTACAGATACAAAAGCTCACGAATTTGTTTCAGTCCATGGTTCATCATCAGAACCTAATACGCCTCAGCCAGGAAACACCACTTCTGATGATGTATCTGAAGTGAGAAAAGAAGTAGTTAATTCTGAAAATGATATCAGTATATCTGTATCCACTGAAGAAGAGAATATGAAGTCTATCAATAGTGGAGTGGCTGGCACAGTAGATTCTTTGACATCTGACCCTGCAGATTCTGAGAAGGGAGTTACTCATGACGATGCATCTATTAATGTTGGCGGAATCTTTGCTGCTTCTGGAGACATAGCGGAGGGGGAAGGCGTTGCAGTTGAAGGTGGGTCTGGGAATATGGAAAAGCCGCATCAGCCATCTTCTCTCAATGAAGATATTCCTGATGTTTCCTTGATTCGTGCAAGGGGAGATCAGGTAACTGATGTAGGTTGTTCTCTCCTTCTCTTCTTGCTTCTCTCTTCAATCATTTTTCTTATTACTTTTTCTTTGATAAGGATAAAGAGGTTTTGTCTATTGCATGCTACCTTTTGATGTATAATTCAATTCTCATTTGTTTCTGGGTAGGGGAAATGCAGGAAGAAGATGGTTCACGCATGGAGCAGTTTTCTGAATCATCTGCAAAGGCAGGTGTGGATAAGATTGCAACTGAAGAAAGGCAAACAAGCTATCCAGCTGTTGTGGATTTATCTGCTTCTCCTTCACATTTTTCAGAGGGATCCTCAGTTGCATTAGATTTAGTTGAACTAGAAGGACAAAACGGTAATATTAGAAGCCAACAGATGAGGGAAGCTGCAGAGCTTAATGAAGAGAAACCAGAAACACCTATTGAGTTTCCTAATGATAGAGATCACATGCTTTCAGCTGAACCTGAGCAAAGCTCTGTTACAGATATGGCTAGTCAGCTGCAATTGCCTGAGAGCATCAGTATATCTGGATTAGTGAGCCATGAGGAACCTCAAAAAATCGACACATTGAATTTATCTGGAGAAGTTTCCGTTGCTCATGTTCATGAAGGCCGCTCATTCAGCTTCTTACAGCTTATTGATATTGTAAAAGGACTTGGCCAAGACGAATATCAAATTTTGTGCAACGCAAGAGAGGCTGCTTCCAGTACTGAGCCAGGAACAAGTTCGTTGGAGCGAGTAAGAGAAGAACTGTTTGTTTCGAGTACCATGGAAGATTTACTCCACGTGCAACTCACAGAACAGTCTCATCTGCAAAAGGAGTTTGATCATCAACATAACGAATTGGTAGCTGAAATATCACAGCTTCGTGCATCATATAATGCAGTGATAGAGAGAAATGATTCTCTTGCGGAGGAACTATCAGAGTGCCAGTCTAAACTCTATGCTGCTACTAGCTCTAATGAGAACCTTGGAAATCAGCTTCTTGCTACAGAAGCTCAAGTGGAGGATTTCACTGCTAAGATGAATGACTTGCAGCTTAGCCTAGAAAAGTCCCTGTTGGATCTATCTGAGGCGAAAGAAAAGTTCATTAATCTTCAGGTGGAGAATGATACGTTGGTTGCAATTATTTCTTCCGTGAATGATGAGAAAAAAGAACTTCTTGAAGAAAAAGAATCCAAGAACTATGAGATTAAGCATCTTTCATCTGAGTTATTGAATTGCAAGAACCTGGCGGCTATACTAAAGGCAGAAGTTGAGCAATTGGAAAACACTATTGGTCCATTAACAGATGAGAAGATACATCTTGTGGAGGAAAGATATAGTTTATTGGGTGAGGCAGAGAAGTTACAGGAAGAATTGGCAAATTGTAAGACGTTGGTCACCCTGCAAGAGGTGGAAAATTCAAACATAAGGGAGACGCTTTCTTTACTGACAGGCCAACAGACTAAGTTTGAAGAGAACAACCTACATCTCAGAGAAGAAAATGAGAAAGCACATCTAGAACTGAGTGCACATCTGATCTCGGAGACTTATTTATTGTCTGAGTATTCCAATCTAAAGGAAGGATATTCTTTGTTGAATAATAAGCTCTTGAAGTTTCAAGGGGAAAAGGAACATTTGGTTGAGGAAAATGATAAACTTACACATGAACTTCGTACTCTTCAAGAGCGTACGTCAATTGTAGATGAAGAGCGGACTCATCTAGAAGTTGAGTTAAGAGAAGCAATAGCGCGCCTTGATAAATTGACTGAAGAAAATACATCTTTAACTAGCAGCATCATGGTAGAAAAAGCTAGAATGGTAGACATTGGTAGCGAGGATGCTTCAGGTTTGATCAATCAGGAAATTTCTGAGAAACTTAGTGGAAGTTCAGAAGTCGTGGTTAGTAAACAGAGTGCATCTCTTCTTGAAAATACACAATATACAAATTCGGAAGAGGTAATGGAAGATACTTCTGAGTTTTCTGCTTTGAAGAAGAATCTGGAGAAGGGGGAGAAAATGGTTCAAAACCTTGAAGAGGCAATTAAGCAGATCCTGACCGATTCTTCTGTGAGTAAATCTAGCGATAAAGGTGCCACACCAGCAGTATCAAAATTGATTCAAGCTTTTGAGTCAAAACGGAAACCAGAAGAACAGGAATCTGAGAACGCACAGTTAACTGATGATCCATCAGAAGCAGATCAATTTGTTTCTGTGAATGTGCAGATTAGAAATTTGAGAGGCTTGCTTCATCAGTTACTGTTGAATGGTAGGAAGGCTGGTATACAATTCAAGCAGTTAAATGATGAGAGGACATCAACAAATCAAAGACTTGAGGAGTTAAATGTCGAGTTTGCATCTCATCAGGATCACATTAATGTTCTGGAGGCAGATACTATTGAGAGTAAGGTTTCATTTGAAGCTCTGAAGCATTATTCGTATGAGTTGCAACATAAAAACAATGAACTTGAACTTCTCTGTGATTCATTAAAGCTAAGAAATGACAGTGTCGGTGTAGAAAACACGGAGCTCAAGAAGAAGCTGAATTCTTGCCTATTGAGAATTGATGAGCTTGAAATTCAGCTGGAAAACTTACAGCAGAATTTAAGTAGCTTTTTGTCCTCAATGGAAGAACAGTTAGTGGCCTTGCAGGATGAATCTGAGAGGGCAATGATGCTAGAACATGAACTGACATCATTGATGTCTGAATTTGGTGAAGCAGTTGTAAGGCTTGATGATTGTTTACTCAGATCTGGCACTTCTGGAGCTCATGCTAGCTTAGATATGACCAAGCGCATATCTGGTTCTGTTGATGTGGCTGTAAAGGTGATTGACGACCTGGAGGAAAAACTTGAAGCTGCTTATGTGAAGCATGAGTCCACCTCAAATCAATATGAGGAATTGAAGCAGAGTTTCAATACTCTGTTTGAGAAGAATGAATTTGCAGCTTCTTCAATGCAGAAGGTCTATGCCGATCTGACGAAATTGATTACTGATTCATGTGGGTCAGTGGAGATGAGCAATCTTGAAGTTGAAAATGTAGCTGTCTCTGATCCTTTCAAGGATGGTAGTTTTGAGAATCTGATGGAGGCTGTGCGAAATATTCTTTCTGAGAGGCTTGAACTTCAGTCTGTCATTGATAAGCTACAGTCGGACTTGTTGAGTAAATCAAACGATATGGAGGAACTGACGCAGCGAAGCCTTAATTCCACTTCACTTCGAGAGTTAGTAGAGAAGATTGAGGGTGTTCTGGAACTTGAAACTGGAGTGAGTTTTGAATCTCCTAGTTCACATGTGGAGTTTCTTGTTTCCCAACTTGTTCAGAAGTTTATAGAGACTGAGGAATTAGCTAATATCCTCAGAAAACA